CAGCCAGACAACCGCCGGGATACCCCTACTCTAGGGCCTAAAGACTGGTAGAAAAGGGCTACCTAGGCAGAGCGGCAAGGGCACTAGTAGACCCCTTAACTCTAGCTAGGAACTCGGCAGATATACTAGCTAAACTAAGGAAAAACACCCGGAGGGGCAGTCCTACCCCTTTGCCTCCTCGGCAAGCCTAGGCCGGGCCCTAGACCACTTCCGGAAGACATCCTATAAGCCCTAGCCTCGTTTGCCCTAGATACAGCCCCTGGCCTATCCGGCTAGTTAGTCCCCTTACTAAGGGAAGCCTATAAGCACAAACAGGTGATAGACTTTCTTACCCACCTCTATAAGCAGGTACAAAACGGCCTAGCACCAGGAAACCAGCTACTTACCGCATCGAGACTTGTGGCTCTAGATAAAGAAGACAACAGGGTCCAGCCAATTGCGGTAGGAGAGCTTATCTATAGGCTAGTAGCTAAGGTCCTACTCTAAAAACAGTTCTCTAAGGACCAACTAGCCCCCTTCCAGCTAGGNGTATAGAGCCCTGGCGGGGTGGAGCCAATCATACACCTACTAGGACACGCGGTAGATAGAAACCTTAGTGGATACACCCACGTCTGCTCTATGGACTTTAAAAACGCCTTCAACTCAGTCTCCCGAGCAGCGGTNAGCCCCACCAGGATCCTAAGCTATGCCCCAGAGTTTTACAAGGCAGCTAGATGGGCCTACAACGAGCTAGCAGCCCTAGTAATGTATGACGGCACGGTAATTACCTCCTCGGAAGGGGTTAGATAAGGAGACCCCTTGGCCCCCTCTTCTTCTCCTAGCCATTCGGACTACCCTCTAATAGCTACAACAACAGCTATAGAGGGCAACTAGCTATAACAGACCCCCTCCTATTGTCCTAGCATACCTAGACGACGTCTACATCATCTTAGGGCAACAGATCACCCTATAACAACTAGAAGGCTACCTAGAAGACGCCCCTATTGCCCTAAACATAGATAAGACAAAGACACACCCCCTATCGGCAATATAGACTACGGGAATAAAGATACTTAGCTCCTTTATAGGGCTAGAGCCACGGAAGGCCGAATTCCTAGCTATAAGAATAGAGGAACTCTAGACGGTGCTAGATAGGCTAAAAGACCTACCAAAACAACACGCACTCCTTCTACTTAGGGCTAGCACCTCTACACTCCTCCGACACCTTCCTAGGACCATGGGATCACAAGGACTCCTAGCAGGATTCCAAGACATTGACATAAGACTCCTAGAAACCATAAAACACCTTTAAGGCTTAGAGGATAAAGACCACTAGATTAGGACCTAGTAGCCCTCCCTACTAGGCTAGGAGGCCTAGGAATACCTCTCTACGCGGAAGTAGCCAAACTAGCCTTCAAAACTCTATAGGCTATAGCAGACATTACCCTATAGAGGATCCTGCCGCCAAAACTCTTTGCGCCTACCCCGAGCACCCTCGCCAGCCCCTAGCAACACTAACATAGAAGGCCACCCCCAGGCTAGCCATAGGCTACATAAGACCAAGAAGACAACCTATAAGAGGACGGCCTAGAAGAGGACGTAGACGAGGCCATAGAAAAGGGCACACGAGGACTAGATGAACAAACCACTCTAGGAAGCTAAGAGCAAGAATAGGAACAAGAACAGGAATAAGAATAGGAATAGGAACACACCGAGGACCGCGGCAGAAGCAGGAATAGAGCGGACTAACAACCTAACTAAGCCTATCCTACCTCTAGCCCAGGACACCTAACAACAGCCTAGCTTTCCCCAGAACACTAACAACTAGACCCCACTAGTACTAGCCCTGCTAGAACCATCTACCGAGCTGCAATAGACAAGCTTAACAGAGCTCGACTAGCTAGAGTATAGCAGAAGCTCTCTTTATAGTAAGAGAACGTACGGATCGAGAACTTAGCCTTCCTAGGCCGAAGATGGCTATCCGTAATGCCTACCTCATAGCCCCTTCTACTTATAGACATGGACGTAGCCGCAGCACTTTCTATCCGACTTCTTACATCCCCTAAAGAAGGCTAGGACATCTGTAGGCACTGTAATAGGGCCTATACCTTTGCCCACGAAGACGCCTGCCGTGCTAGGACTAGACAGACGATTGTTAAACATAATAAGGTGTGCTAGGCGTTAACCACAGCCCTATAGACCGACCCTAAACCCTAACCCTAAACCCTAAAACCCTAGGAATTCGGATAGACATTAGAATCGACAACCCTAAGGGAACCACCTACCTAGATGTGTCTATCATTTCCCTAGGCAAGGAAACCGCTAGGAAGGACCCTAATAGCACCCTATTAGCCGCGGAAAGGGCTAAGAAACTTAAATACCAAACCCTAGGCCGAGCTTTTAAGCCGTTTATCCTTAGCTAAGGAGGCCTCCTAAGGAAGGAGACCTCACAAACCTATAAGGAATTCTAAAAGTCCCTTGGTCCTAGCACCTCGGAGTGGCTAGATAAGTATATCTCTACTACTCTAGTAAGACTCTAGGCTAGAAACTGGCTAGGATATGGCATAGACTAGATAGACCCCCTTTCCTTTGTTACTTTCCTTTATCTTTTTACCCCTTTCCTCCGTTTTTTTTTTTATATAGAAAGTAGTTAGACGAGCAAGAATAGCTTAGATAGAAGCATAATAGAGTGTTTGCTAACCCTAACCCTAAGATAAGCCCTTAATGTCCGTAGATAGAGAGATTATGCGCATTAGATCGCGGATAAGTCGCCATCCTAGGATACATAAAACACTACTATAAGCAGTCCTACTTCTTAGCGACTAATAAGCCGTTATAGGAATCACGATCATGGCGGTTAGATTTCTCGGTCTCTACACGGGACGTATAAGCGTCTATCACTATCGAATTATTCTCCATTTTGCCTGGCATTCGAGCTCGGTGCATCTTTCCGCTCTGACACTTCTTCAACCATTTTTAAATCAACACCATTAATTGGGAGCCTGGAGACTGCTGGGTATGGTTGTGTTGTTCGTAATGCTTTTAGTTGGCCTGGTATCAACCGTCAGCCACGACTGGGGCACTATTCATAGTCCACTTAGTAATACCTCTTTGCCCGCTGAGATACAACCGACTGGTTGGGGTATTTCCCGCCATCTGCTTCTGGGGTGGGGTACAACATACGGTAACGGAGTCAATGACGATGCGCCGACAGGCTACCTCATCCTTGTGCTAAGCTATGTCTGGAGGGCCGGTGATCTGTTCCTATGGCCTCGCCAGCTGTACCATCGAGGACTCCGCCGACCACTCGAGAACTGTATTACAAGCCTGCTATCCGCCACTGCAAGAAAGTATCTAAAATCCGATGGCTATGGTATTTCGCGTAGTACTGATGCTATCTATTTGGCTACTCGCTTCCATGGAGGTCATGGCATCCTTCTCTGCCTATTTGTGGTTGTCAGTACTAGGACTTGTGTTCGGAACCATACATATAGTCGTCCCGCGACAGAAAAACCTGGCTCAAACTGCGGCACAAGAAACCGAGTGGGAATTCGGCCACCTGGTACCCTTGGTGATGCTTGTCCAACCATTGGGAGTGATATTAGAACATGCATGGGTTCGACTGGGCAGAGGGAACGCAGAGAATGATTTCAGACAAGCGCACGATGTTAGCGGTCGAATCTCTTGATCCGAGAAATCATCATGAACCACGCCATGACCCACTAACAAAATCACGATTTGGAGGGGACGTCAGGCATCCGGTGCCTGCTAGATCGATTCTTGATCTATCAGGGCGGCGAGAAGATTCGCGTAAGGTCTGCACAGACGCAACCAGTCAGTGAAGAACATTGAAAGCTACTTTGATGGTATCACGACTTTTCGCACTGGTGGTCATTATCCTACATATCACAATTCTAGAATCCGATCGCACCGATTATGATCTCCTTGTTTCTGCCCAAGACCAATGATTGATTCCTTGGAGACTTTGATCTTGTGTTTGGTGTCTTGACTTGCCCTCATGTATCGTATTAGATAGGTGAAGTGCTCCTTTGGTGGATCAAAAGATGCACTGAATTTGGAATCGGATAGCCGTGCTCAGAACTCTACGATGACATCTATACAAGTTCTTTATATGACTTGCTTCCATTGTGTATTGTAGCTTAGCCCGCTTGGGCGGTAAACAGATAATGAACCTTTCGCTGCTTTTTCCTGTGAGCAAACCCTTACAATCTTATATCCAAGACATGACGCGAATGATCGCTGGTCTCGTCGCTATGCGCTCGCCAGCCCTTGTCCAAACAGACAAGTGATGTGCGGCATGCATGATTGTATGAAGATCTCGGCTCGCCCCAAAGCCGTTAGTCACAACGGCATGTGCGCGCGATTGGGAAGCCGCGCTCAATCCGTTTTACAGAAAACGTTGAACATCTCTAGGCTTCGCAATTTCGGTCCTCTTCAAAGTCGGGAATCATCTTCTTCTCTATATCCTGTACAACATGTGCTATGGCACAGATCAAAAAGACCGACTTTGACATGATGGAGCATGATGATCTGTGTAGAATCATATGCTAACCAAAACTGACTCTTCCTTGAACGGTGGTTAGCGTTGTTTTGTCCGCCTCTTTCTTCTGACAGCTCTCTGCCGTTCCAAAACATTACCGTTTGCCATTGCTTTTCAAACAGGCCTAGAACATGCCTGGCCACACTTGTTTCTCAAGTAAAATGCAAGATCTGCTTGTAGAAGACATGCAACGGTACTATTGTAGACCCTACGTCAAAGCATTTCAATGTTAGTATTGCGTGCATTTGCCTCAACCATTATACTACAAGCAATCATAAAAGCTGCACTTCTCCGCTACGTTTGAGTACCAGTGTTGTCAGCCAGAACTTGCTTCCTTTCGCCTTGTTCTACTCCATTACCCTTCTTATTCTCTTGGATCCGGTATTCAAAGAGCACATACACAAGACATTCCACTTCACACTTGCTCGTATCAAAGCCCAAAACTCTGTAGCATATCAACATGCGAACCAGTACTCTTATCCTCAGTATCGCGCTGGTCGTCAAAAGTCTTGCCAGTCCAGTCAAGCTTGATCTCGGAGATGGTGTTGACTACGAGATTGGCTATCCCATCGTAGCTGGTCAAGTCAACGCCCAGGAGGGCATTGATGTCGTCAAGAGGGCTACTACTTCTATCAAGACCACTTCGACACGAAAGACTTTCACCACAATCAAGACGACNCTCGACCGCGAAAGCATCACCCATCTCGACAAAAAGGCGTCCACTTCTTCAAAGAAGGCTAGCAGTACTTCAAAGTCCTCAAGTACCCAGAAGTCATCTGCGGCTCCGGCAAAGGCCACCACATATCAGCAACGTGTCCTTGTCTCGCATAACGTCCACCGTGCCAATCATTCCGCCAGCAATATCGTGTGGGATAATGCTCTCGCGTCGACTGCCGCAAAGATTGCCTCTACTTGTGTGTATGCTCACAATACCACAACCGACGGTGGTGGTTACGGTCAGAATATCGCTGCTGGACTTGCTGCGGACAACATAACAGCCGTTATCACCGAGCTCTTCTACAACGGCGAGGTTGGGTACTTCAAGAACCTATACGGGCAAGCTCAACCTGACATGTCCAACTTCGGCAGTTGGGGTCATTTTTCCCAGATTGTCTGGAAAGGCACATCGAAGGTCGGCTGTGCTACCCAGTACTGCCCTAAAGGTCTTGCCAATGTCGGACCTTACACTCCACCATACTTTACAGTATGCAATTACGGACCACCAGGTAAGTTCATTTGACTTCCTTCCATGCTCGACGTTTTGCTTATGCTATTGCANGGTAACTATCTTGGTGAATTCGATATCAACGTCGGCAAGTCTCTCAATCGACCTACGGTGCATTGGAACTATGGTTTGTAAGACATATAGCAATGCAGCTGAAGATGAGGTGTTCCTCTTTCCCAGAGATGAATTTGATACAGGGTACACGGAACTCGGTAGCATAAACACGTGCCGGATGAATTAGGAAGAACATAGAAGCACCTTTCCGTAAAGTCTTATCACACTATCCTCATTCTAGCCGAGTTTGTAGGAGAGAATGGTCATATCTTTGGAGCCCATCTCTATCAATTTACGATTCTCCTATGTCTAGCAACATACCATGATCACTTCGGTCGATATATTGAATATGGCGCGGGCGGTCTTGAGATTAGGATTTTCTACATTCTTTTGCACGGCCTCGTCTCTTAACAGCCACTCATCCTGAACAAGATTTGTAACAGGACAGACAGGCAACGGTAAGTAACGGAAGAGACAGGCAACGGAACAGGCGATCGGATAGTCAACAGGATAGACGATACGAGACGCAACAAAACATGCGACAAAACAGGCGACAGGATTGAAAACAAGACCCCCAGCGAGACAGGTTTGGATTGACCGTATGTACGTTCACTCAACTTCCTTCCAGAGCGCCTCGAGGTACGCAATCCTCCCAAACTCTCCACCTCCCTGACTTGCAAGAGCCGCGGCTTGTCGGCCATATGCAGCACTCTCAACGCCCCATGGCGTAGCAAACCCATATCCAACGGAGGAATTTCCATAGGTGGTAGTGTAGGCAGGAACGGAGCCATAGTGTATGCCATTGGCGTTGCCTGCAGCCATATTAAGGTGATTGTAGAAGTTGCTGTTCCGATTCAATCTCTGTTGCTGGAACAATCTGTTCTGAGCGGCAGCGGTCAACCTCTCCATCTCTGGCACGGTCTGAAGAAAGACCTGAGTGCGATGTTCGCGATAGTCGATAAATTGCGCAAGAGCATTTTCGTCGGGCATGTAGTTGCCCTGCCGATCTTTCATACCTTGCGCGACGCTTGCCTGCACGACGAGTCGCCAGCGTGTCCTCATGTTGGCAGAGTAGAGATCGCAAAGGTGCTTTCCCGGAGATGCTTCTTGACCAAAGATATGAGAAAGTGGTTTGTCACGCAGTACATCTTCGTAACATGACGGGCAGACGCTCATGGGATCTCCTCTCAGACCCACACGCCAAAANNATCGAGCTGTCTGTTGTTTTAGTGCTGTGCAGAGCGGCAGCAAAGCTGTGCGTCGGATAAAGGACAACAATTGCTCACGGTCGGCTGTCTCGATCGCGACCATGTATCGCAATATGAGCGGTCCAATTCGCTGAGAGTCAAGAGAGAAGTCGCACCCTTTGACCGTGCCGGCAGGAACTGGCTTTTGCGGTTGGAAGAAACTTTGCATGCCGAACGAGCAGACCCAGCCCGAGTAGCATGTTGGACATACGTCGAAGTTGTCGCAGCCTCCCTTGAGTGTGTACCATTGAACGCCAGTCATGCCCGAATTCTTGCAGAGCGGAGTTTGCGACTGTACTCTGCAGGTATTCCAGAAGATACTGTGCTTCTCGTATCCAAGAGCCGCTCCATACGCGACTTTCAAAGCAGGGATCGCAAGATCGCAGAACAGTTCTGTGTTTCCAAGAGACTTTTGTCCAAAGTTCGACTGGAAAGATGTGAAGCATACTTGGTCCAGATAGCATGTCTCGCATACGTCAAGTTCGTAAAGGCGAGCCGAAGTCCCGTACCAGCTGCGGCTGTTTGCATTCACTGCTGTCATCCCGTTGCATGGAGGCTTGCTCAAACGTTTCTTCGCTGCAACAACAAAGTCCGACCAGCTGTTAGACTCACCATATTCGGAAAATGCCCTGTTGATATACGGGACCGAGATGTCGCAGGACCACGTCTGATCTTGTGGTTGTCTCAGGTTGTGAAGAGCGAAACGATATTCGAACTTTGAGCCAGCGATGATACCATTGAAGCAAGCCTCACATACAACGAGTCCAGGTATAGCTTCGTGGGTTGCTTGATACCATTTCAATGCGGCCGCTGCGAGATCTGCTCCTGCAACACCCGCTGTACCGTAGCAGTGGGAAACCCTCGCTCTTGCTTCCATGTACATCTTCACAGACTGAAGATCTTGCGTCCTGAGGGCGTTGGGCCAGAGTCGATCCGTCACGTTGGGAACACCAAACATACATCTTGCGGCATTCGTTTGACCTGGTTCTAGCTTGCCAGAAAAGTCTGACTCGAATATACTGCCACGAATGTGAAATTCGAAGCATCTGCTACAAATCGAGAAGCCTGGAACGTCGATATGTCTAAACCAGAAAGCATCATGGACCAGATTCGCATCGACTGGGCACCCTCTACCAACATAGTAGGCATTGGCTTGGCCTCTGGGGAGACAAGCAGGTGGAGATGATGTGAAGAAAAAGTTGCCAGCTGTCGAAGGTTTCAAGTGAGGAGGATACTCAGCTCCGGAATAGGTCCCGCGTGGTGACATTGGAGGTGGTCTATGCGACGACTGATCGGGTCGCGGCGGCAATGGTGGTTTGCTCATGGCAATGCACTGTTGATAGCAAGTGATTAAAGAACTTCACAGCTCATATGACAGGGCTGACGAGTTGTAGTTTGGTCAAGATCTTGCGACTCTATCGGGGGCGGCGCTCATGGAGAGGACAAAGACATATATGCCCTGATTTGGTCGGTAATATACGCCTAGAATGCATCCTGAAACGAAGGTGGCAGGTCGACTTCCGGGAAGGAGTGCCAAGTCGACTTGATCGGCCGTAGCGATGGATTCAAGGGTGAGAAAGGCAACGACCATACCTTTATAGGAAAGCCAAGACTTCTTGGTAGACGTGTCTCCATTCGGAGTCGCCGAGCGCATGCATCGGCTCGTATCCTTTTCTGACTTGTGTCAAATCTCGCTCGTCGCTCTTGAGTCCACGAACAGCCATCTCTCGGTCTTGTCCGCTATCTCTTATCGATCGTCTGCTGGTTTCCCCAGCGAAGCAAGTCATTCGAGAAAGGTGTTGACAGATTCGAATTGGCTCAAGTCACATACGTCTCAAACATCACCAGACCCTTGCGACTCGTATGATGATATGCCGTCACGAAAGCTCCTTGACGTCGGATGAATGTTTAGCTCGACCTCAGCGCATTTGTCGACTCTCAAAGTCGATGCGCTCATTTCAGAGGGTTTGCTGTATCTTTTCCCCATGGCGTTGTCGCTTCATGAGAACCTTTCGAAATATCCTCAACCTCTATTGAATCAACGTTGGGCAGTATCCCCAGCATTTTGAGATCCATGTCTCCATCCACTAGCGATTTGTGGTGGTGTGGTGTGACTGTCTCCATCCAGGAATCTGGTGTTTGATTGTTCTGGTCTGTCAGTGTGGCTTCCTTGTGTCCTTCCTGGAAGGGTTGCGATCCAAATCTGCTGAAGATACCATGCCGGAAGAGAGCTGCGAGGTGCCTGAACAGGGGCATCAGACAAGCCGCAGACGCTGCTGTGATGCCAATACCCAACTCTAGAGTTGCCATATTAATTACAAGAGCAGTGGCCTTGTAGTAATTTGGTTGGTGTTTGACATCATAATACCGAGCGTCAAATTGGAGAGAGCCGACGTATATGGTGCGAAGAATTGCACACAGAGAACCACAGACGGCGATGACCATTAAAANGGTTACACCCAACTTTTTCCTTGTGGGCATGGATGATTTCCACAGAATCAAGATCGGCAGCAAGGCAAAGGTCCAGTCCGAGAATGCTGACACCGAGCCATGGACATACAACAGACCGTTCCACCAAGGCATTGGGATACAATGGCCATTGATTCGCTTCCTCGCCAGATGCACGGGTGCACCACATTCGAATAAGCCGAGAACGAGGCCAAGTATGGAAAAGACACAGTATGCGCATGTGATGAGCCAAATCACGCGACGTTGTATGCGCTCGAGGAGAAATTGGCGAAAGAATATGGCCAGGGAGATCTTGAAGGCAATGCTCGTGACCATGAAAACTGCTTCCGCGATGGCAATCAACTGTGATGGTATCGGCATCTCAGTATCTGCGGAAATAATTCGGACGCGATTCAGCTCACCTGNTAATATCAAATCCGCACTCTGCTCTGTGAGATTTGGATTTCGTCGTTCGACTATGGTCAACGCAATAGCAGCAGCGCAAAAGCCAAGGTACAAGATCTGTGTAAATGTCAGCTGAGCGAGCTACATGAAAATATACGACAACGAGCTGTCAGTGCAGCCATGCGACAAATCACTGACCATGGCGACAATCATCAACCAATCATCTAACCTCAATCCGCCCTTGAGCCATCGACACCTGACAAAAACTCTCAACCCGACGGTGATAGAAGAGACCAGCAACGAGACATAAGTGACGAGCGCAATTACATCCTCTGGCGCCATGACTTGGAATGTTTGGGCAAACCAACGTCCAAGAAACTCGAAATTGTGGAGAGTCAGCCCATGCTATAAATTTCCCATCACGAACAACAAGACAGGGAACCGTTGTAGGATTTAGGGCACCAACGCCAGAGCAATCCAGATCGGGAGTTATCTGGGAATTCGTCATGAAACGGGTACTAGACACCAAACCAGGTCGTTCAGGTAGACAGAGCCAGACTATGGAGATCAGCGGTGCAAAGAATGAAGAGCAGAGAATAATGTAAGCAGAAACGTAGCTTTGACCCGAAAGCGTTGACTGGTAGTGATGACATTAGCCGAGAGACACAAAAGAACTGACGCTGATGGAAGGACGCTTGCTCTAATAAGACTATACAAGATCTCTGTAGTAATTGCAAGTCACTGATCTTGCAAGCTTCATGAGGTCAGAAACTTTGAACCCACCATGACGAAATGGAGTTTGACTGATTGGATTCGAGCTGATGGGTTCAGGCGCATGTACGTGCCATTATCCTACGGCAAGTCTTGAACGTGACCATCGAGCTCCTGTGGAAGCACTGGAGTCAAGGCTGCGAGATCATGATCTGGCATACTTGAAAAATTTGGGGCCCATGCGATGGTACATAACCGAACCCGTCACCCATTAGTCCCGGGGTGGGACTCCCGGTGGAGCCGAGCCAGATACATCCGGGGCATGCTATGAACGATGAATGCTGCACTCATCGTCGTTGATTGTATCGCTTGCTGCATGCTTGCACAAGAGTAACGATTTCGCATCAAGGATGAAGACTGTTTGTGTAGGGCTCACGTTCGGAGATGACCAGAGTCTCAGAAGGCTGTCGTGGTCATGGGCGAAAGCTTATGACACAAAGGCAAGGAATGATCCAAACACATGATGCGATGGCCATAATTGATCTTGAGCAGGACTGGTCGCTACTGCGATCAATCTGCGCGCCAACTATACAGCGGTTGTATAGCGATCTCAACCCAGCGATCAGGTATCCTATCAATCAATGAGAGTGCCATGAAACCAAGGATGTTCCAAAGCTTCCAGAGCCGTGATACGCTTCGCAGGGTCGAGGCTCATCAACTTTTGGATGAGGTCTATAAAGACTTCATCTCCCACTTCTGGCCATTGCGAGGATGGCAAGTAGTCTATGTGATCCACCTCTCGATCTTCCCACAGTACCTTCAACACCTCGGTGCTGACCTTGTCATCACCTACATGCTTCAGAAGTCCGGAGACTCCCTGTTCGTCTCCGAAATAGCAGACTTGCCGCTGTAGATGAATCAAGAAAGGTATGGCGCCTTGGCTTTCATGCTTTCTGAAATCCTCGTCAAGGCCAAAAATGACTTTTCCTAGGGTGGCGTATATGCNACTCTGGTTGTTAGCCATCATACACTTGTGATGAAACTAAATAACACTTGCCATGACGCCGAAGGAAAACATGTCCGATGGTTTGTTTAATTCCCCTCGAAAATGTCCTTCGGGACTTCGCCAACTTTCATTACCTGGGAGCATGCCTTTGATACATCGACCTTTGGGCAGATATGCCGCATTCTCCAGATCACCCAGCTGGACATCTTCGATAAGCCTTCCTTTCGAGACTTGTCGTTGATTGACCAGAACATTATCCGGTTTGACATCTGGTCCGCGCCGTCACTCAGTATGCGAACAAAGCTGGCAAAACAAAGAACCTACCAANNGATGCACGATGTCTCTCGAATGTAGATCAGCAAGCCCCTGTAAGGCAGCCTCGAGGATCTTCTTGGCGGCGGTGACGTGCAGCTCTTCTCTGATGAGAGATTGAAAGTCATTGGTCAGATGTTCATAGACGAGTATCTCCTGCCCAGGGCTCCTGTCCAAGGGTTGTCGTAAGTAACGACTGTTTGGAAGTCGAGGTTGTATATTCTCCAAGAAATTGGAGAAGATGGCTTTGGGTATATCTTTAAGGATGTATGAGTGGTCTCTGGTTTGGTCAGAAGTGTATCTGTGGGGCTCGCGNNACTCCGACATGACCTACTCGGAAGTAGCTAGCCAAACACGCCCGAACTCTGGTCTCTGCTGGAGAAGCCGCTGGTATTGGTACACGCGTCTGATGGAGCCGATCAGAGCGGGAACGGGCGTCATTTTGGAGGCCATTTCCAATTGAGAGGAAGAGCACTGCACTCCAACTTTATCGCACACGTCCGGGCCTTGCGATGCGCGGACCGAGTCGAGGAAACGCACGAACGGGTGTTTGGCATACTAATACTCCGCAGCACTACTATAGCTGAGGGGGAATCATCTTTGTGGTTAGAGCAGTTCCTTTGTTTGCCAAGACTCTTGTGTTTGTGATGTTGTTGTTGTCGTCAAGAGAACGAGTCAAAATCGAAGCCCTTGAACGTTCTCAGCTGCATGGCTGAGTGTAAGATGATTTTCATCCAGTCTAGGAAGGAGAAGCACCTGGGAAAGAAAGACGAAGTGCCAAGACGAAACGCCCAAAGACTAAGGTTGTGTCAGGCAGGCAGCACCCTTCAAGCGGCTTCCGATCAAGGACGCCCAGTTTGCACACTCTTCAACATTCCAGCCATCTCAATACAGCATCATGTCGACATTCGGCGGCCCCGGCGGACGTCAAGTCATTGCAAAACCCACACCGTACGCTCGCCATCCGACCCCGTCACTGCATTCGCGCAACTGCTGACGGCGCACCGCAGANCCCGAGCGCGGCTCGTTCCCTCTCGACCACGATGCCGAATGCCAACACATCATGAAATCGTACCTGCGCTGCCTGCGCGCCCACCGGGGCATGAACGACGACGAGTGCCGTATGCTGAGCAAGAGCTACCTCCAATGTCGCATGGACAAGAACCTCATGGCGCCCGACGAGATGAAGAATTTGGGCTTCGACAATACACCACAAGCACTTGCTGCTGCCGCCGCTGCTGGCCACGCTCCGCCAGCCGACGTCACAAAGAAGTCGCCAGAAGGAGGGAAGAAGTAGACACTGAAGGAGAGGCACGACTTGTAAGAGTAGGAGACGGACGACTTGTAAGAACGGAAAGAGACGAACAACTTGTGAGAATGAAAAGAGACGACCGACTTGCAACAGTAGAAAAAGAAGAGGCAGACACGGATACCCCGGCGCAGAACATTGCGCCAACCACGTTCAGACGAGCAAGAGACGGAGAGACTGTCCATACGCTACACACCAATACAATTGACACATCTACAGCTTGTCCTTCAGCCCGTCCCACAGCCCTTGCAGGAAGACCGAGGCGGCATATGCTCCAGGATCTCTCGGCACGTCCTTGTCGCTGACCTTGTCGCCGACATACGTCGCTCTCCCGTACACGGCCGGCATGCCTTCGGTCTTGTCTGCGCCCTTGACCGCTTCAATCACGGCCGCCTTCAAGTCGCCCAGCTCCGACAGCGTCTCGCAAAAGGGAATCAGCGTGTCCATGACTGTTCGTCCTCCAACACGCGCCGGTGTATACGTCTGCAGATTCTGCAATGCCTGCCCAGCACTGCGACCCGCGACATGCTCGTCAAACTCGAGAGAAGAGTCGGCTCGATACGTCTTCTTGAGGTCCGACGTCCATGACGCGAGCAAGATGCTGATGATGGCTCCGAGCGTGCCTCCAATATCCTCGACACCACTCTCGATCTCGTCCATGATGGGCAACAACGCTCCGTCGTGTCGTGAGATCAGCCCAGACGAAAGTTGTGAGAGCACGCCCTTGCACATGCCCTCGACAGCCTCGCCACAGTCGCCGTCGCCCATGACAATGTCCCACTTTGTGATGTCGGGCTCGGCTGCTACCGCGGCTTCGCATGCGCTTCTGAGAGCGCCCTCGAATGTCGCCACGTCCAGCTTTGGTCCAAACGAGACGCTCTCGTGTGCAGAGAGCGAAGCTCTTGTTTGTGTCGGGCTGTCGACTCTGACTTGACCGTATGAATTTCGTGGCCAAGCTGGCGCGTTCGTGTCTTTGTCCAGCAGCGCATACAGTTTGTCCTCATCCATCTTTGTTTCTCTAGCCACACCGCTCAGGTTGAGTAATGAGATGCTGAAGCCAGGCGCGTTAAGCGACGTCTCAAAGGCTTGTGCGTACACTCTTGTGGGCGAGATATTCCAGTCCGACTTGAGATGGCTGATGGTCAGGGCCGTCAAGGCTTCAAGCTCGAGATTCGAGAGGCCGCCGAAATTGTTGATGAGCAATGCGACCTCGTCATCCGATCTGAAGTTTACGAACGCGCGATCCTTGTCATTTTCGTCGAGAAGGTATCGCAACAACTCCCGGATCAGTTCGTCTGGCTGAGGAATTTCTTTCTCATGAAGGCCNNCTGTTTCGCGTCAGATCTTCTCCTGGTCCCAAAAGTGGGATCTACTTACGGCTTCGTTGTGGATGCCTTGAGCCACAGACAGTGTGTTTGCAGGTAGGGATTCATGGTGTGCACGTCCGGGAATATGGCAGTAGTCCAGCGATGACCCAATGGTAACGCAATGACCATTGACACTCTCGCCAATGCCAAAGCAAGTGTCAAAGTCGTAATCCTCTTCTGCAGCAGCGCCGCAAAGTTTGAGTANCTGCATATCGGCATTCGTCAGCACGCGCATCCTTGCTCTACTTCTCTTGATCCCGAACTCACCGAACATGTTTCCAGCCAGCCCTCTCCTTCCCAACTTTCTCGTCTTTTCCCTGCCCAAACCAACATCATCCGTCATCCTCAACATGCCCACCTTCCTGCCCGAACCAGCAACCTTTTCTCTCGCCAACCCGAAGTGCAAGTTATCTCCCGTGTAGTTCGTAATGCACAGAATGACACCCTTGTCGCTGGGCACCTTTTCCACCGCAGCCATGATCTGCTTTGTCGACGGTGAGGCAAACACTTCTCCACTGATGGCGGCAGAGAGCAGGCCAGAACCCACGTAACCACACCATGCGGGTTCGTGGCCCGCGCCGCCGCCAGACAAGACCGAGACTTTGGAGGTAGAGTGGGAGGGTAGGTAGACTACTTTGTTTGCAGCATCGAGAGCGAGGTGGGGGTTCTTTGCTACAAGGGACTCGAGGCCACGGACGACGAGATTGTGGGTATCGGGGAAGAAGTGTTTTGTCGCCATTGTTGGTTTCGATCGTAGTCTTGCTGGCAGAGTTGTGGGATGATGATATGCACAGGTTTCTTGAGGAGACGAGGGGGAGACGAGAGGGAAAGGGAAGACGAGCCGGGACACCTGCTTACATAGCTGTCCGTCCCGACACCATGACCACACCCGAAATTTGCAGGCTGGACTCGTGTGCCCAGAACGGTATTGTCGCCGATGGCATGACAGCGGGGAACGGAGCGGGGTGCATTTGGTGGGGTCGAGGACCTGGAGTTGCCAGTTTGGGGAAGCCGAGCGGCTGAATTGTGTAGGTGTCGTGGCCCTCGTGGCGGGGCAAATAGAAACACCGTGACGGGGGACATCGCAGAGCAATCATTATTGACGAGAAGGACGAGCAGATTAGAGAACCCATGTGATGTTATGGCAAGGAAATGGCCGTGGCTCAGTTGAGAAATTATAACAAGATGTCAAAACATGCAGAAGACTGAGCATGAAGTCATAAACCATCACTCGTAAGAAGCACCAGACTCTGCGAATCCAGCAGAAACAGCATCACAAAGCAGCGACCGGACGAGCATCACGAATGAATCCCTTCATCTTGCCCTCGAACCTCTCTTTGTCGTGTCCAGCCTGGGCACCACTCCACTCGAGCACGCCCACTTCAATCATAACATTCACATCCAATCTCCGCAGTGCATCCAGAACGTCCCTCTTCTCCTCCATGGCTTCCTCGACGGTCGAGTCGATCCAACTCACAGTGAGGGTGCGCAACTCTGGTGCCGCCGCTAGGATCTCACACGTCCTCGTTGCCCTTTTCCTGATCTCCATGCAGTACGTTTGCGTTTTAAGCGAGGGATACGACTTCAAGAGACTACCGTCGAACCAAAGCACCAACTCTACTTTCTGTATCTTGTGCAGGAGGAAAGAGGCGGCAAAGTTGGAGAGGGTGGGGTCGATACGGTAGAAGTTGAAGGCATGGGAGGCGATAAGTTTCCATGTTGCAATGGAGAAGAAGTAGGGGAGAAGGTCAGAGTAGACGGCGCGACTGGTCAAGAGAAAAGAGACGGGTGGAGGGGCGTGAGATACACTGGTTATTCCGACGGTGGGGATGGGGTTGGAGATTGGGGATGCAGGGCAGAGGTGGGAGTAGATCTGCTGACGGAGTTCGAGGGGCAGTTGAAGGAGTTTCGGCAGGCTGGTCGTGTGGGTGGGTATCATGTCGGAATTATTATTGATCAGTGGTTTCATGGTTGAGATTCGAGGATGAGATGCGGCGAGCTTCAGCTGCTATGCCGGAGCCGATGGGTTGCAACAGAGGATGCTCTCGGGTCTTGCAAGGTACAAATAGTCTTCCAGAAACATGCGGGATAGCAGATGGAGACTCGGAATGTTTAGGCATAGACTCAGGATACGCGAAACAGAAGAGGGATGCTGGACGACTTGACATGGTGATAACAGTCGCGGCATCCATGACGCGGAGGACGATGCGGGGAAGAGAATACCAAGATGGGCAGTCACTCGACTTGAGAGTGTCGTCAATACATAGTTACTGCAGTCACTCTATGGCTTGTCCGCGGTTGTCTCAGACGTCTGCACGGCGCGCTTGTCGGCATGTCAACAATTGAGCGACCTCTGTAGAAATCCGAGAGAGTGCAAGGAAGAGAGAATGGGAATTCGGAAGTGGAGCGGGGCAGGGTCTGTGCTTGGGATGCTTGAGTCGCGCGACGCGAAAAGACGCGATACAGAGCGGCAATTGAATGTTTTGGACAAAGCCCAATCCGCGACTTCCTTGGTACATGTGGGATGAGTTGCTGCTGTCTGCCATGTTATTACCATGTCCATTGCCAACGATGCTGTCATTGCTCCAGTAAACAAGGCTCCTGTCAAGACACTTGCCGACCGACTACTGTCCAGAAAGCGCAAGCGAGACGGTGACGCTCCGCCGACAAAGGCGCCTGCTCGTCCACCTCAACCCACTATTGCTTTGCCCAAGTCACTGTCCGACACCCGTCCAACCCCACCGACCGGCCTCGCTGCTCTTTCATCTCTACCGCAGTCGTTCGTCGTCAGGGTGCGTCTTCCTCTTGCCGCANNACAGCCAAAGACCTCGCTGAACCGCTCGCAGTCTGTCGACAATGACAAGCCGCTATCCTTTCGCATCCTTCGCCCTCTCCCTCGCGCTGCTCTACCCTTGAGCTACATTGACAACTCGGACGCTCCCACCCGCCTCTTCTCCGCTCATCTTCCCCAACTTGATCATGACGCCCGATCCCCTCATCTCGTCCTTGTCGCTCGCCTCGATTCCGAGCCCGATCAACCCTTGTTCGCTGCCGAAAGAGTCGGACACAAGAGATATGCACTGTGCAAGTTGGCTAGCTGGCTGAGTCTTATCCACCTCGACGCTCTCGTCCCGCCTGTCTCCGTCGCAACCGAGTCCCTGTCTCAGACCTCTGTCGTCACTCCTCACGCTTTGTGGTGGCAGCAGTCTGCCACCGATGCGCCAACATCACAACCCGCCATACCCCGCAAGGCTCCTCGACTGGCACTGTGCCGTCGCCAGCCCTCGCCAATCGAGCCCGTGCTNGTCCCTCGAGCCCGACCCCTCGCACCACCTCTGGCACAAGAAGAGACGTGCGAAACCTCCGAAGACTTCTTGAGCCGCTTCCTCTCACACTACCTCGACACGCTCTACCTGTCCAAGACGCCGCTCGCCTTCTTCACCAAAGGTCCTCTGTCGCGCCTGCGAGCCGCCTTCACAACAGGTCAGCCTCAAGCCTCCTCTCTGTCCGACTTGGTACGATTCCTGCGGAACATGATCCACTCGTCCTCCATGTCCGACAAGAAGTATCGCGACAAGTTACCCGAGCTCCTGAAAGACCTGCCTCCGCAGCAAGCAGAGTCAGCGCACAAGAAGAAGAGACGGAAGAAGAAGCTCAAGCCTGACAAGTCTGGCCTGCTGCCAGAAGAAGACGCTTACTTTGCCAAGTGGTGGTACCAGGACGAGGCTTCTGCACCGTCTGGCGAGACGGCCGAACAGTCGCTCAGACGCAAAACTCCGCAGCTTCGGACTCGAGAGACGTTCATGCAGCTTGTCCTGGTGCTGGAGATCTTGAGCCTGGAAGCGCTGCCCGAATTCAAGTCGTTGGAAGAAGCAGCCCCACAACACAAGAGCAAGAAGGGCGACACGATCACGTTGAGCCTCGAGTTGCTCGTCGACAAGCTTTGTATCTGGCACTCTCTGCACACTGCAGACTTGCTCGGCGAAACACCCAAGCCCGACAAGACGCCCAAGGATGGCGTCAACCAACTGCACAGCTTCTGCGTCGAAGTCATCATTCCCTTCTACATGTCTCGCACCCACGAGCATGCCTCGTTTGTCAACAAGAAGCTCGGCGGCCCCGGTTCCTCGACAACCACCAAGCACATGCACAGCCGCAAGCTTTCCGAAGCAGACGGAGTCTCTAGGGCTCGCCGTCCGCTTGCTCGCGTCGCAACAGAAACCATTCCCCAACCCACCAAAACCCCTCGGTCCCTCAGTCGCTCGGCCACTGACTCGCAAGTCTTCCCCGTCAAGTCAGAAACACCAGAACTCTCATTGTCTACCATCCCTCCTCGACGAGATAGCCAGCCGTCCATGGCAAGAAAGAGTGACGTCTTGGAGAGGCATCGTTTGCGTCAAAGAGAAGTCGACTTTGGTGCTCTTGCTGCAGCAAACGAGGCCAAGGCAAAGAGGAAACAAGAGGTCGAGCAGAAGCTCAAGGATGCAATTTCCACTCTGAAGAAGCCAAGTCGTGCAGCCGTCTCTGGCGAGTTTGTGGATGCTGTCGAACAGAGAAAGCGTATGGCAGAAGGCAGAGCGAGACCGCCGTTGAACAAGCGAAAGTCTTCGTCGCTCGCTCAAGTTTCGGCCACACCCAAGAATGGCCATAGGACCTCTGCCATTGCTGCAACACCTCACCACATTCCGGCACCCTCTTTTGTTCGTCCATCAGTCCCATCTTCGGGTCCNTCTCTGGTGCCTTCGTCAAACCTCAAGCAGAAGTCTTTGTCTTTTGCCCACTTTCCCCCAGTCCACGAAGCATCTGATGATGAGGATGCCATTCCTGCTACCGACCATCGACCCCGTCATAGAGACGCGCTTGCTGAGACTCCTTCGAAACCTCGTGTTGATTTTGCTTCACTACCTGGCGTTTCCCCAGATGAAGACCAGGATCATGCTGGCTATGTTGGGCAGGATAGAGGCGATTCTTCACCATTGCGTGAGAGTCCGACTTTGCTGAAGACACCAAGCAAGCCACAGCGACCTAGATTCAGCATCACTCCTAGCAGACCGACTCCGCCTTTGAACTTCGGCAAAGCCAAAGCCAACCAAAGCGTCAGTGTGACACCGTTGAGGATCACTGCCACTGCGACCACGAAGACCCTGCTTGCTGAATCGCCTGCGTCAGCTGGACAGCAAAGAGCTGTGGAAAGTGGATCGAAGGATCAATCCGATGATATCTATGCCGCTCTCGGGTGGGACGATGACCTTGATGATGACTAGTTTATGTATAAATGCTTTATGAATATTGATGTCCACTGATGAGGCCGACGTTTTGAAGCCTTTGCCAATCACGAGTCGAGCATTTCTCCTTGCATCCAAAGGATCCCGACCATGCAGGGATTTTTCAACTCTCTCCGACCAGGGAAGTCACTCAACCTTCTCGCCCACCTGGCTGGGTGCATGCAGAAGGATTCCATGATGCAATGAAAAAAAAGATCTCGCGTGGTTCCTTCATTGGTCGAGATCAGTACTAGCAAGGTTGAAAATAACTCTATCCCCGCACAATTGATGCCGCAAGACTCTCTTGAGATGAACAAATGTTGGTAGTCCGAACTGACCAGTGGAGGTGTAGTCCGAGGGTACCAATCACAAGTCACTTCCTCGCCAAGGCCACCAGCTCAGCTCCTGAGAGGATCTGAATCCTCTGCAGATCTCGTCTTCTCCCTGGACTCCGCCTCTTGTTTTGCTGTTGCTTCTCGCATACAGCATAGCCAAGACAGTTCTGATCGAAATCCTACTGTCTCTGCGAAACTATTAAGGATGTGTTGCCCGCCGCACACAAACATGGCTGTTTACCACGGCTCTGTTGACTATCGAAGTCCATACCATTATCACTTCCAAGTCCATTAGGGACGCTACTACAATTCATCAATACAGCCACAGACTTTGTTACAATGATCGGTCTCAAGAGCTGCCTTTCCCTAGCTTTTGCCACGACATTCGCTGTCGGCGTTCTTGCTCAAGCACCACCAACACCTCAAGACTTGACGTATCTCAACTCCACCATTTTTCCAGGCACGTCCATATCCTTCAAGGAGACTACCATTTGTGAGACCAACGAGGGCGTCAGAGGTTGGAGCGGCTACGTCAACTTCCCTCCTTCACCTCAAGAGGGTCGCAACTACCCCATGCACACCTGGTTCTGGTTCTTCGAAGCTCGTCATGATCCTCAAAATGCACCTCTTGCGCTTTGGCTGCAGGGCGGACCTGGTGCACCGACATCTGTGTCAGCTGTAAACGAGAACGGTCCTTGTAACTTGCTCAACAACTCACGAGACGCCGTCAACAATCCATGGTCCTGGAATGACAGAGTCAATATGCTATATGTTGACCAACCGGTACAAACCGGCTTCTCATACGACACTTTGTTAAAAGGAACGATCAGCGAGTCTTACTCCCCCTTCCAAGCCTTCAAACAGGGCCAATTCCCGATCAATGATACCAATCTCGCTGGCGTCTTCACCTCCAACAATCCCAGCACGGCTCCAAACAGTAGCGTTGTCGTCGCTCCTGCCATGTGGGATTTCATGCAAACGTGGTTGCAAGAGTGAGATTGTTGTGTCACTCTCATGTTGTTGCCTACTAATTTACTCGCAGCNTTTCCAGGTTACACTGGTGACAAGACCAGGTTTAACATCTGGGGGGAGTCTTACGGAGGACATTGGGTTCCTACATTTGCCGACTACTTCTACAAGCAGAATGATCGCATCAGCTCTGGCAGTCTCAACGCAACATTGCTGACCATCGAGTCTCTCGGTCTAATCAATGCTTGTGTAGACGCCGAAACTCAACTTCCCTTCTACCCCGTCATGGCTGCCAACAATACTTACGGCCTCAAAATTTTTAACGATACCACCTACGCGACTTCCATGGCAGCTCTGCCGCAATGTCTGAACCTCATCAAGATCTGTAGAGCGGTCGACGCACGTCTCAACCCTTACGGATTTGGCAACGACACAGACGTAAACATCCCATGTAGAAAGGCATACGAGTACTGCATCACTGCTGTCGCCAGAGAGACTCAATTAGGCAACATAGAAGGATACGATGTACGTTGTGACTTCGTGCACCTTGTGAGGCTGTCAGACTGACCCATTTTGTCGCTATAGGCTTTCCACTTCGACATTGCATCACCTTTCATCCACAACTTCCCGCCTCGTTATGCCGCTGGATATCTGAACAATGCCACCGTACAAGCAGATCTAGGCGTCCCTCTCAACTTCACTGGTTACTCGGCAGTCATCGCACAAGAGTTCGAAGTCGCGGGTGACTTTATCAAAGGTGATAACCTCGCAGCTCTGGGTCGATTGCTCGATCGCGGAGTCAAAGTCTCTCTCTTGTATGGAGATCGTGACTATCAGTGTAACTGTATGTGTCCTGCTTTTGTCTACGTCGTTTCACCACTGACGAGCTTGATACANGGGTTTGGAGGCGAAGCCATCAGTCTTGCCATCAACTCCAGCATCTCATCCTCTTTCAAGGAGGCTGGCTACACCAACTTCGAGACCAATGCATCTTATACTGGTGGCTTGACTAGACAATATGGAAATTTGTCTTTCACCAGAGTCTTCCAGGCCGGACACGAAGGTAAGTTCTGTTGCTGGATCTTCTATCGATCCTTGCTGACATGATGCCTCTANGTCTCATACTACCAACCCGAGACCACATACCAAATATTCAACCGCGTCCTTTTCAACAACGACGTCGCTACCGGCCAGATCTCCACTGCATCCTCATCAAACTCTTCCACCTATGCCACGACAGGCAATTCCTCTGCTCTGATCTCCATCGGTGCACCCATTGATTTCGAGGCCAAAGTGCCTGCGTGCTACTTCTGGGATATTCTGGAGACTTGCACGTCAGCACAAGCTCTCATCTTCCAGAACGGAAGTGCCATTACGGAAGACTTTATCCTTGTGGGTTACAGGCTGAAAGATGGCACCAAGGTGTTTTACAATGAGACTGCTGCGAGAACCGGCAGTGGACAGGGTAGTGGAAATGGGTCATCTCCACAGCCATATGTTCCTGGCAGTGGTGCTTCGCATGTTGGTTCTATGAGTTCGGGGCTGGCTGCTCTGGCTCTAGCTGCTGTCGCTGCGTTTGTATAGTTAGATGATTGTAAGGATGAAGACACACCGGATCATCGTGATGTAAGACGATCAAGTGGGCAAACGCGCGTGAATCATTGGTTGAACTACACACTACACACAGAGATGTCTGAAGCCCTTGTGTTTGATAGGCTAAATCAATCCATCTCAAAACATTCTACCTGTAAACCGTTGTGGTGGGATTTGCAGCAAAGCGTTTCCACGTCTCGTCGGCAAGCAAGTGCTGCCATGCATCCTCGGTAACGTCGACAAGTACATCCACAGTTCCTTTCGGTGCATCTGCAGGCGTGGGCATGATGACTTGGAACCCAGCACAGATACCGCTGGCAGGGAAACGCAATGCCTTCATACGGTGGCCAAACTCAGGACCCCATTCGATGCCATAGTAGTCGAACTTGCTCCAGTTGCTTTGTAGCACGTTGGCACCGGGCATGTCAAGGAAACAGGTACCGGCAAGAGAGTTCACGTTGTCCATGTTCTCGATGTAGTATGCCAACTGGTCGTGATACTGTTTGCCGCACTTGTTCACGGCCATTCGAACCATGACTGCCAGATCTGCGAGCGATGCTTTCTGGGCCGAGACAACTTCAGAAAGGGGCAGTGAAGTAGCGGTGTAGCCGATAACATTGCCAAGTGTATGAGCATGGATTTCCTCGTATGCCCGACGTCTTGTGTCAAGAGCGACCTGACAGAGGGAAACCTTGTCAGCAGCAATCTTGGATGGATTGGTGTGCTGAGCGCGTTGGATCGACCTCCAGAGAAGTGCCGTTAGAGCATCGTTAGTCGAGATGAATCCAGGGAGTGGTGTCACAGAAGCCTGGTTCTTGAGGAGATGCACATTAGAAGGCGCACACTCATCCTTGAGCGCAGTGATGGCTTCAGGCGAGAAGCGGAATACATGCGCGTGATGTGATGCGTTTACCAAGGCGTCCGGAAAACCAGGTGGGACAAAGGGCAGGTGAACCCACTCAGGATGTGCTGCTGCAAAAGCAGCAAGGTCGTACTTTCCAGTGCTGTGAAGCAGCTTCTCACGATCTCTGACAGTGACTTTGGCAGGACATTCAATTGACATGCCTTGAGCTCGCCGCACCTCGTCCGCAAACAGCTCAGTCAGCTTCCACATACCCGCGCCATCTCCCGTCATGTGGAGGCACAGATGATTAAGCAAGAGCCCCCCCTTGATCATGTTGACCTGCATCATGGTGGTTGCAAGTCTGTCGACACCAAAGTTGGGCCACGGACCTCCGAGCTTACGCAAACACAGCTTCTCATCGTCCATGGCTCCATTGGGAAAGCCTTGCTCCTTCAATTGGGCAAAAGTGAGCATGTCGGCATCGTCGCGATGATCTCTGAGCACAAAGTCTTCGATTTCACCATCTTCGTATGCTTGAAGTTTGAACATGCCTGCTGGCTGCTGTTGGAGATCCTCGGGAACTACCTCGACACCAACCATGGGAGTCTGGCGCTTGAAGTTCTTCCACGCCGAGAGGAGAATCGATGCGATGCGAGTGGCATCGTAGTCGGCATCAAGCTGGAAGACGTAGATAGTGTTGATCCAGCCTTTGGGCCCGACTTGCTCGGAAGCCAGAAGTGGAAGGGCTCGATTGACAGCTTTCATCGTGAGTAATGGTAGATGGGAGCGGCGCTGAGGGACGCTGTGACGAGGGCTAAAGAAGATTAATAGGACTCGGAAAGGACAGAGGCACTCTTCGTGAGTTGCCTGGAAATTCCGACTATCGCAAATAAGGCTCACAAAGACAAGCGAGATTGTGTCTTGCTCTGCCCACAAATGCCGCTCAACACGTACATCTGCCGCGAGGATTCAGATCAGTACAATATAGATGCTTTTCATGGTGTATCGTAGCCGGGGTGTTGTAATTGCGTCGACCAGGACTGGACTAATACTGCCAGAAGTCAAAGTCTCAATCAAGGCAACTTACAACACGACTTATAAGCTCTGTCAGAAACATCGAGTCCCCAAAACATATAGAGTCAACATTGGCGATATCCGGACCCGAGCTGTTGGTTCATAGCCATAAAGTTGACACAATGGACCGAATCTTGACTCGAGTGAAGACGCGTGGGTGCTTGAGGTAGACTAAAGATAACATGTCGCTAGCTCTCATATGAATATATTGTCGGTGGGTGGATGTGCAGCGATCAGGGGTCTCTGGGGATGATCGCTGCGGCTGTCGGGTCGTTGCACGGTCGTCAAGAATCTTCAGACGGTATCAGCGCTCCAGTTGGCTTGTGATGCCTGTCAATGGCTCGACAGACTCAACGAGACCGAAACGATGTCCGGCGTTGAACAATGCCTCTTCTATGGTCGCAAGCGCAACTTGATACAAGCAAGAACCGCAAGCTAGAGTTGTCAGAAGGATGGATGAAGTCGTTGAGGTGGTGGGTTATCGACGCACAGACTCGGTTCTCGGGTGAGTGTCGCGGCTTTGGGCACGCACCACGAACGCAATTGCCCGCTCAAGCCGGACCGACGCCTTGATCAGTTCTTACAACAAACCACGCATGAACATCTGGAGAATATCGTACATCTCCCCAGGCAGACATTCGCGAACGTGCATGCTATGTGAGGTTGCCTGCTGGAGTGCACATAACCACTCGGGCTTGACAGCACTCACCGACGCTCAGCCTCGAGGATATCCTTGCAAAGGTTCTGGACGATCCTGACCAAACATTATTGTCCCGACACTGCGCGATTGCTTGCCTATCTCGACCATCGGCTCTAGCATCCCCTTCCGGCACCCAGCGATATGCAGCCGGATCGAAACATTTGCTTGTGCTGGTCCTTGCTTCACCTCTCACAATCCACGCAGCGACTGGCGTGAGAATCATGCCATGGACTTGGTGCCCCAGCAATATCATAAAGTTCTCGCCCGTCATTAGGTAGATTCTCTTTCTTATATCCAGTTTACTTGTAAGTATCTCACGTAGATGAAAAAGCCGTGAGCACACTTAATTTTACAATGATCTTCGCAAGCCTGACAGCAAAAAAAAGTAATGGCAGTGCGATGGAAAGTCTTAAGTTGTCCCGGCACCTGCTGGCTCGGGTTTTTGTCCAAAGTAGCGGTCCCCTTCACGATGTTTTCACAGTCCATAATCTCTCTGTGGAGTCCTCTCGGGTCATATTACGCTCGCTCCAATTCTTAGACCATAAATGCAACGTTCAGCCTTGAAGCAGATTCCCACAATCACTCGTTGCTCCGCTATGTCTAACATCGATGCCGGGATCCAAGCAATCTTCGGTCCGCCGCCCAAGGACATTGACCTGGACGACTCAATTAGTCTAGCATATGACGTTGCATCTTGCATCGTGCTGGGCTTGGCCATTGCAGCTGTGGCCTTGCGCTTTCACATACGCGTTCGATACAATTCGCAGGCACGAAACCTGGGCGTTGACGATTATACGATTCTTCTTGGACTTGTCTGCACGAGCGCCCTTGTTGCGACAACCATCATTGGTATGAGAGCTCTTGGATATGTCATAAAGGTCTTACTAATCGTTGATGCGGCGCAANNAGCTGGAGGTTACGGCTCAGGAAAACACGTCTGGACCAGCAATGTTGATCGACTAATGACACTGGTGAAGGTAAGCCTCACCACATAGTGCCACACACGCCGTCATCCATGACTGACCTTCGTGGTCCAGGTCGTCTATGCTGAGCCGTGGGTGTATGCAGCATCTGTCACATCCACCAAAGTCAGCATTCTCCTGCTATATCGCAGACTCTTCTACGTCACGAGCAATCGAGAGATCTCTGCCGACCGAACGTTCTACATCATGCTTTGGGTCGCCATATCATTCACTGCATCATATCCTATCATCATGTGGACTGTCATGGCATGTGCTTGCCGCCCGGTTAGCTTCTACTGGAGGCAGTATGCTGGAGCTACGGATGGTGTGTGCATAGACGTGCTGCATTTCTTCCTTGCATTTGGTGTGGTCAACATGATCAACGACATTGTCGTATTGGCAGTCCCAATCCCACGCATCTTGAAGTTGCGCACAAGCAATAAAGAAAAGATCTCGATCTTGTGCATCTTGTTGCTTGGCAGTTTGTACGTTACACTCGAGTGTTCTATCACCGAAACACTACTGACTGAGTGGTATCGCTAGNNTGTCTGCGTCGCCAGCGGAGCCCGCATTTACTATCTCACCAGATTGACCCGAGAGGTAGATGTGACTTGGATCTTCGGACCAGCATTTGGATGGTCCAGCCTCGAACCCTCGGTCGCCATCATCTCAGCCTGCCTACCAACATTCGCGCCCTTGTTCCGCAGTCTCCACAAGAAGAGCACGTCCAAACTTGGCAAGAGTGGACATGGAAGCCACTCGAGCTATCTGCGCAGCGGGCGCAGCGGCCATATACCCCTCCAGGACTGCAGCCAGACTACACTTGATGCGAGATATGGCCGCACCAACGTCAGGATCGTGCACGAAAGTACTGAAGCGCGTCAACAAGAGAACGTGCGTCAGACACATGGAAGACACTCCAGTCGTAGCGATACCGTCTTCCTTCGCGATACGATCACTGTAGACACGGATATCGAGGTAGTCACGACAGACAAGAGCGTCGAAAGAGCTTTTGCTTGATGCCCAACAGACATATGAATACTTGCAAGCAGATAGTAAGGTTGTCGTAGCATCGCTGGTCCGGTAAAGATATCTGATTCGAATCTTTGTCCGTACTATCGAGGTCTTGTAGATGACACATACCTTGAAATCTTCCTTTGGAAGTCGCCATCCTAGATATACCCACTTCTCAGTTATGCTGGGGATAGTCCGCTATAGGTCAAAGATCAAATAACCTCGTACAACGGTAGGTCTTATCTTGCAGCGCAATGTGCACAGATGCATAACTTATAGCATAACTATGGCTGAAGGTACGACCCTGACTGAGTACGTACTGGTAGCAGCGGCAACGTAATGGTGATGTAGTTGTATACAATATAGATAGGTACTTGACTGTATATGTAGCTACCAGTATGGAAGTTTTGATGGGACTAAAGTGACTTCTCCGTACGAAAGACGCCTCATACACTGAAACCAGACTTGGCCAATGATCTGGCCGGCAAGACCACGCATTTTCGGCGTCGGATATGAACCATGGATTGCCATGTAGATTGCCTGAGCTGATATGAAGGCGCATTCTTATAAGAGCTTTCGTAGAGACCGCCCAATATCATACCCTTCGATTAAAGAAAGCACTTCTCCACAAGCACTTCCTTCCGTAGTACCGGGAAGCCAACTGATATCAGGCCTTCGATACTCTGCACAAGAACCAACACCCAAACGTGGTCGACAGACCAAAGTCAGTAGGGTTCGTTCTGCACTTAGTGCTCATAATCCTCCTTTAAGCACGCGTTGGTCGTATACGGGTGGTCAGTGAATAGCTTTGTGAGTGGACCAAAACAGTCAACCCCATGTACAAGCTTCAGCGGCAGTTGAAGATGACATAGCAAGTCTTTGAGACGAAACGAATATAAAGACGCAAGGTAAAATGCTAAAGCGCAATCAGATCCTGCATGACAATCTGAATCGTCCTTCGAGCATGCACGAATACATTTCATGTGTCTCAAAACTAAGACCCCGCACGCGACGCGTCAACCAAGCTGAGACGCCTGTGGCTTCAAACCTTCTGCCTATCTTATCTTTCAGTCAACTCCTTGTCCAGTCAGCTGCTATGAGGTTAAAAACGTTAAGCCAGCCCTGGAACGCCTACAGCATCCTTCCCCCGCAAGTGACCAATGCCAGGGTCGATATAGAGGTGGTGTGCCAGTACAGTTTCGAATCCTTCGGACTCCAGAAAGCTTGAACCGGCAACAGATTGTAGGCGTATCCTGGCTAGATACAAATACCACGTATTCCGCGTGCAGCAACTAATCTCTTGCGTTGTCTTGTCTATAGCTTGACTTGTTGCCTCCAGCATTGTCCGGAACTAAATTCAACTACCATCGCGATTTCACCCCACCAGAAAATGGAAGCAACACTCGTCGCAAAGCTCCTCGCTATTCCGTGTGGTTTCTTGCTGGGCAGCTACAACGCGGTTTTCTCACAAAATGTCATGCCGCATCTCTACAAGCGACCAGCTTCAGTTGTAGCTCCCATCTTTGCCAAAATTTACAGCGTTGGCTCCACTACTATTGTGCCTCTTGCAAGCACTGCTATCATCGCTTATGGCTATTTGGCGTACAGCTCACCTCACAAACGACAACAATATGGCACGGCTGCAGTCTTGACGTTGGCCACACTACCGATGACTCAGATCGTCATGATGCCGAGCATCTCTCGCCTCCTGGAAATCAGCAGGATGGGGAATCTGCAGGCGAACGCAGGACTTGATCAGGAAGTCACGAGATTGATTAAGACTTGGGTCGCACAAAACTACTTCCGGGCTTCACTGCACTTGAGTGCTGGGTTCGTGGGCCTTTATACAGCACTCTCATGAATTCGGAATAAAGAAGTAGAGGTGGAAGTGAAGATCTTCGATGGTTGGGTACTAGCTGTTGCGTGTTCGTAGTCTTGGCAATAGTTTTGCAGCCATTCCAGATTTCGTTGTTGTATGATTGGTTCTATCGATCTAGGCGTTCAATCTCAGTGTACCCGAATGTGTCAGGGTGTGAAAGATGCCGACCGATGCAGCCTGAGCCTAAGCCAGGTACGAATCAGTCAGCTGCAAAACATCCGCAGTGGTGTTGCAGCCCCGGTCTCCCTCACGGTCCAAAGTTGACTTGTCGATGCCCTGGCGAATCATCCCAGCAAGTCTACTCAGTATCGGCTTCCCATCTCGGACCCCGTCTTCCTCCAACGTCCGCCACTTGTGATCATGATTTTGGTGGCTCCGCATCTGTATGCAAGTGAGTTCAGTCTTACAAGGAATTGAAGNTGTTTGTCCGTGGATCCTGTAGATTATAAGCCAGTCTCTCTCCTCTTAGAGATCTTCATCCAGGACTGCAATCGATTCCCTGCCTACATCTCTGTCAAGGGGGACAGTCGCGACATATGCGAACCCTTCCATGACTGTCTTGCAGGGCGACTGCCAGTTTATCGGGATTGATGGCTTCGTCGTACCGTCGGAAATGTTGTCGGGAAGAGCTTCAAGTGTGTCCTCTGCTACCCAAAAGCAGTATTCTTCGGCGTATTCAGCATTCTTCGCAAAGACTTCGTTGATCATCTAATCAGGTCATGAAGTTAGAGGTATTCGAAGAAAGACAGCTGATATGTCCTACGTTTACAGGCACATCGTCCAATACAAGAAGCGCACAAAAGGCTGATCATTCCGATGGTTGGGCATGCGTATGCTTGCGTGGTGGGTGACGGTGTACGGAGCGGTAAGCTCATCTTCTTGGAACCTAACTTCTGGTGGTCGGGATATCTGTTTTGTACGTGGCATAGCTGTACTCGACGAATATGCACATAGGCTCTTGAGATGGTCTGCTATGAGCCTGCAGAGGAGTCCGAAACTGTGTGTACAGATGATCGCGCCATGTTCGAAGATGTTTTGTAGGTGGATTGAGGGCCTTATGTGCTCGGAGCTTGTCGCGAGTCACGATAGTCACGTTGCTGTTGACGCGATGGCAGCCAGATCGTTGCCTGAAATCCTGCCAGTGCCAACTCTAAATCCAGGATGAATGTTTGACGTGTCTGGAAAAGGGTCAGCATTGGACAGGTCCTGTTGTACACGGCCAACTCTCACAGATGTACACTCCGCTAGGCCATCGACTCGCTCTTATCAAGGACTGTCTTTTCGGCACTTGCGCCTCCATCCTCTCCATACAGTGATCCGGTCTTTTGTTTGACCCAGCCTGATCTCGACAGGGCAAGTGTTCCTACAAGCGCAAATGGCCCAACAGAGTGCCAGAGTGGCGGTACCATATGCTTGTCGACCTGTCCCTGCTCAAGCATCTCCTTGGACCATAGTACGCAGTCCAGAATGGCTTTCGAGTACATGAAAGTAAATGCATAGATGGCCCAAACACTTGCTCTTGTCTTCTCCTCCTCCTCTGACTGTTTTGCGACCTTGGCCTTCTCCAATTCTGCAAGAATCTTCTGCTTTGCCAAAGTCCAGTTCCCAGCATGCCGATACACTAGATGGAGCACAATTCCCGCTACTACCGCGAGCGCAGTACCGAAACGCATCCAGGTCCAGGGTCTTTGCTCCAGAAACTCAGAACCGCCCTTTGGCCATGAATAGGTGAGATCGACAAGATCGATAGTGAGGTCTGCGAGTCCATAACCGACACAACCGAACACCGAGATTATCAGTATCGTATAGAGCCAGGCTGTAACAGTCGGTCGCAAGCTAAGATAAGCAGCGAGCTGATGAAATTTGAGTACCAGCACCAGCAGGGTGTACAAGATGAATGACAATGGCGAGGGTCCCATACTTGTCGAACTTCGGCTAATTGCCTGGACTTGGCGACGCCTTTACAAAAATTCGAAAAGGATGCAAATCGAGACGGGAGGGCGCAATGCTTTGTAGCCGGGGATAGGCCTCGAAGGATGAACGACGATCGCACAATCGCGGAGAATCCGAGGAGGAACCGTGCTTTTGATGAGTGCTTCAGCCAAGAGGTCTGCCGAAGATCCGAGCAGCGTCGATTACCTGTAGGCTACAGCTTTTCAATCCTTGAGCTACAGTACTTTCTTTCTCACCAGAGAATCTTGACAGTCAATCTCATATCAGATCTCTCGCATGGCGCCAACTGAGTATCCCTACGATCTAGGCGCCCATCACACAACTGTTACAACCTCGAGCAAATCGGCTCAACAATGGTTCGACCGCGGCTTGATCTGGACATACGCGTTCAACCACGAAGAAGCCATTGGATGCTTCCAATGCGCCATCGAGGAAGATGCCGACTGCGCTATGGCATATTGGGGTCTCGCATATGCTTCTGGCCCCAACTACAACAAACCTTGGGAGTTCTTCGACGACGATGACTTCATCGCAAGCGTCAGGAAAGCGGACACTGCGGCTATCGAGGCGCGAGAAAGAGGNAAATCTGCCTCATTGCTCGAGCAAGCTCTCATCGAGGCGCTGCAATCGCGCTACCCATCCCATCTGTCTCGAAGATATGACCAGAATGACTTTCGACCATGGAACCAGGCGTATGCCGATGCCATGAGAGAGGTGTATGACCAATTTCCTAACGATCTCGATGTCGCGACATTGTTTGCCGATGCATTGATGAACGTCACCCCTTGGGCTTTGTGGGACCTGAAGACTGGCGAACCCGCTCCAGGTACTCATACAATAGAAGCAAAGGATGTGTTGGATCGTGCCTTGTGCGAGCCTGAATCTGACCGACATCCCGGACTCTTGCACATGTACATTCATCTAATGGAGATGTCGAGTACTCCAGATCTAGCCCTACCAAAGGCCAACCTCCTTCGCGGCCTAGTCCCAGACGCTGGTCATCTGCATCACATGCCTACGCATCTGGATATTCTATGTGGTGATTACGAATCTGCCGCCATCTGGAACCTGGAAGCCATCAAGGCGGATGAGAAGTTCTTGAGTCGAGCTGGTGCAGTCAACTTCTACACACTCTATCGGTCGCATAACTACCACTTTCGCATCTACGCTGCAATGTTCGCTGGACAATCAAAGATTGCTATGGAGAGCGCTGCAGATCTCGAAGCATCATTACCCGAGACCTTGCTTCAGGTCACATCCCCCACGATGGCCGATTGGCTCGAAGGATTCCTGTCTGTACGTGTACATGTGTTGGTCCGCTTCGGGATGTGGGATGAAATACTGGCTCTGAATTTTCCAGCCGACAAGCAGCTGTTCTGTGTCACGACAGCTTTCATACTTTATGGACGAGGAATCGCTTTTGCCGCCATTGGTCAAGTGAAAGCCGCTAGGGATGCGGTGCAAAAGTTTGAAGCAGCTCTCAATGAGGTGCCTGTCTCGCGTATGCTGTTCAACAACAGATGCGTCGACATACTTCAGGTGGCCAGAACAATGTTGTATGGAGAGGTTGAATATCGCGACCGCAACTTTGACAAGGCTTTTGAGCATCTGAGAAAGGCAGTCGAACTGGACGACACTCTGCCATATGACGAGCCATGGGGATGGATGCAGCCTACCAGACATGCACTGGGTGCTTTGTTGCTCGAGCAAGGCATGACAGGAGAAGCCGAAGAGGTATTTAAGGCTGACCTTGGCTTTGACAAGACCCTNCCCCGTGCCTTACAGCATCCGAACAATGTTTGGTCTTTGCACGGGTACCATGAATGCCTCATCAAGCTCGGCAAGGTCGAAGAAGCAAAGGAGATCGAAGGTCAGCTAGCAACGGCAGTGGCAAAGGCAGATGTACCGATCGAGTCGTCTTGCTTCTGTCGCAACGGACGATGAAATGATCTGAGCACTCCAGACTTCGACAGATGACCGACTCGCTGATTGTCAACATAGAGCGAAGAGGCGGGCTGTGCAGTGGTTTGCATGCGGGCTATATAGAGAAAAGATCTCTCGGAGAGCTCTCCGGCTGCTCTCTTATAGCACACCCGTCAACGGTGGACATATATCGCGCTTTATCCACGCATCGACTTTCGCCCAGCTTTGTGTGATTGCGACAGCAGAAGCTCGAACATAATCTTGACGACGACGTCCTGCATCTTTTGCACGTATCCCCGCTCTCTCCGCTCCAATTCGTGATCTGCTTGATGCGCTCATGCAGGTTTGTCCAATCGAGTCGAAGTTGTAAGCGCTTTGGGTGGCTCGCTTCCCCGAAGAACTGCACCGCCTCCTCCCTTCTTCCCCTTTCAAGATCTTCGGCTGCTCTTGCAGCTTTTTGCTCCGTCAAAACCTTCCCGCATCACTTCAAACGAATCCTCAGACAGCAACAGCAGCCGATAATCTGTTTTGAATCTCTCCCTCATTCTTGAACATGGTCGTTGAGCTAGGCTTTGATCCTTTCAATTTCAGCATCGCGGTGCTGGCCCTACTCTTCACTGTCACACACCTTTCCAGAAGTCGCTACCTACACGGTCACTGTCCAATCTGTAGATCATCCCCTGTTTTTATTGGTCCCCAAGCAACGCTCCCGCTCCCTGCAACCAGTTGCCATGGCAGGCGAGACCAACGGCAGTTATACATGTTCATCACATATTGGCGCAACTTCCGGTATGGTCTGAGAATTGTAGCTGAGAGATCAGAGCTTCGAAAGCTTATCAAACAAAGCAGGAGAGCCGTCGAGTAATATGCGCGGCGACGAAGATGGGTCCAGCGGTTATGCCGTAGCCGAAGCACTTGAGCGTCATGAATCTTTTTTGCACGCGCGACTGGATTTCTGACTGCTACATCAGCAAGTTTTGTCGAGGAGAAAGCGATCCCCACGTAATTCATGTCCCGTATGTTCTTGACATTACTATTTGCGACATATTTAGTAGTTTGTCCAGACGCATCATCTCTTCTCAAAGACCAGTGACTGACTTGGAATTTTGGTCGAAGAGTACCACTTGCAAGTAGGATGCCTTACACATGATAATACAAGGCACAAAATTCGCAATAGGTGAGCAGTCTTGGATGTCATCGTCCTCCAGCAGGCTACGATTGTGGACCGATCCGATTGAACACATGTATCGCGTTCGGATTGTTCTAGAAACCTTGCTCGATGGTGTGAGGTCTGCCTGCTTGAATGCTTGAATGTTCGCAAGCTTAGGTGACAGACGGCCCCCAGACATTCTGTTGTTGGCGAGGCCAGGCCCATCAAGGAAAAACAAGGCTGAGGGCACATACGCCAGCGCCGGTGACTTCTGGCCTTCTTTAGAAGTCAAGTGGCAGCCTTCGGTTTCGGTGCTTCTTAGGAGGTTGCAAATTTGTCTGCCTAATCAGATTCGTAGACCAGCGGAAAAATTCCTTGCCTTATCCTCTTGGCTCTTCTGACCGTTGTCATCAGACAGTCAAGCAGCAGGGATCTTTGCCAGCTGAGTGACGATTTCAAGCTTAGTCATAATTCCTTGAGAATACTGGACATCGTCACCTGTCACGGGAGGTGTGCATCCAGCACTTGCAATGCAAAAATCTCGTCTCCCTATGATTTGGAGTTCGTCGGCATCAGAACCGACAAGCTTCAAACGGTCTCGTACCGAAGCTTCCGAATTTAGCAGAAGGCCGCGTCTATATTGTGCCCTATCTTGCCCTAATGTTCCACTCATATAGAGTGGTCCCACGCCATGAGATCGTTCATCTCTTCATGACTTACGCACAAATTAGACCTCGCTCAAGAAGCGTCATGTCAGGTCTGTACCAAATTCCTCGGATTCCGCGCGATCGACTACATAAAGCAAAGCGCATGCTCAAAATTCTTTTGTCGTCACATCTGGTGTTGCGATTCTTCTGTAGGTATCTCGCACGATCGGATATGCTCAGTCAAACCTGCTTACGTTCAGACAGTTGCGGCCTCCAGTTCTGGTGGATCAGACATCTGGAATCTGTGACAGCACGTGCTGCAAACGATGATTTCGATATGACGTTCGGTACTTGGACCGACATACACTGGAACAGTCCTGAGATCTGGGATGATGAACATCAGTCTGTCATACGTCGGGTGATGCCCGTTGCAGTCCATTCCCATAATGACTATACCCGCCGAATTCCTCTGTGGGAGGCTCTAGGATCGGGATGTATCAGCGTGGAAGCCGATGTTCACCTACGCAAATCAGACCTCCTTGTGGGCCATACAGGCAGGAATTTGAAACGACAAAATTCTCTCAATGCCATGTACCTCAAACCACTCGAGAAGTTGATCAAGCTGCGCAATGCCAACTCCACGGACGAGTTTTGGAAAGGCGTGTTCAGTAGAGTCCCAGGACAAACAGTCGTTCTCCTTATCGACTTCAAGGGCGAAAGCCAGCCAACACTCAACATGCTCAAAAAACAACTTGAACCGTTACGAAAGCTTGATTATCTCACTTACTGGAACGGGACAACAAGAGTCTTACGCCCTCTGACAATTGTCGCATCGGGCAAGGCCAAACTCAGTGACATCATGACTCTGGATTCCAGTCACCGTGACATCTTCTTCGATGCACCACTTATCTCCCTTCACAGTGATGTCGAGGACGATTTTACTATGGATCCACCAACCTACAAATTCAACATCTCCAATTCATACTACGCATCCGGCGAGCTCAAAGACGGCGTGATGGCTCGTATCAATAACGACGAATCCTCGATAGCAAGCCAAGACGCTTCGAACGGCCAGCTAGGGCAGGCCCAGGACAGAGGTCTGGTATCTAGATACTGGGGATCCGCAGGTCCAAAGTATCAAACCACGGAACAGATCATGTGGGGTTTCTTGATCCAGGTTGGAATGGGGATTCTGAACATGGATGACATGAGTGCTGTGAGGGACAGGACACGAGGTATGGGCAAATTGACAATCCAGGAGTAGTCAAGCGGTTTTCTGTGGGAAAAACTGAATTGCGATTCTTGTAAAGGTTCGGAACAGTTTTCCACCTCTCCAAGATACTAGAAAGAAGGTCATCGTTGTATCAACCTAACAACCAACTCCTGCGACGCATCCATTGCCTGTGCAACACAGGATGTTAAGGGTACACAAGCCATCCTGCTCCGTAGAAAAGATACATCCCGTGCCGTAGTTGGAGTTATCTTCGCAGTGCCTATAGCATGGCTGAAGACTCGGAACAAAAGTCACTTGTCTAGGCTGGCAAGACCGACCATAGAAGTTGCCGTTGTTGCAAGTGCCCTACAATATCATGTTAGGGTCCAATGTCTTATGGTGGAACCACTAATCGGAATTCAGAACGTACAGAAGCAANNTTGGAATAACATTAGTGGCTGTTGGTGTTTGAGCAGTGGAAGTGCTAACAGTGACGCCAGCGCAAGAGCAAGCGGATGCGAAACGCGCGGAGGCAGCCAAAGAAGGAGTGCAGGCCTTGCTGACATAGCTTGGCAGACTCGAAGGAGCGATAGTGATGCCAGCAAGATCTGGAAGAATCGTGGTAAAAGAGCTACCAGAGGTGGTGGTGATGGTGGTGGCAGTAGGGTAAACAGTCTCTTGCTGGAAACTGACACAATCCGTACTGATGCGAGATTGGGCAACGGCAGCACCAGCTGCTGTACCAGTCACAGCTCGAGCGCAATTGTCCTGGACTATCATCAGTCTGCTGTTATGGTGGTGACGATTTTGCATTGAGACTCACGGCATTGCAAGCGGCTAGCCCAACGGAGATGCAGTTCTGCCAGCTCGCAAGATACGTCCAAATATGGAAGGCTGGAGGCCACGATCAGCTCACAGGCACGAAGTATAAGCACTAGCTCATCGAAAGTTTGGCTCACCTGCAAGGGGTATGCAAGACTGGCATGCAGTGCTAAGAGTGGATATGATCTGTGGTGTTTTGGTTGATTCCAACACTGACTGTCTCACAGAACTGGAGAGACGGCGTCCCATGGTTCTGTGCGTCAAAAACACCAAGCAAGATTCAAAACACCACAATTCAGGGAGTCCAGATCACAAACAAGGTCAACCCGTCAGCCTACCTCGCAAACTGACTTGGAAGCTGTTTGAGAGGCCTGGACCGATGCAGGTATGCCAAGCGTTGGCAACAGTACAGTCAGGCTATACACCGCTTTCCACAGCATTCAAAAGGAGTCACATGTAGTATGGAATCTTCATGCAGTGGCTCAACATTATGTAGAAAGCATGCAAAACCACCTCTTTTTCAGCTCTACCTCCCGCCGCTAACGTGTAGGTTTATTGTCCATCGAGACAGCATGTGAGCGAGCGCCACTGTCCTTGGCCCTCCACGAACTCCATACATAAGCCATCGAGCATTAACTTCAGGAGATGAGATGTGGAGTGCACCACTTGAGGCAAGAATAGGCGCTTCAAGTTGATGGTAGCGGCGGTCTACTTCAGATCTGGCGATCGCTCCGTCCTCTACCCCACACTTGTGATAGCGTACCTGATGATTACACGTTGCTGATCTGGTTTTCATACCGGACCGTGGATGCGGCTTTCCATCGGGTAAGACATGGTTCGATTTTGACTCTCTTCTAGGATATTTCCATACACACTTGATCTATGGGTCGGATTTTGCGTTCACATAAAGCAAGCCTCACATTTCAGAAAAAAGCATTACTCAATTTGGATGGCGGACCGCACAATACAAGACCGAGGGTCTTGTTGTTTCCCTCGATGGCCTCAACTTTGCCTTCTCGAAGCGTACAGATCTCAAGTCCAACTCGTATTGGCCTCATCAGGATCAAAAACCCGAAGAATCTGGCTTCAGATGCTTGCAGGGTCTTGTAAACCTGCCGGATGGACCTGACGATGCTTGATATGATACACAAGTTTTGTCAATGAACACTTCGTCTAGATTCTATAGTCTTCGGTGATCTGTACTCCTTCTCCTGTGTCTGTTGTGTCCCTGATCGACCGCGACCACAAGTGCCTCGTCCATGATGAAGGCGGATCGAAGGCTAAGGCAATGGCATCCATATCAATGGCATCGAGATCGAAACCATCATTAAGGAAATCAGGAGGAGCCCGATGAGTGATTATAGCATCCACGATATGATCGTACTGATGGTTCCCCTTCGGGTGGTATACGTTGGACGTCAAATCGGCAAATAGCATGAAAGGAAGATCAAACAAAGAATCTGCGCAACCGGGTCATTCAACAAGAAGTCTTGGTAGCATTGTATGCAATATAGTCTGAACGGTTGCCTCCAACTGTCTTTGTTTTCCCATCATGGTTGCTCCGGCAATTGAGGTATCATACTCCTGTCTCTGACCGGTCTAGTTTTGTTGGATCGGATGTAGATTCTTTTGAGGTCCAGCATCTGCCATAATTTTCTGGTCGGAACCAGGCAGTTCTAGGGCATGGTGTATCGGGCTCTGAGACGATCCACAGTACGCAGCTGATTGAATGACATTCTTTACCAATGGGCGCACTCACTCTCGATGCCAATATGATCAAGCAAAGGTTTGCATCACAGTTCCCATTTGAGACTTCTAAGTAAAGCTACAAATAAATGAACGAGCAGAACCTATCAGCTTGCGGCGGCTCAAACCCTCTTGAAAGTCTCGTCGAATACGCTTGACACATGGGCCTCAGCATCGTGTCCCAAGATCCAGTCCTCTCGTGGCATCTGCACAGACGTTGGATCCTCCTTGACACGATCCCAGTCTGCCTTGTGCCACATATCTCGAGTCGTTTCTCCAGTCTTCTGGGCTACATGACCTTTGGATGGGGTAGGAGAGTTTGCAGTGGACAGGGTCTAGCTGAGCAAGGCACCTTCATCAGCATCGCTCGTCTCCTTTGGGCGTTCCGAATTGAAAGGGCAAAGGATGAAAATGGAAAAGATATTCCAGTCGACATTTTCGCGTACACGTAAGAGCGAGAGAACACCCGGTGGTATCGCACGCTGACAATTGTAGGAACGGCTTGAACATGCGTCCAGAGCCTTTCATCTGTTCAATCACACCCCGTTCGAAAGTAATTCAACAGACCATTCTGGCAGAAGGCCAGCAGGCGCTAACTGAGTTGTCCATCTATGATGGCGAAACAAAATACGAGTTGAGCCAATTCTATAGGAAGCCCAATGTGGGTTGATATCTGGTAGTGGTAATGAGAGCTGAATTCTACTTGTGAAGTCGGATAATAGATGCATATGAGTTTGAGTTCATCTTCACCTTGCACGTGATACAAACAAAGTGATCATACTGTCGATCATCCTCCGCGGAAGGATTTTGGGTCTTCGGCCGACACGAATTGAAACACTACAAGAATCCACGCTCTGGTCCTGCCCTCAAGTTTTTTCTCCTCGTGACCTTTGTACATGCCCACTGTTCATTCCGTGATTGAAACAGAAGTCTTGTGTGTACGGTGTCAGTGCAAGAACCGCCGATATGCAGTTGACGACAAGTGTGTAACGCGCTGTGAACCGTCCATAACCAAGGAAGTCGCTGATCAAGTCCAAGTCCCAATCGCAGCACTACTGACCACCCTAACCTATTTTGCAACCGCAATACCTCAGCAAGATATATTGATGGAGATGGATACCAAGTCAGCAATGAAAAACCTCAGCAAACCAACCTTGGCGCATTTTCCCATCGAAGACCTCAATCCGACGGAATGGCAAGCCGAACATGAGCGTGTGCGCGCCGCACTCGGTGATGAGGCCTACCTGACGCTTCGAGAATCTGAGATCAAGGAGAAGATGGACAGTATCATCGAACTGATTAATACTGGTCAATGGCAACTGCCTCCCATCACAGGCAGTCAGCAACCCGATCGCATCGGTATTGCAAACAGAGAGTTTCGTGTTGGAGCTGCACAAGGCGTTCCTGAGGCTATCACCAACGCCATGTTCGCGATGGTTGACGGTGATGAGCGTGAGAATTACGAGATTCCTGAAGAGTGGCTGGAGTTTGAGATCTCTGAGGAGGAAATAGACAGGGAAGACAAGCAAGCATACGTAAACTGGGCGCAGCGACAGGAGGAACAAAGGCTCAAGGTCCTGAATGGCAAGTTTTCCGTCAGAGATATCGGCATGGGATGTTTGTCGCCAGGCAAAGAAGAAGCGGGTGTGGACGAAACTGGTGGATGATTCAATGTTTGCGACAGGCCTATACATAATCTACCCACAAGACCTCATGCAGCGTCAATCTTTTACATGACCCACATCCCAAACCAGACCACCCCAGCAACCAAGGCACTCGTGACTCCTGCTCCAGCCAATCTTGGTCCAGCGAAAGCACGACTCGATACAAGCCCGTAAGGAGGACGATTGTTGGGGTTCTGCTTCAGGTTTGCAGCGGCCTGGGGACTGGTCTCATTAATCGAGCGGGAGCCAGCAACCACACTGATGTTCTCGAAGTGACCCGCCACACTCTCGAAAGACACGACTCTGTCAGTCAGCTCAGGGTAACATGCGCTGACTTCAGTCCCGTCAGCGATGGAGATGTTGGCTGGGCATCCTTGGACATGACCAGTCACGCAGCGAAAGGTAGGAATGAAGATGACNNTGGAACAGAAGAATGGTCAGTAAGAGTATGTCTCGACGATTGTAGTACGACACTGAAGCAATGCTCGCAATAACAACTCACCCTCTCCAGCTGTTCCATTCTCGAACGTCACTGTCTGATTCTCTACAGCGAGAATGTTGCCGCCATAGAGAGTATTGGAGTCGCCAGTCGCATTCCACAGACCGTAGCCGATGGCATAGCTGTCTCGGACTGCAGAGCCGTTCGCATAAAGGACAGCATTCTGAAGAGTCGGCCAGCCGCCGCTGAGTACATCGCAGGAGGTGGAAAAATTGCTGTTGGGGACGTTGCACACAACTCCAGTAGATATGGTAAAGTTCCTCGACTCCAGTGATCTGGTCTCGTTGGTCAGGACGTCGAAGCCTTGACAGGATGGNNGGAGTTGAGGTTCGCGGGTCGCGTAGCCTGCGGCATCGACCAGATGCGAAGAAGCCAGGAACAGGATGGAAGAGGCAAGAGCAGAAGACAGCATGTTCAGCGACCTCGAAGATGACTCGTAAGAAGTATGAGGTTCTGATTACGTGAAAACCCTGTCCTTCTGGAGTGCAATGCGTGGATGTATGCTCGAGGATCAGGTGGCATATCTGTGTCTTTTATAGACATGCTCAAGTGGCACAGCAAGGTGCTAACATACCACCGCAGGATCAAATGCATAGCATATATGTCATTGTAGGGTTGGCCGCCTTGGTACGACGACTTGGCTCACGTCCTTAAGTAAGGCATTGTTAGTAGTAACAGGGTTGCCAAGGGACCAACTGTGCCAAGCTCGGACTTTTGTTGCCGCTACGGGCGTAAGACACGGGGCTTTATTGCCGTAGGATTCATGATCGACTACAGGCACGGAATTCATCTGCCAACATCAACGATCCGACAACCAACACCAACATACAACTTGCCTCCGGCCGGCGTCCTTCATCATCTTCATGTCTCTCCGAAAGCTACTCCAAAGATGAATTCACCAGATCACGCCTGTCACCAACCCATGCTCCACGACTCCTTCGACAGTTTCATCCAGATCATCTTCGCGGTCTTCTTCGACAGCATCGTCTTCTTTGTGACTCTAGGGTTCTGCGTATTGGCCCCAAGACTATTTGTACAGATCTTCAATCGTCTAGCACGATCGTCCATCAGTCCGCAGAACCAAAAGGATCTTTGTATCGCCTCGGCTCTCTTCTTGGGGGCGGCTCATCTCTTTTTGTGCACACTGTTCGCTGTGCACGATGAATCGGAAATTGCGACGCCCAATGCGCCGTCGGTCTATTGGGCGATCATGTGGTCAACGGGTATCCTAGTTGGTGTGGTAGGAGGGTTTCTGGCTGCGACTGTGGTTGTGCTGGTGGGTATGGAAGTTCTAGGAATCTGAGAAAGTCACAATACACAGAACCGGCGGGTCTCGAGCATGGTCTGATTATTTCGAGACCTGGCTTTCTCAATCCACCATAGCATCGCATTCGATTTCCACAAGCATCTCAGGATCCACGAACCCGCCTACGACAATCATGGTAGCAGCACATCCAAAATCATCACCATTCTCCTTTCCCAACACTTCGCTGAATGCTTGCGCCACGGCTGTACAGTCTTGCTGTCGTGCGACGAACATCTTGGCGCGCACAATGCTTTCTGCACCACGTCCCCCTAGTGCCTCTACGGCTTTGAAGATCTCCTGGAATGCGACATGGGCTTGAGCTCTTGCGTCGCCTGGATGAAGGACTTTTGGATCGGCGGATTCAGAGGACGGGTCAACTGCGGTGGTGCCGGAGACGAAAATAAAGGGACCGCGGCGGACGGCGCGGTAGTAGCCAATCATTGCTTCCTATGGTGAGTTGGTTGAGTGGTGTTGCTTCTTTGTAAGCCGCGAGGATGGGATGAGGTGAGAAGCCATTGTTATTCGGAAGGGCAATGAGGTTTTGATGGCAGCGTAATCCGAACGGAGACTTTGGTAACACAGAGTGAGTAAGAATTATCACGAAGCGGTTTGGAAGATGGAGCTTTTCGCAAGTGTTGTCAATTGACCTCGAGATGAGTCATCCGCCTTGCCGCAGCAACCACTCTATAATCTCTTGGCAAACCGTCCTTTCGAAGTTCAATCAAGGAACCAAAATCAACACACTTGGAGAGAGCGAGCACAAAAGTGTTCTTTTGTAGGCTCTATGGTATAATTGAGAATGAGATCGACATCATTCCTCTCAAAGTCCAGAAACAAACCTTGCTGCTGGAATGGCAAATGGCCACTTCTTCTAGCCGGAATGACCATAGAAAAAGTCCATGATAACAGGTGTAGCGTCAATTGGTGCTCCACCATTGGTACTGGCCCAAAAGTGTCCCCAACCAGCGATCTTGTAATGCGTAACCAATCCCTGTACACCCTGCGAAGCGCCAAACTCGTACTTGGTCACCTTTCCACTAGCCAGCGACGAGGTGACGTTAGAGCTTGACAATCCGTCTCTGAGAGCCCAATCCGTGACCCAATGCGGCACTGTGGGTAGACAATACCCTCTTCGAGGCCCACCAGGGTAAGGGATGGTGCCGTCGGCGTCACCGTGGAACTCGAGCATTGGAAGATTGGACCTGCCTGGCGAGCAAACAGGCTGTACGATAGTGTTTGTGAGCACGTTGGGAGGATCGCAAGTGCCGGTCGTGTTGGTATACTCTGCACCCGAGTTTGCCGCAAAAGTGCTGAAGCGCTGAGAAAGTGTTGGGTCGCAGGCGAGGGTTCCAACAAAGCCTCCGCCGTTGGAGAAGCCAGTGGCTAGCATGCGACTTGTGTCAATGCAGTAGTGGCTGGAGATGTAGTCAAGCAGATCACTTGAGAAAGTCAGATCGTTGTAGTAAGGTGATCCTCCGACAGTGGCCGGATCTCCTTGCCATTGTTNCCTGTCGCAGTGTTAGTTTGACTAGGGTCTATAGTTATGAGAAATCACAGAACATACATCCTCGCCCAGAGGGTAAACCGCAATGGCGTAGGGATTCCAAGTCTCACTCGAGAGTTGTGAATCACTCTCCACTGAGAGCTGGTTGTTCGAGCGGCCGTGGTAAGCAACAATCAGAGGTGAAGCTTTGGTGTTCTTGTACGAAGTGGGCACATGAACGTTGAAGGACCTGATCACACCACCAGACGTGATGTTGAAAGTGACAGAAGGGCCTCCCAGTTGTATGCCAGGGGGTAACGCAGCTCCACAGCCCGAGCTTGCTTTGCTGTTACCCGAAAGAGGGACGGGATAGTTCTGAGTGTTTACCAGAAATGCACTAGCCGCATTGGATTTTGTGATCAAGCTTGAGAAGGCCTTCTTGAAGTAGCATGAGGTACCGATGTATGTGACCGCCGCACAACCCGAGGTAGCTCTACAAGCTGATAGACATGCGGGGAAGCTGGAGGCAGAAGCGGAGCCGAAAGATCCAGGACTGGTATCAAAACCGCACAGGATCTGCCAGTTGTTGCCTTGAGAGTCCGCATAGCCTGTGAAATTAGAAGATGGGCATAAACTAGTCGAGGCTTGCACAGCGGCAACCGGTGACGAAGCTGATGCTGATGATACAGAAGTGGCAAGCGTGGACGCGATGCGACTTTGCGATGATGGCAGGGCGTTGGAGATTCTGATGGCAGAAATGTAGTTGCTGCCTGTCGCAGGGTAGCTTCCCATGCTTTTCTTCAGATAGCAAGTGCCTGATGAAGTGCCTCCAGAGCCGCCTACATAAGTGAAGCCTTGACAACCAGCAGAGGCGGCGGCATCACAAGCAGTCATGCAATCCAGATACGAAGAGGTCGCCCGAGTACTTGTGTACGAACCAACATTGTTGTCCGCCGAGCAGGTAACGCGGTATGTACTTCCATTGCTGTCTGTGATGATCTGTCCGTTCGCGGTCGGACATTGGCTGGCACTGGGTATTGCTTGCGCGCTAGCGAATGCAGTGAGAGACAACAGAATGGCAAGAGCTGATTTTCGAGCCATCGTGTCTTGTTAAATCCGGGATACAAGATGAATCAGTGCTCGAGGAGTCGAGAGACCTTATATCCCGGCCAGACCGACAGCGGGCGCCTCGATCAATGATGTTTGCAAGGCCAACATACTGAACAGCCAAAGAAGACTTTCCGCATGATCGAAAAGCAAATCGCGGCTGGCCAGAATTCTGCATTCTTTGTTAGAGGCATGTGATTCAGATCTGATCATCAAGAGAGCTAAAGAATGCATGTTTGTCGCAAAAACAAATATTGTTTGGACATGCAGCTGCAGCTCGAGCTCATAGGCCAGTCGAAACCATGGATAGTGACATATCGAACTTGCCGCGTGGATATACAGTTTCGGGTTCTACGCCTTCGCCGAACTTCAGGCACAAAGCCCGCGGCTGGTTACAGATTATGATCGCATCTCGCATGAAGGCGGGCAATGACGGTTTCGAATGGAACCGATATGAGCGTTATTCGTCTGACATACTGCCGACGGTTCTAGAATATCGTAGATGCGCAACTCAGGACTCAATGTTAGAGAAGTGACGACGAGGATGAAGGAACGATGTTGAGAGGTTGTTGCCAGAAGGTCGGGAGTGGGGAAGGATCATCCTCGGCTCCGCTTCGGGTTGCCAGCAATGTGTGCCTGAACCCAACCTTTTTGACGCACTTCCCGCTGTGCCTGCACTTCTGCTTCGATCTCTTGGTCATCACTTTGCGGAGAAACAAGCCGCGAGTGCAGATGACAATCAGTTTCTCGCGCTTCTTCGTGCTATTCGATTAAACTACGCGCTCAACCTCAGGCCGCAACGACACCAAAGACATGGAATGCAGTGCAAGCTACACTTCTGCTGCCAGGACGTTTTCTTGGTCTAGACTTTGCGGTACGCAAGCCGCGAACAGTGGCGCTTTGCGACTCCTGCTGTCTGGATAGTGGTTGTCATTTGTGATATAGTCGCTGATGGAGGTGCTCCGGCGGGGCAGCCGGTGGCAGACGTTCCAAACAGTTAGCCATCGAGCTCCACCACGATATGTTTGTGACCCCCAGGAAAACAACAAAGTGTTTCTTTCTCTTCCCCCTCTATCGTTGACTCATTGCCCTTGTATAGCACCTTTTTGTTCTTTACTTTAATCCTGCAGGTACCGCGACTGCTCGTTTCGTACGAGACTGGCACATCCAGCCTGGCGGCCCGCAGATTTTCGAGCAGGCTCTCAGAGGTCCACTCTCAACATTAACTCTCCGGGTCTGTTCGCTGGAGACACTGTCAGTAGTGAACGGATCCCGGAAGCATCTGCCTCAGAATACTCGTAGTACATCTCGTCCTTCCACATACCTTGGCAGCAACAACCCAAGGAACCATACTTCCACGTTCACAAGCAAAGACATGGCCAGTCGAAACACTCGTCCTCAAGATCAGAAAGATCTCCATCTTTTGCCATTGATGCTTGTCGTACCTTTCTTCTCTGGGTCAGAGGTTTTGACCATCGGGACTGACGTCTCTCCATCACTCTGATCTCCATATCCGCAAGGAACTGTCCCTGCTCGACCACTCTATGCTGCCATGCCTTCTTCTTTACCAGTGTGTCTGTGTCGCCAAGATCTGACCTCCAAGTCTCGGATTTGAGTTGGTGCAGGGTTGACGTGGCAAAATCGGCTACAAGACGCCGCCTCCATGAGCACTGCTATAAGTGTTGGTTCTTGAGGGCCAACAGCACCACGTCGCCAACACAGACATTTTCCTTGTTCTGCCATTCGGCGACAAAATCCTCGACCAAACCTCATTCTGTGAACTCTGCGTCCACGCCGGGGTATCGGGATCGTCAGAAGGTACAGTGACTGGAATCGCATGAGTAGATCGCGTTGCCAATGCCGTCAAGGAACGTGTGTTCGTCTTGTTGATTCGTCAAACAAGTCAACGATACGTAGAGAGGTACGTGTAAAGATTTCTTGTCGGACCCTGAGAGGAGGGTGCCGAAGAGTTTGAGCTTGGTGGTCCTTTTTGCGAGAAGAACTCTTGGGGATGGTATGAAGATCGATCAGAGATCGATTAGGAGCATGTCTATTGGCTTATCGGTGTCCACAGAGTCCTTCGTCGTTGATGATGGTTGTTGTTGTTGATGACAGTGCTATCATGAAAAAGACGCGTCGGTTGATCGCACAAAGATACAGCAAAGGATCTGTCGTTCCTGTGTGACAAAAGGAGATTTCACAGATAAAGCAAGAAAGAGCATTTGATGTCGAAAATGAGGAACAATGTGCCCGACGTACCATTTCAAGCAAACTTACATCTCCATCTCCATCTCACCATCTCTCTCACACGCCCTCAACCCCAATTCTTGCTTCACACCTTCACAAANTCCGTTAGACAGCCTTTCTCCCTGTCTCACCCAAACAGCTTCTCTACATTCTCTAGCCGTAGGCCTGTCCTTAACATTCTTTTTCAACATCCACTCCGTTGCTTCAGTCGCCCAAGCACCCATGACTTTCTCTGCATGCGGAAACATAAGTGCTTGCGTACACAGATCCCTGCAGATCTTTCCAAGAGCCCAGATATCTGCTTTACTTACCTCCTCTACATGATAGCCTTGCAGCAGCAAATCAGACGCCGTGTAGCGAGCGACCGGCACAGCCGCATCCCCATCATCGCAAAAACTCGCCGCGAGCCCAAAGTCCGCAGGCTTGAACGTCAAAGGCATAGCTCGCGAACCTTCAAAGACCATGATGTTGGCGGGTTTAGCGTCTCTGTGTGCAAGACCTTTGCCATGCAGATAGCTCAACGCAGCAAGAACTTGATGCGCGACTGTTTGTGCAATTGCTTCGTCCAAGTCTGACATACCCAGTGTCGAGTAAGCAGCATAAAAGTCGACGAGATTGTAATCCGCGAGTTCGGTGATGACACACGCGTTCCAGGGCCCATTAGAAGCGTCGGACGTACCGCCAATATCATCCAGAGCCATAATGTTGGAATGAGAGAGAGTGGCTAAAATAGTCGCTTCTTCGCGGAATCTGCGTAACTTTGCTGCAATGGATGTTTGAAGGACTTTCATGGCGAAGAGTTTGTTGGCGGGTGGGTGAGTGACGCGATACACGATCCCATAGATACCAGTGCCGAGGGTGGAGCTGATGGTGTAGTTTCCTCTTCGATTGTAGGACGTTGCGATGGTGTTGGCGGGTAATGGTGCAGGTGTTAGGTCGGAGATTGTGTTGCCCATGTTGCCTATCGGTATCGTCTTTAGCTTCTTACAAGAGGATCTTGATCAGGAAGTGAACAGAACAAAGTCAAAGGTTTATCGTTCGAGAAGCTAAGACCTACACATATGTTGTCTCGATCGAATATGTTATATGCTGTTGTGAGCTTCTGAGACAAGAGGCGATGCGTCAGTTGGCGCTGCGCTGCAGATAGGCCAGAAATGTGTCAGTCCCTTGCTTTGTCGGCGACAATGCTCAACCAGTAACCATTCATCACCGACCGTTTCGAAGACTGTATTAATCTTGTCTGTCCAATATAAAGCCATTAACCTCTTGCGAATGTGAATCGCCTGGTGTCGCGAATTGCTCTTTGTCCTCGCGGGGAGCACACGTGCGCAGTGCTCGTATGCTTATTTGCACATTCTAGCAGTCATGCACTTTACAATCCGTATTGGAGCTTAACGCTTAGGCATGCCGGAAGTCACTCGACTTCTGAAGGAAGAAGTTCTTGGCGCGTATTTTGGAGGGCTAACGGGGTAAGTTCTAGCGTAAAGAGATCAGACCAGAGTTGGTGACTTCGCCTGGCGGATCAATGAATCATGTCTCTTTGGCGAGACAAAAATATGAACACGTGACGAATTCGAGTGGGAGGTTGCTCAAGAGCGAAGTTGCAAGTTAAGGCTGCAATATGAAGACGCGAGAGGGAGTACAGCAGGAGATAGCGGACCGAGTACGAGGACCCTAGGGAGACGGCTTGAATCGTCGATTCCATGTGGGGCCGTAAGGTCGAGTGAGTCTGTAATGGGGAAGAGATCACCATGCACAAGGACGGTACGGACGCTGATTGCACAGAGCTCGTTGTCTGCGAGGCAGGCGCGTCCGGAATCAATTTCATCGCAGTTTTCTACGTTTAAAGACTTATCTCCAGCAAGTCCTTCTCAATAAATGTCAAAGCCCCGAATTTTGAACATCACCAATTCTCTCCACTCCTTGACGAAGCTTGCCAAAGGATACAACCAGGTGTCGCGAATATTTTGCATCGAGTTTGTTCAGATCCGACTCGTATCATTTGAGTTTTCTGTAGTCGAAGGTGCGGGACGACTCACACGTTCATCGACACCCTTGCAGCCTCCTTCCATCTCTGGATTCGCCCCGTGTTTTCCCAATTTGAAGCGCTTTGTGCGATGGACCCGACAGCCCCCTACCAGCAGAAGCCATCGAGGCAAGTTCTAGAGGCGCCTAATGCTTCTGCTCTCATCTGACGAATATACTATAGCCATGCCAACGACCCTCTGCTCACAGCACTTGCGCAGAACGGCCTCCTTCGTCTGCGCAGCGATTGCGCCCTAGTCTGCTTGACAGAACATGCTTCACCACGCATCACCGCACAGGCAAGACAGGCTACCTTGCTGTGTGACCCATACAACCATACTGCCATTGACGTGCATCAACAACGAACGTTTCTGCGTCACATACAATCCTTGGCTGTCTTTCAGAGCCCCGCGATCGCGACGAACAGTTCTGACAATGTCGTCGCTGACCAGACTCGACACATCATCCCAGACTTGACTTGTTTCAATTTTCAGCAACGACATTGGAAGTCCTATGCTTCCGTTCCCATCACATCTCCCACACATCAAGTCTTGGGCTTTTATTGTGTCCTTGATGACGAGATACGTCACGACTTTCTTGAGAATCAAACATATACCATTCTGAGCGATATTGCTTCCGTTATCTCGAGCTACTTACAAACACAGCATGCTCAGCTCGAATACATCAAACACGATACAAAAGCCAAGCTAGATCTTGCTAGCTTTTTGGAGCATAATCGACCGCAGCCCGCAAGGCTCGCCGATACATCCAGCAGTCCATCAGAATTACCGAGCAACCTCGCAGACGCTGATCAGAGAAGCTCGGTTCTCGACTCCTCGTCCTCTTCCAATAGCACCTCGTCTGGCAAGCTGCTTGACGGAACCGTCTCTCCAATTGATAATACTCCCTTGACTACCCCAGCAGAAGAATGCTGTGGGTTCGGCTTCCCAGGCGCGCTACCAAAGTCCGCATCGACTGCCAGCGCGTTGGGCCAAGACTTTGGAGGTGAGCCGCATCAATACTTCGCAGATCGAGATAACCGACCCTCAGACCAGGTCCTGTCAGTCGCAGCAAATGCAATGCGTGCGGCTCATGATCTCGAAGGTCTAGTCATATTGGACACCACTCTCAGTAGTGATCATACCCTACCTCAAGATACCGACGACACAATAGGAGAGCACCCGTTCACGTGTGAAAAGCTCGGAATCTCGCTTGTCGAAAGTAACCTCACTCCTGCACGCATCACGGCTTCCATGCCCGTTGAGCACGAAACTCTTGAATTTCTCACCTCACACTTCGCCCAAGGTTGCGTTCTGAAAATCGACGAAGGCGATGTATCGGCTCTCGCTGTTACCGAGACGTCAAATCCAAGTCCGACTCGGTACAAGACACTGGATAAGGCCATCGTCTTACCTTCGAACTTACATCTGCTACTTCATCAGGCTCAATCCCTGATTTTCATACCTTTATGGAATTTCACCCGGCAGACCCTTTACGCCGGCATGCTGGGCTGGCCAATGAACCCCACACGCGTATTCACTGAGCATGACCTCCTTTCTTTGTCTATATATGGCAGAATCTTGACTGCAGAAATTACACGTTTAGGTATGTGTTTGATTACTATCGCTTGCCAGAATCTGTCATTGACTCTTCTCCTATGCNNAGATTCCATTGATACGAATGCAACGAAATCCGATTTCGTATCCTCCCTCAGTCATGAGCTACGTTCACCGTTGCATGGATGTTTGGCCGCTGTCGAAGTCTTGCGAGACACTGCACTCGACAGATCTCAAACCGATCTCTTGGGGATGATCGAATCTTGCGCTTCAACGCTGTTGTATACCATGAACCACCTTCTGGATTTTTCCAAGATCAACGATCTCGATCGCACGCAGTCCAGGAACCGTAGGATCTCCCATGGAGAATCATCGCCAGTTCTATCCCCGAACATGTTTGGTCAGACTGTTGAGGATTACCTGTGCCGTCTTGTGCAGGACGTGGTTGAGGGTGTTTCCTATGGCCATGACAGGGAGCAAGCAGCTCACGAATCGGACCTGAGTGGATTATCACAAGACCTCACTATGCAATTCGACATCGACTATGCGATTATGAAGAGCAAGGATGTTGCCGTCTTTCTGTATATGGAGAGTCTGACAGCCTGGTACTCCATGGTCTCGGCTGGAGCCTGGAAGAGATTGATCATGAATTTGTTCGGCAACTCGCTCAAGTTTTGTCTGAGCGGGGATATCGAGGTTACTCTGAAGATGGTGCCCGACCCGAAGAACACTAANAAACGGCTCGCTCATCTTATAGTCAGCGACACGGGCATTGGAATGAGCGAGAAGTTCCTGAAGCACTCCTTGTATCGACCATTTATCCAAGAAAATCCTCTTGTCAGTGGAACCGGGCTTGGCCTCAATATCGTCAAGCAAATTGTCAACGATATGCATGGAACCATCAACGTTAAGAGCAGGCTGGGCGCTGGCACCCGATTTGACGTGCTGGTCCCTATGATTGAACAAGATTCTGTTGCCGACTCAGACATACTTGATGGTGGCGAGATACTGGATCCGCAAGACCTCCTGACTCGTCGCACCATATGTTTGCTCTCCTCTCCTTCCACCGCTATCGGATCCACCCATGGACCGCATGAACGTACGAACCTGGTACACTCCTACGTGAAGACGATTGCGGAAGTCTGGTTCCACATGAAGGTCATTTCAGCCTCAATGACTGAGGACATTGAGGCAGACTTCTACATCGCCGAGGCTACAGACTATATGAAGTATGCTTGTTCATCGCGTGAGAGCTCGAACATAATCAAGAGGCATCGCACGATCTTGGTTGGAAATCAACGGCAGTTGGTGCAAGCTCGACGCCAATGTGCTGATGAGTTCATCGGACTTGGTTACCCGCTCGGACCCAAATCACTCGTTCGCGCTCTTCATGGCGCCCTGGGAATGTCAGTACATCAGCCCTGCTCGAGCGTACCAACTCTTACCACCGCAAGCTCACTGAAACAAACTTCTGGCAAGATCGGCATCAAGCCTGCCGGTCAGCAGGCAACACAGGTCTCTGGCGAACCCCCGATCAACAGCGCCACCCCTGAAATGACTAAAACAGAACACCTCCTCCTCGTCGACGACAATGCGATCAATCTCAAACTTCTCTCGACCTTTATCAAAAAGCTCTCCTTGGACGCCCACACGGCCATCGACGGCGAAGACGCACTGGAAACCTACAAGACTTATGCAAAGACGCATCCGTTCACCACCATTCTCATGGACATTTCGATGCCCAAGATGAACGGTTTTGAATCATCGCGCGCCATCCGTGACTTTGAAGTCGCGAACAGGCTGCCGCGATCCAGAATCATTGCTCTTACGGCATTGGGGTCTGAGGCGTCGAGGCGTGAGGCCGAAGCAAGCGGGATTGACGATTTCCAGATGAAGCCCGTTGCGCTCAAGACGCTAAAAGGATTTTTTCCACAGTGAGTCGTGATAGAAAAGGCAGTCATATGGACTTGTCTGAAGAGCCTTCGGCGACGGAAAACGATTACACGTATTCCACGATCTGTGACTTCTAGTTCAAGCGGATGCCCTTGATATTCTTTTTCCCCCTTGCTTCGCGCTTAGCACATCATATTGCCCTATAGCTCATCATTTCATATTCCAATGCCACGTCAAACTCTCAGTCGCAATGACTTTATTTAACCCAACATCTTCACGAAGGCGTATACCTTTTCTGTTTCCTCCCCGAGTTCTATATTATACGTTGTCCCTCTTTGGCTATTTACTACACATTCCTCGTAACCTTACTCTGTCAAATTTGGTTTCTGTTCTTACTGCATATAGGAAGCAGTAGAATAGATGGACAAGCCAGCGCATTCGCTGGTTTACGCAGTCCTCAACGCAATAGCTGTGCATACTGCTCTCTAGTCTATGGATCTGAGGTGCGCTGATGCTCAAGTTTTGCCAAATCTGTGCTTTTGAGAGAATCTTTTGTCAGACGCCGTCGGTCAATAAAGACACAGGTCGTAAAATGCTATAGCATGCAATCCTGGAAACAAAGATGACACGAGTTTAAAACCTCAAGAGCGCAATTACTTGCCTTTGGTGGTGGCGGCATTTTTAGCTGTCTGGTCGCCCAATTCCCAGATAGAAACCTGTATTCCACTCTCATCTAGCTTCGTAGCAAGCCGACGACACACGAGATTCTTGACGTTTGCGCACGACGAGACTTTCATCGAGATACTCATACTCTGATCAAAAGCCCCAGACCTCCACAAAATGCCAAAGCGATCTCAAAAAGCAACCCTTCTTCGCTGTCCCGGAGAGTGTCGAATCATAATACCCCGAACTGCGCATTATCACCGAGTCGTGAAAGTGGCCTGCAGCTGTTATCCTCCGTGATTTTGCGTATCCGCTGTCGAGACCTTTGGGTGGCTTGCTTGCTACCCGTTGAGTGCTGTGGACGCTGGTCGGCCCACGGCAGACGGCACACAGAGGTGCGAGGGCTAGAAGGTTGACTCATCCTGCTCTGCGTCCTGACGTTTCCTCCTCAACTCTGCCAAAAACCTACACAAGTGTGATTCCTCCGTGAAGCAAGATCTCCATATATACGTTGTTGGTGGGGTAGCAGGTATACGCGTGGGATTCCTTGCACAATAATAAGAAAGTGGTCGAAGATCTAGATGCAGAGCAGACCCTGTGGAAGAGAAGGTTGAGCAGTTGCGAAATTCGATCGTCTCTGTTCTTCAAATCTTCATGGTGATCGTGTGTCCCGGTGTTATTTTCGGAGGCCACCGTCATGGAAGCAAAGACAAAAGCTGAACAAAGATTGCAAGGAGATTTTCGAAACATGAACGAAGAGGTTGTGAATCTTGGACTCACATTCGGCACACTCCGTATATTTCCCTATAATAATTGCGGTGACGACGTCTTTATTCGACCTTTCAAGCGAGCCGTGTCCATTGTGCGGTGTGAGAAGGCAAATTGGCAAGGGAGAGGTACTGCTCAAATCCCATGACCCTTTCATTTTGATAGCCTTCTTTTCTGTTCTCCTTGTTCGTTAGATCTTCTAGTGCTTCCACCATCTTACGGTTCCATAGATTGTGGTGTCTCGAAGAGTCCAAGACAAGGATTTGCCAAATTCGCAAGGCTGATCCGGATCGTCTGGCTCTCCGTTTGTCTCTCTCCCGCGGGGTTCTCGGAGATCTTGGTGAACGAGATGTGCAGAGAAGCAAAGAGCTTTGGCCAAGGGTTTATGCCCAGCGATTCGATTGGTTTTGTGCAAAGGAGATAGGAATTTTGTGCAAGGGGGGAGCCGCTCTTGCTAGAGCCAAAGTCAAAGCAATCGTTGCTTTTTGCGGTTTGCGGGAGATGAGACAGAGCGATTGAAGAGAGTTTGTGAGTTTCTCCGGGCTTCCGAGGGCTGATCAGTGGTGTTCTTGACGTCTCGAAGACTTGGGAGTCACCGCCATTCTTGTTCCTGTGTTGGGACTTGCGATTTAGCGAGTCTCGTTCGCAGCGATGGAGGAAGGGAGCAGAGGAAGAACCAAATTTTGATCGTGGTGTTCTGCTGAAGGTCCGTCCTCTTTTTCCGCAGCGAGTGTTAGGCCAACGTGTGCTCATTGGCTGCAATTGTTCCCTCAAAAAGCCCCCCACGTCTCTGCCTCGATATAGGTACGTAGCAGAAAGCTCTGTGCTCCAAGCAACGGCATACTAGTCAGACGCGCTCTTCGCTGTGGGGGTTCGCCAAACCCCGTTCTCCACACAAGCGCTTGTAGCGGCAGCGAGAGCAAGCAGACCAATCACACAAGTCACGGCCCCTACGTGCAAATCTTGCCATCATCTCAACAGACATGCCGCCGGCCGGGTCCGTCTACCGACATGAGAGCAGCGCGAGCACCAAGCAAAGTCGTTCTTCCCAAGACGAAAGCTCTGACTGCAGGTTGGTAAGAACCAAGCAGAGATCCATTTAGGCAAAGGTGCAAAGATCCAAATGCTCCACAATCGCAGCTCTTTGTGAAAAATTCAGACCGGCACACGGTACCGCTCCCGTAGACTGTACAACAGCACCACGGACGGTGATTTTGTCGGCAGGCTCACCCACCGTGCCCGTGGCTTGTCTTCCCTTGCGGCCCGAATGACTCTCTACCCGTCACGGAGTCGCCGACACTCGACCTCGCAAAGGGAGAATTGACTTTTGCTTGACAAAAACATCAGGAGTTGACCGCTTTGCTCTCTCCACAAACTGTTCCAAAAGCGCGGAGAGCGTCACCGCCATCGCACGACTCATGGAAATTGGTCTTTGTCGCCCAAACCTGTAGCCTTTGAGTGTGCCGGAGGCCCTTTTGTTTCATCGTGCAAGAACGCCTCGTTCGTGGGTGGCGCTGGGCTAGAGTTGCGAAAAGCTGCTTTTCTCTTCTAGGCTTGTGGAGGGCAGTAAAATAGAAAGGGCGATGTTGTCACTTTCAGCAGTGACAACCTCTGTACGTAACTCCTTCTCACTGCAATGTTTGTCACTCGACAAAGGCGCGGGTGAAACATTTGGAAGACTTGGCATCTATATGGGGGGGCCGCAAAAGAAGTGGGAACTGCTGTTCCTTTGCGCGGCAGCTGCTGTTGAGCTGATAGGTTGGGTAAGAGAGGGTACAGAGGTACACAGGTACTTTTGTACACGTGCGGGGTTTGTTGGTTCGATGGGGAGGGAGAAGCGGCTCCTCCTCAGAAATCAGGGACCAACAAAACAATCCAGGCTGTGCCAGATAGGGCGTGCGATGGGAAAAAACGTGCACAGGAGAAATGAGCTTGTTGGAGATTGGAAGTTGAAGAAAAAATCTGGTTTGATAATTGCTTTGGTGAAATCTCTGCGCTGGCAGTGTTGTTGTTGCATACATGTATGAGAGAAAAGATAGATAGTAATCGGTGATGAATGGTATGATAAAAACAATGTCCGCCAGTCTTTGATGATTTGGTTATGAGTAGATAGAAAAGCAATGGGTATCCTCTTTTGAACGAAATATGCAACCGATGTAATGAGATGATAAAAAAAATGGTTTGATGACAAGCGAATGCATCCTGTGATCCCTGTTTCTCCTACAACATTTCCTGTTCCCTATTCCTATCACGCCAATGCAAAGTGAGGTTTTTTCATGAATGCGCCTTTATAGTCCGAGAATGTGTTTCGACTTTTTTGTAGTACATCAGATGCAAGAAAGATAAAAGTCCGAGAATGGTCGGTCGCTGTGTAAGAGTAGAAAGGCAGATACAATGGGCGAATTGCCGAAGAGATGAGTCGTTGAAGTCGTACAGAGAGAGGTGTTGAATGTTGGTTGTGGTCGAGATGAGATTATGGTGTTCGTAAAAGTGTCATAATAGATGGCCAGTGTTAATGCTCTAGCCGTTGTAAGGTAGAGCATCAGTGGCTGCTCAATGAACGCCTCTTCATCTCGCGCGTCTGGTCAAAGGCGCTGACGTAGGTCTGGAGCTCTGTGCGTGCTTGCTCCGAGATGATGGTGCCGGTTTGGTTGCCTGCCGAAGACGACAACGAACTTCGTGATGATGACGGTGACAAGGCGCGACGAGGTGATGATGATTCGGTGAAAGTTGAAGTGCTGGCAGGCTTGAAGCTGAAAGCCTCGGGAAGTTGGAAGGCACTTGAGCCAGCAGGGAAGTACGAGGCCGAGCTTGACTCCATGACAGGCGAGAAAGGCGATGAAGGAGTTGATGAGCCAGCCTTCTCGAGATCGGCCAAGCGGCAGGCTTGAGAGCAGTAGAGACCTTCGCTGGTTTGCTTGTCGCAAGCAAGGCAGAAGTCGAGGAAGCAGTCCATGGTAGATGGTTGTGTTGGGTGATGGTATGTGTTGATGTGTTGATGGAATGACCAAAGTGGAAGAGGTGTTTCCTTTTTATGTATGGCAGAGATTATCAAAGTAGGACGTTGATGGTTATGAGCAATGTGGGAAATGAATCATATAAAAACGCCCGGACCTTATGGCGTGAGTAAGAGGTGTGAAGTGACTCAGACCGGAGGGACCGAAGGTGCAAGAAGTTGGTAGGCGGGGTCGAAGCTTGTCACAGAATGTTTCGATGATGTGCGATTGCGACAGAAAGTGCTGGAAAGATGGGAGAGGGTGGTTNNGCCTTGGGGGGTTGATGATATAGTAGCGAAGAAAAGAGGGCGGGCNATGGCAACATATAACATCTTCAGGCACACGACNTGGCGTGCCCACGCCATGATCAGCAGATACATTGGCGTATGGGGCTGTTGTGCATGCACCCTGCTGGCCTGTCCCGCTCTTGCGCTCTCGACCCTCACCTGCATGCGCNNCCAGTGGAAAGCCACCCCGAAACCTTCTGCGTGGGGGTTTCGGACANNGCGGAGATTCNNTGGCAGGATTCGTTGTTCGGGTAGGATGAACAACGTTTGGCTGTCCTTGAACCTGTCCGCTCATTCACTATTGAACCATGCGCCTTTCACAAATCATCGCCTCCCTCTGGCTCAAGACAGGCTGTCACCAGTCCGCAGCACAGTCACCACAGCGACGTCGCGGCAGGATTATTCCAGTCATCGCCGCGATCGGCAAAACGTCTTTGTGCTTGCGTGATGTCCGTCTCCCTCCGTGTATTTTCATGTATCCTTGTCTTGGCTCCTGTCGAGGGATGGGCGTGGGTGCGTGCTCGACAGAGTTTTTTAGCGCAAGAATCATCCGGAGCGCCTTGTCATGCGCGAATAGAAGCAACATTCCGCTTGGGGACGGTTGGCCTGCAGCCCAGCTGCTCACTGCTCACGAGGCATGAACGGCACTGGAATGATGAGCAGTTCAATCAAATTTAGTTTCTCAATCGTTGCCTGCTGAAGAGTGTGAACAATTATTGTCTTGTGTTTGTTGACTTGACCTTTCGGGTCCCGGCCGGCGCCAGCCTAGCCGAAGAGATCTTCTAGTGTTGGGTTTGGCTTGTTGTCTTGTCGCTTGGGCTGTTGCCTACAGGCTTCACCTCTTTTCTCATCCTAGTCAGTCGTCGTCGTCGTCCTCGTTCTCGTCCTCGTCGTCGACGTCGTCGTCACATCCCTGCAACTTTTCACCTTGATTAGTGCCATCCTGGTAGCTTTGAAACCACCTTGATCAGGACAGCTCACGAGAGCCAATGGCATAGTTGTGCACAAGCTGCTATGCATCTTTTCTCCGCTCGCTCTTACGTTGCTTTGGTTTCAAGTCTTTGCTGCATGCAGGTGCAAGAAGCTCGCCCCAAGCGATNNGTGCATTGAAACCGGCATTAACTGCCTTGCTTACTGCTGCTCACTCGTTTCGTTCGAAGCTTTGAGTTGTTCTTCCCCTGCCGGTGCTGCTCCCTGTAGACCCCGAGTCAAGGGTCTCNNGGGGAGAGGCAATCGTACACAACACCTGTCTCTGATCNNGAGAGAAGTTACTCTGACTGAGACGTCAAATGCCTCNGTTGGACGACGCGGCGAGTGGAGCTCCGGCCCTCAGACATGCTGCATGCTTGCTAAAAGAGGCGTGTTCGGTACCTCGCTTGCCCTGCCTGATCAAGTGCCAATAATGAGGCTGGAGAGCAACCCCCACGCCATCGATTGCGCATGTTGTGTATGCCAGATTGACGCTCATCATCTAATCCTCCACAATATCCTCAATATATGGCGCAAGGACTAACGTTGGTCAAGGCCACCAGGTGGTCAAAGGTCCCGTCACATCACANNAAAAGGTGCAACTCACGCTTGGGGATTGAGCACAGCAGGCACGTTCAAGCTGCCAGTATTGCATGCGGCAATTGCAGAAGGACTGCAGCGAGCAGCATCAATGCTTCATGACGTCCGTGTACTGTGCCTCTCTTTCCCAGCACTGTGGCACGTTTGCAGCAAATGCACTCCATCGCCTTGGCCTCAGGAAGAGCTAGCTGCAAGCTCCCAAGTCGACCTCCAAGGAAGATGTGCGACGGGATCGACTGACAGGAATCCTCCAGAGAGCACGCACCCACGCGCTGTCGTCTTACAACATAAGCGACTAAGCGAGACTGGGGAGAACCTATGAGCTATCGAGGATCTCGCTCGTTCACTATCCGCCGAGGGCTCATGTCCAAGGAAAGATGCGCGTGTGGCTGTTATCTCGACTCCTCTTTGGAACCAATGGCTGTCTGCATTGCAGCTTGTGGTAATTCCGCTTGGGTTGGTACTGCTGGCGCTAACAGCTGTCAAGAGTAGAATCGGATTGAGCGCTTGGTCTGTTCTGCGAATCTATCTTGGGGGCGTGATCGATGGACATCAAGGTCGTCTACAGGTAGAGCCTTGCCATTGCACTAGCTCTGCCCTTGTTCGTCATATACTTGGGCGGGGTCTGCTGCCAAAGAGCTAGCAGTGAACTGATAGCAAAACAAGACGCCAAGGTCATTTCCTCAAGCTCATTCCCCCACGCTAGAGAGATACTGTATACGACCACTATAGCAAGACCGGCTATCGCGGGACCCTCGTTGACGGGAAGCACGACATTGCTGGATTTCGTTATCGTCGCCCGCGTGGCGCTTTGAGTACTCGACCCCTCTTTCCATAACATGACGATGCACTTTATCAAAATGGCTTATCGCCATGCTTGGAGGATAGATTGCGCATTGCCCTCTGAGCTGGAATAGATTAAAAGCGCGGGATGGTAGCCGCGTTGGTCTTTGGGGCCAGCGATAAAGATGACGGTAGGATTAGGCGACGGCAATGCGCCTGACAAGAGCATTCCTCGCTCCATGCTTTGCTGCAATGCTGGATGATGGTTTGCATCAGGGCAGAGAAGACATTGGGTGAGGTCGAGTAGTTTGCAGTGCTCCACTTATTCCCCGATCGTCCATCAAGGTGAGTTGTTCGTGACCGACCGAGGTGGTCAGTGCCAGCAGCAGCGTGGGCGATCCCCCAGCAGCAATCTGCCTCTGCCATCTCGACACCTATTCGTGTCTCACGGTCATGAGCATACCAACATAGTGTTGAGGCAGGTCCTGATGCTCTCGTCTGCCAGGGACAATTGCCGTCGTGTGGAGTCGGCATCCCACGGCTAGCCTGGCAAAAGGTTCAAGCACGACGTCATTGAGAGACCATGAATTCTATAAAGAAAACTCGTCGCAATGTGGTGACAGGTGATACCACTTGGTCCCACCGAAACGCACACGATTCTTGTCAAACACACAACTCACAGCCATGGCATCTTCGACACCGCAGCCAGGCACCGTGGAGCCGCCCGTCAGCATCGACCGATTGACCAACAGCAACTGGATCAAGCCAGAATACAAACTACCCATCCCATCGCTCCAATTCCTCTTCCACCTCGAATGCGACATGGAATCCTTCAGACACATAGGAAAGGGCCCCCACGGTGACAGGTCGACTGTGATATTCAAGGGCGGCCGATTCGAGGGTCCACGCCTAAGAGGCAAGATTCTACCCGGAGGCGGAGGTGAGCACAATGTACCTTTTTGTTTGCGTGTGTGTGTCAATGTATCTAGATTATCTGACCAATGGGTATCAACAGATTGGGAGATTGTGCGAGACCATGATGGTGATCAGCAAACTGCGCACCTGGATACCAGATACAATTTGGAGACACATGACGGAGCGACGATTTACCTGCGCACGACAGGGTGAGTAGTGCAACCCTGATGCCAACATGGCTGGGAAGCAGAACAAGAAGACGACATACTGACGCTATGAAATACAGANACGAGGACGGGAAAGAAGGAGGTCCTTGAGAAATTGGGAGAGGGGAACATTGGTCCTGATCAATTCAGAATGCGACTCAATCTCACCTTTGAGACTGGTGATGAGAGATACTCATGGCTCAACTCGGCCGTCTTTATCGCGAGCTCGGGACGCGTGGGCGACATGGTCATATACGATGCCTACCAAGTCCTTTGAACGATATCATATAGCTCATTACTGCATTCTTCACATTCCCATCAACAACTTCTGTCGCATAGCAAAAACCAGATCGAGAGTCGGAGGAATATATTGAAGCCAATCTCGCGCACTAGAGCCCGATCAGCGATGGTCGCCGATGCACCCCAGATTTGATGGTGATCTATGACGATGTCGTCGTCTCTTTGTTGGAGGTCATGATGTGATTTTTGTTTTGCGTCTATGTCATTCTTCGTCGCGTAAGGGGCATACATGACCGTTGCATGACCCTTCCTTTCTCTGTTGTCGCGTGTTAGAAGTAAAACTGCATTCCTGTGACCACCCGACCTTTGCACACATGCCAGAAGAAAGGCCTTTGTTGAGAACTCAAGCCTCCCAGACGCGCTACGATATGGGTCAACAGATGGAGAATCAGAAGAGAAAGAAGGTGCTGGTCGTCGGCGCCGGAGCTGCAGGTGAGCTCGACATGCCATTGACGCGAGAAGGAAGACAAAACTGACGCGTCAGAATAGGTATGAGCTGTGCGCACCACCTCGCCGAGCAGCCCGACAAGTTCGACGTCACGCTCGTCGACGCCGTCGACTACTGCGGTGGCCAAGCCTACAGTATCCCCATCGACAAGAACAAGTACGGCGCCAGCTGGCTCAACCAAGGTGTCCAGGGCGGCTCCTACATTTTCCACCACACCATGACCATGTTTGCGCGCCAGGGACACCACGCCGATCCCGTCAAGCTGCATGTTTCGTTTGGCAAGGACGACCAGTTCTGGACAAACGTCTACTCGACCATGATGCTCAAGAAGCACGAAAAGGAGGTCAGACGCTTCTACTACATGATCAAGATCATCCGTTGGTTCGAGGTCTTTTTCGCCCTCGTGCCCATCAAGTACGTGGTCAAGCTCTTCATGTTTTCCGAAGAGTTTGCCAATGTCGTTGCTCTGCCCATGGTAGCTCTATTCCTGGGAACCGGCAACTACGCCCCCGAAGTGCCTAGCATGGTGCTCGAGCGACTCTGCACCAGTCCCACCTACGGAATGTGGTTCCCACCGGACAAGGCCAGCGTGGCCAGCAACATGCCTCCCATGGTCGTCTTCCCCAACTTCAGCGAATTTTACGGCGACTGGAAGACCAGTCTGGAGAAGAAGGGCGTGCACATCCGCTTGTCGACTGAAGTCACCCAAGTGGTTCGCAGAAACAAGGACGGCGTCGACGTAAAGATCATCAAGCGCACCCCCGCCTCAGACGGCCACACCCAAGACAGCGCCTGGGTCCCCAACACAGTCGAAGGCAGCAACGGCGATCCCAACGCCCAAGAAATTGAAGAACACTACGACGAAATCGTCCTCTGCGTACTCACAGACACCGCAAAGCGCCTGCTCAAACCCTGCGCAACATGGCGCGAAAACAAAGTGCTCGGGTCCGCCAAGTTCGCAAACGACATTACCATCACGCATTCGGATGCAGACTACATGCGCAAACACTACGAAATGGAATTCAACGAAGAGCAAGCCGTCACCACCCTCAACGGCGCAGACCAGACCTCTCGCGTTGACTTCGCACGCAAAAACTTCAAGCCAATGTACCTGATCAAAATGTACCCTTCGGACCTCACGAAACTCGAGATGAGCTTCAACTGTAGCAACTACCAGAGTCAATTCCCGCCCGACACACCTCTGGACAATGCAGTCTTCCAGACCATTTTCCTGAACAAAGACCGCGACTCGCATTTGTGGTCCATTGACGAAATCGACGAGTCCAAAATCATCCGCAAGGATTGGTGGCACCAGCTCTGCCACTCTTTTACCCATTACCTCTTCGTAGTGCCATGGATGTGGTCCCTGAACGGCCGCAACAATACTCGCTTCGCCGCCGCATGGACAATGGTAAATGCCCACGAGGTAGCCTGTATCTCTGGCATTGCCGCCGCAGTCGACCTCGGCGCTTCCTATCCTGAAGACTTGGAGCGCGACAAGTTTGCCTTACTAGCTTTCCGTCTTTACTATCTGCTCGCATATGGCAAATGGTACAAGAAGAAGTTCTCGGGCAAGAATAGCAAAGAGAGTTATTCGACTGGGTTATATGGGTCTGTATACCAAGGCCCTGGTGTCGCGAGCGAGGAACGCACTTGCTGGAAAAAGGAGGTCGAGAATGGACGTGCGTTGAAGGATTTCAGCATGGCAAAGTCCGATTAAGGAGGTGAGAATACCAGGAAAGATGTGAGAGATGTCTTGTTGAAACATGATTACTAGTCATGATAGAAGAGATGGTGTGTACATGTGTAAGATTTTATAGCTTTGCTATAGTAATATGAAGAGATCTAATTCAACAAGTATGTTCCTCTTGTCGAATGTCGCGGATTATACATAACTTTTACTTGGAAACCATCCCCCTTGAAATGCAATTAACTAACTACTGCCCCTCTTGCATGTGTCGTGGCCGGGTTGAGATGGCACGAAGAAGTACCAACCCAGCTGCAAGAAGAGATCATACAGTTTAACCACCCATACAACCCATGAAACCACCATAACGTATACAAGAGCTTTCAAGAAAAGTGCCGCAAACAAACTAACGCAAAAATTGGTATGCCAGCGAGTTGGCCTTTGGAGATGATAACATAACGATACAAAGAAGACAGGGTGCTACACTCAGCGACTTCTTTTTGCTCTTTTTCTTCTTTCTCGCCTCGTTCTTTTCTCCTTTTCTCGTAACCACGGCATGGAAAATAAATCGTCTTCTTGTGGCTAATCGGTGGTCTATGTAGAAACAAGCTGCAAATACAATCAATCGTCGTGAAGGCTATCATGTCGTGTCGACAAAGCAAGGCTGCCCAAGTCCCTTCAATTGCAAACATCAACAATGTCCACGGTAGAAACGAACACCAAGGAGATTGCAACAAAAAGAAGGTCTGTAGCATGGTCTAATGGATATCACAAATACTAGTGATCGTGTTATGAATAACTGCTAGGCCAGGACTACACATGCCCCCAATGTTAAACGATAGAAAAACCTGTGTCAAATATCCCAAATGCGGGCGACTCTGGCCTACGCTCCCTCGTAAACCACATGTCGCCAAAACTAAAGATCGGCTCTGTGTGTGATAGAGCCCTCGCGCCCCACAGTCTACTCATCACATTGTAGCCGCCGCTGCCGTCGCGTCCGTTGGGAGCTCGCTGATCTCCCGCTTGCGGGGGCATTCCCAAGGCATGGAGACGGAATGTCGATGGACTGTGAACCACGAATCGCCGAAACTGAAGAACAACCACAGGGGAGTCTCAGAGGTTGTACTCATTACTTCGGTCGGCTCATTATCGTCGCCGCCGTCGTCATCGTTTCCGTCAGGAGCTCTGTCAGTTTCCGGTGGCGGGATGTCATCTTCTCCGTCTTCCTGGGGTTCAGGCGGCAGTTCTTCGTCTCGTTCCACTCGTTGTACCTCTTCCCACTTGCGTTCCTCAAAAGCTTTTCTCCTGCGCTCTCTGCCGGCCTTTCCTCGACGTGTCATCTTCCAACTTTTGGCTCTTGCACGCCAGAAATTTGAAAGTGCAGGTGCTAAAAGAGGAGCCCGTCCGCCTCGAAGTCCGGGGGCAGCTTGTTGAGTTCTGCCTTGCTCATCTTTGGGTGGGTATAGATGCTCAGGGGCAAGGAGTTCGAACGCCGAGGTTGGGCCTGCTCGTCTTCTTCTGGCAATATGTCGTTGACCGACTGAGTAAGTCTTGGTAAAGACGAATCGTGTGTGTCCATGAGATTTGGGTCTGCTGATTGCGGTGCTGTGTCTGCTACCGAGAGTTGTTGCGTATGACGCTGTATCGCCTCCTCGCGCTCTCGTTGTCGGCGAGCTCTCCTCGCGGCATCGCGCTCTCGATTCCGAATTGCCCGAAGTCTGGCCTCAGCATACCAGGGAACGTCTGAACTTACGGGTGCCGAAGGTGTCGGTGCCGAGTAACGCCTGCTTTCGAGTCCCAGCAATGCCCTCAGGTGTTGTGAATGCCACTCGGGATCGGATATTGCCGGAGACGTTAGGTAGACAAGGTCCCAAGTCGTTTGTGATCCATTGTGTCGGTGTGATTGATCTCCATCCTCTTCAGCTGAACCATCTACCAAATCAGCTGAACTATTTCCTGATTCTGCTGAACTATTTCCTGATTCCGCTGACCCATTCACCAGCTCCATACTGAAGACCACAAAGTCGTTCCTAGACTGACGCTGTGCAGCGAGAGCGGCAGCCGAAGCCCGACTCGGCTTCCAGCGCTCTTCTTGCTTGGCGAGATGTAGATTATTCTCCCAATCCCAGTCATGTCCAGGGTAAGGAAGAGAAGAAGTCTCGAACTAAGAGAAATCGAAATCATCACCGCCGAGATCCATCTCAAGGCCGGCGAAGATATCATCCTCGTTGCTCATTTGCCCAGCTCCGTGTTGCTGAGATGTACCAGTCAGATCAAAGTCCATATCCTGGCTAGTGAAGAGGTTGTTAGACATGTCGAGTGATATGGCGTTGGAATCGTTGATGTTGGTTGTGTCCATCTGCAAGGATTGATCCATGGCAGCTGTAAAGTCCTGGTCCGTGACGGCAGCAGCAGCAGAATCATTCGCGGTTTCTCCAGCCATCTGCATTTCTGCGCTGGTTATTTGCATGTCTGCACCAGCCATGTTCATGTCGAGGTCAAGATTCGTCATGGGCATGGTAAGCTGTGCTGGGACAGCAAGTTGCGCCTCAACACGACGGCCGAGTCTCACGAGTGTTTCCACACGCTCAGTCTCCATACCTAGGAGCTCCTTGGGTTCTTCCAACCTTGCTCGCAGCGCCTGACGCAACGTACGTCGTTGATTGACTGACGCCGGAGCAGATTGGTCAAATTGCATAAGAGCGGTTGTCTGAGACAGTGCGGGTAGAGGCGAAGGGGCACAAATGATAGCGGTAGCAACTTCAAGCGCTGCTGAACCGGACCCGCTCTGAGTTTGTGACCTGAGCTCGTCCAGTATGATGGCCAAGACTGCGTCAGCCCCAAGCACGTCCAGAGCTGTTGTGATGGTCCGATGCGTGTAGCTGTAGGGTATAGAGTTTATGCCACCCTGTGAGGACCATTGAATCAGACCGCGGACAACACTGCTGACTGTAGCCCGCAAGCCACCTTCAGGAGCAGCGGACCATGCTGTAAGCTCGGCTGAACTACATTTGCCCGAGCGCTGGCTGTCCAAGTGAGGTGAGAGAACCTCGACAAGTGGAGTGACGTCCTTACGCTTAGGCTGCCTTCGCTGTAATTCTTGCAGAGACATCACCAAAGGTCGTGCGACCATGGCAAGTATGGTCTGATGCATCGCTTGAGCATCGCCAGAGATCGAGTCAGGTTGGATCAATTTGCGCAGTATCTGTAGCAAGATCTCCGTGTCGCCGTGATCCTCCCAAGAGTGTTTAGTGATCCAGCTGAGGCCTCCGATCAGTGAAGGAAGCAGGAAAGGCTCAAGCAGAAACTCGAGTCCGCCTTTCAGAGTGTTGATGGCAAGGACCATGAGCTTACAGGCTTGCACACTCTGCTCGAACAGTGTTGGCACCAGTAGATAGAAAGACTGAGGCGGGCAGTGTGACATGGTCTCATCGCTGATACCGTTCGTTTCACCCTGTTCGTCGGTTGCATACAAACCTTGAACCCATTTTGTGAGCTGCTTTTGCTGGTCATCGTCGAGTGCTCTGATAGGGATGCTCGTGGAAATGTTGTTGAGGAATTTCATGATGAACGTATCAGACGAGAATGCTCCAATCTCAGCTTCTGCCAGTTGGTAACGATGGATGACGGCCAGAACAAGCAGCAAAACAGAGGCGAACTCTTCGTAAGGCGGTTGAAATTCGCTCTGGTCCTCGTCGTGAGTCCATTCGTTCAGCAGACTGCAAAGTGGCGAAAGCACGTCCGCGGGCTGAGCGTATTGGAAGATAATGTCCATCATTGGCAATCGTCGAGAAAGGGTATTGCACAACGTTCGCAAAGACATGGTTTCTTTTGCAGTGTACAAGTGTTGAATTGTGTCAACCAACGCTCCTGAGATTGCACCTGCGTTACCGTTCATGCCCTCAAGCTCACGAGCCAGTTCTTCCACACGGTGTATGTTGGCAATACATTGCTGAGCCAGAGATTGTCTGTTGTACCTGGGCACCCGAGAAGCAACCGGAGCAGGCGACTCGCCTATTACGGAATGGAAAGCCTGTTCGTTGCCAAGCTGAAACATAATGCAAGCCTGCACAAACTCCTGACGACTCTTTTTCAAGATCTCGTTGTTGGTGGTGTCATTGTCTGAAGACAAGGGTGGGAATGGATGAACATCGACTCGTCTCAGAGCCATCTGAATGTATACTTGAGAAGTCATAGGTGCAAATGATCCGGACAAGGTTGTGATCAGCAAGGGTAGCTTGTTGGCGATGAATGAGCGGTAACAGAGAATGTGATTGGGTGACTGTTGTTGCTGCAAAGCATTCGCCAGAACGTCGAAAGAAGCCACGATCAAATCTGAAACCAGCGCTTGTGTATCGTTTTGATATTTGGCATGTATGTAGTTAAAGAGCGACATGTCATCTGTTAGAGGTCTCGCACATAGCGCTGCATTGAGGTATGCGTAGAGACCAACTCTCGAATTGGTGACTGGAAGATCGTTGACTGCCGATGCTATTTCTGCAGTGCTAAAGTCGGGTTTGCCGAGAGGTGGAGTCTTGGCCATCATGTGAAGGCGTGCACCAATCTGCGAGTGAGACCACGGGCTTATAAGTTCTGCAAAGTCACTACACGCAGACGCAACCTTTTCCTTCAGGGTCTGTGGCCAGACACCAATGTCGGTCTTGACTGTGGCATGGTTCAGGAGAGCGATTGCAAGCGTTGCCAGCGTTTCGAAGGACGTGACAACTTGAGGGTCTGGACTTTGCATCACCTCGACATGCTGCATGAGAAGGACCATCTCATGAGCACGGCAAGCGGTAAGGCATTCTCCCAAGGCTCGTACGACGTTGCGGGCTTCGCGAGTGGATTTTGGTCGCTCACCTGCGGCGACCAGACGCACGAGCAGTGACAAGACATGTTCAAAGAATGCGTTACTCATTGGAGTGCGATTGGAAGCCTNTTTCTTGAGCGCATAACGAGAGTGAGCCAGCAAAGCAACCAGGATATCGCAAGTGTCGATGGTGGTGACGCGTAGAATTTGTTCCAGATATTCGGTGATTAGAGGGTCAATGCCAGAGGCTCCGGATGTAAAGATGATGCTAGCGAGTTGTGGTCCAGATATGGGCTGAGAGCTCCAAAGTTCAGAAAATGGCTTGCTCAGCTGTGTAGCACGTATGCGATGACTGAAGCAAGTTCGGAATAATGTTGACCACTGTTCAGCGGCATGGCTGGCTGATACCGAATCCATCGTGATGGTGTTCGAGAGGCCGCTCTCCCGAAGTGTTATCGAAACGATGATAGAGAATGCAATGCGACGATCATAAAAATTGGTGGTGTTGTCGGCAAGAAAGATGAAGCGGATCAATTGATGGTTTGTCGAAAGTTGGAAGGCATGAATTTGTCTTGGCAGGGCAGGCGTGATGCACGGTCTCACCGGCGACGAGCAAAAGAGGAAGCTACTCTCTTTGTCAATTGCGAAAGTGCACAACGCGATGGATAGATAAACACACAATAGATAAAAGAAACAGGACAGTGTCGGCTATGAGGGAATATTCCAGCACCAATTTTCCTCGGCGTCCGCGCTTGCGTCAAGTACAATTGTGTCATATTAAAATAGGTGAGAAGAAGTAATGTGTGCGGAGAAAATGGGGTTGCGCCAATACAAGGTATAGAGTGTTTCGCTAGAATACATGAGGAGCAGAATATCACATGCATCAGATGCCATCTGGGAGCCCAGAGTCGTAGCCCGCAACCCCCCCTGCACGCTCCCAAGGTCTAGAACGTTCACTCGATTGATCCTGTCCAGTCTCTTCATGAGGCGCACGAGGACCAATCATCCAATCCTCCATGGCTAACCATGAACTCCAACTCTTCTCTGCAGCGTCCAACTCCTCGTCGCGAATGCTCTGCAACGGCTTGAGGAAAGGAACTGTCTCCTCGGGATTCATGTCGTACTGCTTCTTGCAGGTTCGCCAACCACCGTGCTTGGCGGCGAAAAGATAGTTGCGGCGTTCACAGTCTTGCATGGGAGTGATGCCAGCTTGGTATGCATCGCCAAAGAAGCCATGCAAGATTCCAGGCTTGTCGAATCCGGTAATGACTAGACGTCGGATATAAGGGACTAGGGATACAAAAGCGGGCGTAGGTTGTGAGCTGCGACCGTTGGCCGAAGAGTTCGGTCGTGACCATTGATTAAAGTTGAAAGATGGGCCTCCAGAACCAGGGCTGCTTCCTAGCACCTGTGAAGGGTTTGATGAGATGACAGGGTTTTGATGCCATTGGAAAGGCAGTCGGATATTGATCAAAGCACACAATGCCTGGGTGCCAGCTTCATGCTGTGCGTGGTCGAGAAAGTAACGTTGGCAGGATTCATAGGCCGGATGCCAGTCCAGGATGTCAAAGTTTGGCGAAGTTGTGAGTGGTGGGTCCTGAGGTTGTTGGCGGTTCTGCTGGGTCCCTGGCTGCTGTGGTTGTTGTTGCAGCGACGGCTCCCGCTGCTCGTGACGAGACGAGTTGGCGTAATTGCCATTGTAGGCCATGTTGTCGTCGTCTGTCATGAGATGCATGGGCATGATGAAGATGAAATGTTTGACGATTTTGGAGGCTTACGTGGGATAAAATAAAGGCCAGTGCTCGGTCTTTATAATTATAAATATCCTTTCGTGGTAAGTTAATGCTAGGGCGAGCCGAAGGCTACAGGGAAACAACGGTCGCGGATGTTGGTAGATAGCGGGGTCCGATATCAAGTATGTGCTGCTGGACCAAAGTCAGAGGCTCCGGGTAAGAGGTTCACAGTAGTTGTTTTGTTCCAGCAGAGACAAGGCTGACGCCATGAGATGATGAATAAAAAGGAGGCGACCAAATCAGAGTAGCATGCGCGATGATGGATCTAGTCCGGTACGGCGGCATTGGACTTCTAGTGAGCCCTTGGAGGGTCTTTCGAGACGGGACCCTGGAGATGCATCTCAGTGGCGTCCTTGGCGAGGCCAGTGCTTGCTGCAATCCATCAATGATGGTTAATGATCTTGCGGCTCTGAACGACAAATTTCGACAAGCAGGCAGAGTTGTTTGTCGATGCTGGTTGATGTGGTGACTGAGCTGTACGGAGATCCATCTTGCGTCTTGATGTGTTTCAAGCCAAAGGGAAAGGGTGTGGTAGAGACGAATGAGGATCACTGAAATAGCAAAAGACGTCATGCGATGATGCGGCTCTGTGCTCATTGCGAAAGCGACAAGAATCTGAAATACTCATACCCTTGCACATCCACATCCTACAAGTATCTGTCAACCCAACAATCAGTGTCTCACTTGCAAACACGAAGACTTTTACGAATCAGAACAACAGGCCATGTCGCAGAAGACGTACAATCTCGCCAGTCGCGTCAAGGCACGTTCTTTCACAATTGCGTCACTTTCCAACTTGGGCTCATACCGAGTCGCAGCTTAACAATGGCTTGTCCATGCCACAAATTCACCTTGGTGTATACTTGACGTCTGGCAATGAGACGACCAAGGCTACACGATGGGCACTCGAGGTCTGTTCACGCCAGAGATACTACTCAATCTCAGTCTGACCATTCCCTAGNTCCGGTTACCTTGCTGTCGACAGCGCCCAAATGTACCACAACGAACGCCAGGTTGGTAACGCCATAACAGACTTCCTCAAGTCGGCCAACAACACTGCGAACCTCGGCCGCGAGGACATACATTACACGTCAAAGCTCGCGAGCAACAGCGACTACAATACGGCGAGAAAAAGCATCAAGAAGAGTGTACAGGAGTGCGGCCTGGGATATATAGATCTGTTCCTGCTGCACAGTCCATACGGAGGGAAGAAGGCTCGCCTGGAGAGTTGGCGCGCCGTCGAGGACGCCATTATGGATGGCGAGATCAAGATCGGAGGTGTCAGCAACTACGGTGTCCAACACCTGCAGGAGCTCCTCGACTCGAAGCCGCGCATCCTTCCAGCGGTCAATCAAATCGAGGTGCACCCGTTCAACACGCGCACCGACATCACCTCTTTCTGCCAGAAGAATGGCATTATGATCGAGGCGTACGCTCCTCTGGCGCGCGCTCTGCGCATGAAGCATCCCGTTATTGTCGAGCTCAGCAANAAATACAATTGCAATCCGGGGCAGTTGCTGGTGAGATGGTCGGTCCAGCATGGCTACGTGCCGCTGCCCAAGAGTGTCAAGAAGGAGCGCATTGCGCAGAACGGCGACATTGGCGGCTTCGAGATTGACGAGGGCGACATGACCAAGATGGATGGGTTGGACGAGTATTTGGTGACTGGTAAGAAGCAACTGGACATTTGCCGAGATAATTATGCTGACTTGCCTGTGTCTTCTCCAGACTGGGATCCTACCGATGCCCCGTAGGTCCCCGCATGGGCACCGCTGTCGGAGTGTGGCTATCTTCTGGGTAGAGAGTCTTATCAGTTGTTGAGGTGTCGCGGTTACTCGATTGCTATTACGCAGCGCGCCGAAGCCAAGCCGCAGATGTGGCTAAATCTCGCGTGCAGGCGTGCCAGATGCGCGAATCTGTGGGGGAAGCTTTTGTCGTTGCTGCCATGGCCGAGGCATCTCGACCGAATAAACACAGAGGTCCAGCAGTCGAGAGTTCCACGACTGCTTGTCCCAACTCCTCCAGCAGGAATCAATTGTTCGTGATAGTGACTCTATTCAATGTCAAGCCACTTGGATAGCAGTGGCACCCACAATTGCGGTCAGAGTGGTGCGAGTTTCCTCGGAGTTGCGGCGGACAGAGCTGCCCCTCCTGCTGTCGACCGACATCGGACCGTGTCTCTGGCAGCCAAAGTTTACCCTGTACAGCGCTAGCCATGTGAACGACAGTTGCTCAACGTGAATGAGGGCGAGAACCGGAGGCCTTGAGCCACTGGTGGGCGCGCTCTACCGTGTCCAGGGTTCTGCTTGGTGACGCACAGTCCCCTCTGTGCTGCTTTTTCGCCGTCGCGCTGCGTGGGGCAACACTTGACGGTACACAATTACTTTTCTCAACCTGCACCGGCCGCCCATATCGCTGTCTGCTTTATCTATCCACCCTGCCCGCGACATCTTTTGGATCTGTTCATCTTCGACTTCTTCTCTCTCCTCTTACACTCCTTCATACCACACCCTTACCCCCATATACACACACATACTATACACCATGTCCAACCTCCCCTCTGAGCCCGAGTTCGAGCAGGCCTACAAGGGTACGTCTCAATTGCTGAGCCTCAACCCATCAAGGTTGCCGGTACTGACTTGACCCCTCACAGAGCTTGCCTCGACCCTCGAGAACTCGACTCTCTTTGAGAAGAACCCCGAGTACAAGCGTGCTCTCCAGATCGCCGCCGTCCCCGAGCGCGTCATCCAGTTCCGTGTCGTCTGGGAGAACGACAAGAACGAGGTCCAGGTCAACCGTGGTTACCGTGTGCAATACAACTCTGCCCTCGGTCCTTACAAGGGTGGTCTCCGCCTTCACCCTACCGTCAACCTTTCCATTCTCAAGTTCCTGGGTTTCGAGCAAATCTTCAAGAATGCTCTTACTGGCCGTGAGTGGATTCTTTCTCTCCACACCTTCCAGAGGCTAACGGCTCCTTCCNNAGTGAACATGGGTGGTGGTAAGGGTGGTGCCGACTTTGACCCCAAGGGCAAGTCTGACAACGAGATCCGTCGCTTCTGCTACGCCTTCATGAAGGAGTTGAGCAGACACATTGGTGCCGACACTGATGTTCCCGCCGGTGACATTGGTGTTGGTGGTCGTGAGGTCGGTTACATGTTTGGTGCCTACAAGTCGATCCGCAACCAGTGGGAGGGCATTCTCACTGGCAAGGGCGGCAGCTGGGGTGGTTCCCTGATCCGTCCCGAGGCCACCGGCTACGGTCTCGTCTACTACGTCGAGCACATGATTCAGTATGCCTCTGGCGGCAAGGAGTCCTTCTCCGGCAAGAAGGTCGCCATTTCCGGTTCCGGTAACGTCGCTCAGTACGCCGCCCTCAAGATCATCGAGCTCGGCGGTACCGTCGTCTCGCTCTCCGACTCCAAGGGTGCCATTATCGCCACCAGCGACAAGGGCTTCACNCCCGAGATCATCGACGTCATTGCCGACCTCAAGCTCAACCGCAAGGCCCTCAGCGACCTGACCTCCAGCTCCGAGTACAGCAGCCAGTTCAAGTACATCGAGGGCGCCCGTCCCTGGAAGCACTGCGGCAACATCGACGTTGCCCTTCCCTCAGCCACCCAGAACGAGGTCTCTGCCGACGAGGCCGAGGCTCTCATCTCGCAGGGCGCCAAGTTCATCGCCGAGGGCTCCAACATGGGCTGCACCCAGGAGGCCATCGACATCTTCGAGGCGTCGAGAAAGGAGAAGAAGGGATCCGCCATCTGGTACGCACCCGGAAAGGCCGCCAACGCCGGTGGTGTCGCCGTGTCGGGTCTCGAGATGGCACAGAACTCGCAGCGTCTGAAGTGGACCAGCGAGGAGGTCGACGAGAAGCTCAAGCAGATCATGAAGAACTGCTTCGAGAACGGTCTCGAGACGGCCAAGGAGTACGTCACNCCCGCCGAGGGCGAGTTCCCTTCGCTGGTTGCCGGCAGCAACATTGCTGGCTTCAAGAAGGTTGCCCAGGCCATGCACGACCAGGGTGACTGGTGGTAAATGCATCGCTCGCTTTTGCGTGTGTGTCTGCCTGCCATTTACGAAAAACAAGATTCCCCTTTGATACCTCTTTTGATCATCAGCATGATCTCTTTTTTTCTTAGTTAGTCAACGAAATGTCATGATATCCCTTTTTGTATGTAAAGCACCTACCTGTTTGACCTACCGTGTTGTGATCGTGTCTACCATGATCTTTGAAGGACTGTTTATCCATCTCGAGATGGGGTGTGAGGGGTTGTATATAAAAGGCAAGGATGAGACTAAAGCCGAAGGTGGCCGCTTCAGGTGAACGTGGAGAGAGCTTCCTCAGCCGCGGACAGGCGCGTGTGCAGTGACGACGGTAACCTCGGCTCATCAGGGTTGTTTTTGGCGAAGCTGTAGGAGCACTCTGGGTCACTGACCGCATCTGAATGTCACAATCAACACAGCGATCTTTGCCGTTGCCCTAGACCACTTGACTCTGCAAGGACATGCGCCCAGACACGGCAACACACACAGTCCCGACGCGACCACGATGACCACGATGAGAGCCCCAGCCATACTGAGAGTCAGGGGAGCCAGAGCAGCAACGATACACACGCCAACACCTTCACCAACATGTCCGACCCCAAGAAGCTACTCCTCGACCTCCACCACCACACGCCCCAAGACCGCCCTCTTCTTCCCTGGCCAAGGCGTTCAACGCGTGGGCATGCTAGACCCCTGGCTCACAACCTTCCCCTCGACCGTAAAACCCCTGCTGGAAGAAATAGACCATACCCTCAACATTTCTCCCTCATTGACTTCACTCATCTCCCACGGCACAAATGCCACCCTCACCGCAACGCAAAACGCGCAACCTTCCATCATGGCCACCAGCATCTTGATCTTGAGGGTGTTGGAAAAAGAATTCGGCTTCGACACCAAGCAAACAGTAGATTTTACCCTCGGCCACAGTCTAGGCGAATTCGCCGCGCTCGTTGCAGCAGGAAACCTAGAGTTTGGTGCCGCGCTGCGCATGGTGCGCAAACGCGGTGAAGTCATGGCCCACTGCTCTACCTCGACACACCAAGAAATGGGCATGATAGCTCTAGTCTGCGAACCCGAGCAACGCGACGCCACAATCTCGGCCATCACTCGCCACTTGACCGCAAACCCAGACTTGAAGTGTGTGGTCGCCAACATCAATTCGAAAACGCAATTCGTGCTCAGCGGAGAGATTGCCCATGTCAATCAGACGTTGACGCATATCCGCCACTTCGACAGCCACGATCCACGCGCCGTGAGACTAAAAGCCGATTCGCCGTTTCATTCGCCATTGATGCTGCCTGCGGTATCTCTGATGCGCAACTTGCTTTCTGCGCCTGGGGCAGTGACGTTTTCGCCGCCAGACACTTTACCTTGCATCTCAAACATTACCGCCAAACCCTTCACTTCCGCATCTGAATTGATAGATTTGGTGGCGAGGTCAGCAGCAGAACCGGTCTTGTGGCATCAAAGCATTGTATACTTGCACAAAGAGCAAAATGTAAAGAGATGGATAGGAATCGGGCCTGGCAAAGTAGGCAGGAATCTGGTTGGCAAAGAGGTGGGTAGTAAAGGATTAGGTGGCAAGGGAGGCGGTGTATTGGCATTGACGGATCCCAAAGAGATTGATGAGTTTATGAGGGCTTTGGAGGAGAGTGATAGAGGTGCCGAGGAAGAGACGTGATGGGGAAAAGGGTAAAACATGCATGACTGCACGTTTCGTTTACCACAAACACAAACCTTTCTACATTAACGACTTCATACATGGTTTAGCAATAGAGGTGTAGACTTGGTCTTGTGATCCTTCCGAGCGATTCCAGACACAAGGCATCAACAGCACATTTTGACACACACCAAGACGATTTCAACTCTCCCGAGAACCAGATCCACGCCAAAACCAAGGTCTAAATATATACATTTCATACTTGCAATCATGAAGAACCTTTCTTCACACGCCTTTGTTTTTGGAAAACGATCATCACGGCAAGACAAAACTATTGACAGGGTGCCACCTTCATCAAAAACCGTTTTCGCCTTGGAAAACTACTGAAAGAAGTTGGATCCTTTTATAAGCCTATAACATGACTATATCTAGCTGCTAAGAGCTTCTAACCTCTCTAAAGTAGAAAGACAATATCCCCTTCAGAGACTGTTAGTAGACATAGCATAGAAGATAAGCCCTCCGTCTACTAGAGTCTATAGAACTCGGGCTAATAGAGACATCTTCTAACAAAAAACAAAGAACCTTTATATGGAGAAGAAAAAATCCCCGCCCACTCGATAGCAAAACCCTGTATTCAAAACAGACAAGTTTAAAAATGTCTCGTACAAAAAAGGTGGGGATTCATCAGATGTAGGGCAGGTGGATTGGGATTTTCCAAAGAGAATTGTTTTTCGGCGAACAGAAGAATTAATATCATGCTGTTAGTTCATCTCGTTGATTCATTAGAGGAGTGGCTTGCCAAAAAGGCACACTATTGCTTGAGATCCACAGCGATGCTGCTGAGATATGCACACCTCTGCTTCTGCACCTCATCCACATTCTCCATCGCCGTAGCATTAGTAACAAAATGCAACCGTTGCTTTTGTCCCTGTGTCCAAGCCTGCCACTCTGGACTGCCCTTTAATCTATACGTGTTGGGATTGAAGCTTCTGATGAACGAAGTCCAATAGGCCTGTGTCACAGGCACAATAGCCGCATTGACAGTACTGTAAGAGGCAGGTGCATTACCCCTCACATTCTCAGGTCCCCAGATGGCGTTGACTTCGACCGTGTGTGTGACCCCGCGACCGGCGGCTGCGGAAACGGGATCGACGACATCCCAGTGGTAGTTGTAAATGTCTTTGCGGTTGAACTTTGCGGCGTAAATGTCTGAGATGTTGATGCCTGGGCAGTTGTAGCGTAGCTCGCCGTACTGATCGGACGCTTGCCTCCACCAAGCCCCCGAGTTTGGGAATTGGTTGGAAGCATTGTTGGGATACAAAGCATTGATGTTGCGGATTTGATCGGTTGTGAGTAAGGGGAACTGGTTTTTGAGGAAGGTGTTGCTTTCGCCGAGGGATGAAGTGTTGACGGGGACGAAGACGGTGCCTTCATTGGTGTCGTCGCCGTAGATGGCGGGGAGTTTGATGAAATTGCCTTTGCGGTAGGCGGACATGGTCAAATCGCTGACGACGTCGCCGTCGAGCGTGGGACCGTACATGTATAGCGGCGCACCTTCAGCACCAGAGAAAGGCGTGTTGATGTTTTTGGTTTGAAGGTAAGTGGCATTGAGACCGCGTAGACAAGCAAGTGTATCCTTGGAGGTTGTGCAGCCGGTGCGGATGACCAGGTTGTCGTACATGAATTGCGACTCATTGATACTGCGAACGGCAGCAAAAGATTGAGACTCTGCGGCCGAGGCATGGAAGAGGTTATCGTTGCGACCATTGTGTGCAGTAAGTAGAAGAGTGACGGAAGCAGCACCTGCAGATGCGCCGCCAATGACCACATGGTTGGGGTCACCGCCAAACTTGCGAATGTTCTTTTGCAGCCACTGCAGAGCCTTGATTTGATCCTTGAGACCGTTGTTGATGCTGCCTCCCTTGACAATCTCATCAGAGGCAAGGAAGCCATAGGGACCAACGCGGTAGTTGAAGTTTACGACGACAATGTTGTGGTTGCTTGCTTCAATCAAGCCAGTGCCATTGTAATTGGGGTTTGAGTTTGAGTTGAAGCCACCGCCCTGGATGAAGAAGTAGACGGGGAGTGGGTGGTCCGAAGTGGCATTCGAAGGAGCGTAAATGTTCATGAACAGACAATCCTCCGATGAAGTGTTGCTCGGTGCAGAACCGGTGCCTAGACAGATGTTTCCGANACTGCGGAATGAGCTCGTTAGCAAGGAAGATACAACCTTCATCCATAGATAAACACTCACAGTATCAGCAACAATGGTAGTCTTGTTCTTGACCGGATCAACCGGCGCAGCGAATCTCAAATTGCCGACCGGAGGGGCAGCATACCGCACACCCAACCACTGTGTAATGCCATTCTCAAGCGAAACACCTTGGTACTTGGAGTAGCTCACATCCACCACAGGCTTGACAGCACCAACAGCAGACACACCAACCAATCCCGCAAATATAGAGGAACGCATGTTTGAAGGGACAAGAAAATGAGGGGTACACTTGCCAAATGCATGCGGCAGGTGCCTTGCCTTTATATCAACACGACCGTACTTTGTAGATCACGCTGCCATGCTTTCACGTCGGCCGGTATAGCCTAAAGCATCTCTGCCACCCCGTCAGTGCCCCATGCCACGAGGAAGAAGCATTTACCAGGTCGCGACCTCTGCGCGTACGGCCTGGGGTGTTTTTGTGGTGGAGCAGTGTCAGAAGATCACGGCATGCCGACTTCCTCCACATGTTCTCCGATCGGCTTTCTTGGTGAGATGACATGCCGAAACAAAGTCAAATCGGTCGCGGTTCTCTCCGGGAGGCCGTATTCCATCCTCATCGTCTCGTGTCTTTTTGCAAGGTCGTTTTTCATCATCGTGGCTGGGGTCCAGAAAGTAGTCCTATCGCTAAACGCAGTATACGCGACAAAAGCACGATAAAGGCGTGAGGTAGCGCCCAGCAATGACAAGACTGAGCATCCCGAGGATAGATTGAGGACAAGGAAGCCTGCCACCGCGGTGAACGACGTGGACCAGGCGCGGAGGTGAGATGCGGGCAGTTGTGGGGCCTCGAACCAGTCTCCACAGCGGGGGGCCTAAGCGCCTTGGTCACCATTGGCATCAATCTATACCATGTGGATATGTAACAAGGTTTGATTAGCACAAGAGACAGAATAAAACAATTTACAGTGATGAATCTTATACCATGGAGTATCTAATGCTTGTAACCCGCTAAGAGAGGAAAGAAGACTGACAGTCAGAGATCCGCTCACGCCATCTGGTGAAGATAGGGCAGAGTGAGCGAAAAGAAGAGACGAAAAAACACGCAAATGTAAACATTTCCCGACTCCTGCCTTCGCCAATGACTCTTGTGTATACAACAAGATGGCGAGGTCGTGCTCGCTCCGCCCATACTGGTGTCCCCAGCATAAACACCTTGCGCCAGGCCATCGCGCAGAACTGTCAAATTTTTGTAGTTTGTACCTTTTTCATGTCTTTGCACTGGATTCTTGCCCTTTTTGTTCATGCCCAAGGGTGTTCGTTTGGCTTTTGATGCGGTGAGATGCCGTTGCCGCGACGGTGATGCACAGCTCTACAAGCCATACACCTGCCAGCCGTCCAGGCCATCATCTCCAACCACGTTGGGTCTCGCTTCTGCCGGCACGACGGGATCCCTAGGGTCATGAGCTGTTCTGGTGCCCAACTCGTGGTCAAGTCACAGCTCGTCATCATCGATCTCACTGGGCTTGAGCAGACCGCCGACCTTCATGGCGCGCTCTCTCTCCTGCACCTTGGCCTCTTGGGCAGCCTTCTCACGATCCTCGATGAACAATTCGGCATTGTCTCCAGCAAACTCCTTGAGCTGAATCAAGAAGTCGCGCAATGTGAGCTTGAAGCGGTTAATGTCATCGGCTTGCGAGAACAGATCCGTGATGAACTTCTGGATCTGTGCGGGTGTGAGGTTGGGGAAGGCATTGACGAGAAGGTTACCGACGAAGTTTTGAAGGAACTCTCTGTTCGATGTACCCGCAGGTGCCATGTCAGAGGTGTAGATGGGCGAGTTCAGCTTGCCAGAGCCAACGAGGTAGAACATTTGTGCGAGGAGCATAGACTGGTACTTAAAGCCAGCCTTGTGGTCCGAGTCGGTCAAGACGAAGAAGACATCCTGGAGAATGGTAGTGTAGAAGTTCTGGAAGAAGGGTCCGCTGATCTCGGCGTCGGTCTCTGACATGTTCTGGACAAGCTCGAAGCACATGTTGAGACCCTCGCCCTCAACCAGACGGTTGTCGTGCTTGCTGGCCCACATGCAAGAGTCGATGACAAACTTGAACTGGCGCTGATCGAGCTGAAGCAGAGCAGGGAAACAACGCAAGTTGATCTCGCGGAGAAGCTTGAAGAACTCGACACGGTGTTCGGGGTATTCGGAGAAGTCCTTGTTGATCATGTCCAGAGTGCACTCGAAGACAGCACCGAGAATGCCGGGAACGTCCTTGGTCATCAAGCCCTGAGAGATGTTAGCGAGATGCGTGCAAAGTGGAATAGCGATCAAGCCGACCGAGTGTCTGCTACGATTAGGGGTCCAACGTACTTGGAGCTTCTTGATGATGGTAGTCATGACGTTCAGGACCTCAGCCTCGCGAGCATCAGGGACGTTGTTCTGGTAGTCGAGAAGAACAGCTTGCAACAGGTCGGGCACAAGGCGCTCGTGGACCATCTCAAGGTCGTCAGCCTTGTCAACGTATGTGCTGATCAACTTGAGGATCTCCTTCTTGATGGTTCTAAGGCCGCGGACCTTGGGCATCTTGGTGGCAATGTTACCTGTGGAGATTAGTAATGATTATACAAAGATAGAGGGGCGAAACATACCATCTCTTTGCACAGCTTCATCAATGAGCTGACTGCTAGCGCGGTACATGGTGAGCATGTCGAGGTAGATCTTGCCAATCTGAGGGTAGAAGTAACTTCCGACCGAAGAGCAGGCAGAGACATTGGTCTTCATGATGTTGCCTACGACCTTGATGGTCTCGGCATCTTGGAGGATGTTGGGGTCGACGTGTGCGGACTGGATGATGGCATCCCAAGCTTGGTTAGGAAGAGCCATGAGCTCGCCGATCAAACGCTCCTGCATAGCCTTCTGGCCCTGCGCGCTGATCATGTAACCGCAAGCCTCGTAGAAGGTGTGGACCTGCTGGGGAGACAAATCACAGGTGATCTTGCGCATGTTACGCACAATTTCGTCGATGAAAGGCTCCGACTCGCCAGGCTGAGTCAAGACAAAGTGACGCTTGCACTTGTTGGCAATTTTGATGAAGGTATCGCAAGCCATGTCTTGAACACCCTCGTGGGTCTCGTGCATGAACTCGAACAGCTTGTTGACGACAGTCTTGAGGAACTTCCAGTGAGCCTTGAGGAAGCGAGGGTACTGGCCGACAATGTACATGATATTGGACGCGACGACGGCCTTGTTGTCCTTGCCACGCTTCTGCTCAGTCAAGCCGAGAAGATCCTTGATGACGGTGACCAAGAAGCGCTTCTCGGTCTCTTCGTTCATGGCACCCGAGATGGAACCGATGGCCCAGCAAAGAGTGTTGCAGTTTGCCCAAGACCATTCAGAACCGTCGACCTGCTTAGAGAGCTTGTCGGACATGATGGTCTCGGTGTCGACAACGTCCAAGTGGGTAAGGAAGACCAAACACTCTCTAGTGGTCTTGTAGAGCTGGATTGTGTCGCTCTCCTTGACAAACTCGCGGACAATTTCACCTTCGTCGTTCTCGACGATCAAGACTTCCTCAGGACGGACCATCTTTTCGATCATGACCTGACGGAGGTTTGTCAAGACTTCGCCATACTTGTTCTTGCGAAGAGGATAGCCAGCCATGGTCTGAGGATGAGGGGCGCCGCCATTGGAGAGACCGCTCATAGTCATGCTGACCAGAGGGTTGAGGTCGGTGATGGGAAGTTGCTGCATTTCGTCGTAGAGATCGCACACCAGCTTGGTCCAGTATTCCAGACAGATCTTGAAGATTTCGCGGTCGTCAATCTGACTGATGCGAATGAGGTAGAAGTGGCCGTGGACTAGGAAGTCGGGGTTGGGCAGGTTCTCGATGATGCTAAGGTGGTTAGAGAAGAAGTTGGTCAGGAAGAGTGCGAGATTCTGGACGAATTCTTGGTCACGGCTGTTGCTGGAAGCGTAAGTTTGCTTGAGATCGAGCGACAGAGGAATGACAGTACTGATGGTAGTCATGGTGTCGGTGAACATGGCGATGAGCTTCTCGTTGTACTGCTGGTCGGTCTGGAGACCGCCGACTTCTGTCAAGCACTTGAGGGTGACATTGCGGAACTCGGGAACCTCGAGGAAACGGCTGCGAAGAGTCTCGAGCAAGCTGACGCCGGTAGGTGGAGTCTCGAAGATGAAGCCGAGAGGAATCCAGTTGAGGAAGCGCAGCAGAGTCTCGAGGGTAGCCTTGATCAGCGAGGGTTGTGTGGCGGTGCGCAGAATCTCGCTGCACAGGTTGTAGATGGAGGTGAACTCGTCACACATGCTCTGCTTGAGTTGGCGCGTCTTGGTCGAGGTCATTTGTTCGGCCGAGAAGTCGAAAACTTCTTCCGAGAGAAGACGCAGGATGGCCATGTTGTTCTCGCAGATGGGTAGACTGCTGTGGCAGGACGATATGATCTCGTTGATGAAGGTGGGCCAGTTGTGAGGCCATTCCTGCTTGAGGATGGAGACGAGGACCAGGTTGAGCTTGTTGATCAGAGCTCTCTCCTTGCGCAGGCTCTCGTCGGTGCTCGACATTTGGATGATGAACTGGACGACAAAGTTGCGGATGCCCTGGCACTGCTCGCGGGGCAGGACCTTCCACCGCGTCATGATCACATTGTCAAGGACTTGTAGACCGAGGACTGTTGTTGGTCAGTACATGTAGGATGAGGTCGGGGAGATGGATTTGGGAGACGGCGTACACTTGGTCTGAGGGTATTGGGCATCTTGAAGGATCTTGTCGACCATGAGCCATGCGTCGGGGTTTTCCTTGAACTGNNGCAGAAGATTAGCGGGGAAGAGGTTGAGCGAGTGTAAGAGCTTGCAACTCACCTGGTTGAGGGTAGCCTGGGCTTGTTTTTGCTGTTGAAAAGGTGTCAGCCTGTGCAGTACTAGATGCAGAATGTCCATGGCGTANNCCTGTTCACCGTGGCCAGTGTAGAAGGCCTGGACAGTGGCGTCCAGCTCCTGTATTGACGAAGCCATGGTGGGGAGTGTTCGTCGCGGATCGGTGGTTGTTGCGGAGGTAGTGAGGTACGGCGCGCTGCCTGATACAAGAGAAGCTTGTCTCTACTCTAGCATGCGCTTGCCAGAGGAGGCGGAAGTTGTGCGGATTGGTAGAGGCCGGACGAGGTGGGGCGGCGCGTGTAGAGAAGACGCTCTGGTCGATGGCAGAGACGCGTCTGAAGTGAAGATGCGGAAGTGAAGTGTTGGCGAGAGGATGGCCCAGTAAGCGCACAGCTGTACGAGGGGATTGTAGGAGTTGGTGGGGGTTGTGGTTGACAGGAAGTAGTCGAAAGTTGATGGTGTCGAGCTCTCCGATGCTGTCGGGCTTGCCTAACGCTCTTTGCTGCTGCTGCGGCTGCGGCTGCTTCTTGCCTTTGCTGGCTCTGGCTGTGGCTCTGGCTCCTGCCTTCTCTCGGTCTTGGCTGTTTGAGCTTTGGGCGTCCGCCTCTTGTTTCTAGAAGACCCTCCGTGCTAGGCCAAACAGGGCAACTACTAGGCTCTTTGTGCATCGCTCCTTCCGCCTTTCCATTGTGTTCGCTGCACGTCACATCCAAGTCTCTCTTTTGCTTCCAGTCGACAAACATCCTACTCAAAGAGTCCTCCGCTACAAGCCTACCACAACGATACCCACCACTCATGCCGCCGTCTTGAGTCTGCATCCAGAACCATGTCTTCCAACCAGTCCAACATGGCGTCCAACACGCACGGCAGTCTCACCCTCACCGCCTCGCAAGCGGGGCCTACCACTCTCCGTCTCAGGGCCGAGGCCGAGCCGTCCGAACGCCGTCCTCGCATTCAGTGGGCCGAAGATGTGATTGACAATGAAGGCATGGGAAAGAAGAGTTCAAAAGGTGCGTCCCGCTCAAACGTTAAACCATGTGTCTTTGTCTACTGACACGCAACAACAGTATGCTGTATCTACCACAAGCCACGTGAGGCTGGCGAATCTTCCGACGAAGACTCTTCCTCGTCTTCTTCCTCCGACTCGGACAGTGAGCCCGATACCAGCAGGGCCCAGCCTGCAAATCGTCGTCGCAACCAGCCCCACCAACACCCAACCGGCCCATGCGACCATGACAACACTGACCCTTCCCACTCGCACGGCTCCGCCAAGGGCAAGCAAAAGGCTCGCAAGCCCAGTCCCAATGCCTATGAAAGAGTTCCCAAAAGGAAGACTCCCAAGAAGGACTGAACGAATGACCAGTGAAATCGTCGTTCCTTCATCGCAAATGCGGGTGCATATCCTCTCTCAGGACTTGGTGCCAACGTAGACTCCAAAGGCCTGGCTTCTGAAAGGTGAAGATGGTCTCCTGGAGATCGTCTTGTGGAGTTTCTTTTGTATGTTTGGAGAAAGGCCGGAGATTTCCTACAAGACAGTGTTTGAGGCACTCATCCTGGGGTATATGAGAACCAAAGAGAGCCATGTCCTGACAAGTTTTCATTTGACACTCGATTCGTCGTCGTTCTCGGAATGAGCTGGGTCGGACTGATCGACGTGCTGCATGGGTATTCTGACGAGGGTTTGGGGCAGAGGAAGTTGTTGGTCAGACTCGGATTCAGTCTCTTGGGTCGGTTTCGCAATGTGGGCTGCATCAAGGTCAGCAGAGGAACTGAGGTATATGGACGAAGATCAGCGCATACCGGAAGCCATGTGAATCGCTCTGAGCACGGTATGCCAGTTGGACAAGACGGTTGCGATGGCTGTGAAGGTCAGTCACGGGTGGCATCTAGAAGGACGCTATGACACACCCTGGGTGCCGTCAGAGAGAGTGGACAATTTCTCCTCCAGCTGCTCCATCTGACCAGCAAGACCAGCACTGAGTTCGCGCAATTGTTTGAGGTTCTCCAGCTCGGCACGTTTCTCGTTGATGCGCTGCTGCAGGGCGGATGTTTGTGAGTTTGAAGTCGATAGCGACGACTGGCGCAGATGCGACGGAAGATTGCTCGTGGGTCGATACATGGCTGCTCTGAATTGATGTTTAGAGTCAATAGACACGGTCGGTATGGCGATTGAATGTTGACGGCCCTAAGAGTGTCTGAATCGTGAAGACGGACTTGGCGTAGGAGCGCGAGTCGGCGTTGCCCACGGCGACCGACAGCAAACAAACACGGCGTCAGTGCCTGACGCCGGCCAGCTCAGACCCTCGACACATACCAAATTTCTACTCAGCATATACCGTCCACCATATATCTTGTCGACTGCCTCATGGCCAGACTCAACGAAGCTCCTCTGCCGACAGAGAGCGTTGATGCTCGTGGGTCTTTCACTTTCTGACATTGCTGTCGACCACGCTGACGACTCGCAGTAAAGCGCCGCTTTGTACGACAGAACCGCGAGCTCGCCAAGTATGCGCCTCTACCTCCAGTCCTCTCAGCCTCTCTCAATCTGACCATCCTCCCTCTAGGNAACAACTCGGCGCAATGTCTGCGGATCCGCGCCCTCGAATGCGAAGTCTCCCGTCTGCTCGCCGAGAACCTCGACCTTCGTGAAGACATTGTCCACCTCCAGACCCAACTGTCCGAGCCTCGCTCCCACACAGACAACTCTGCCCTCGTCTCGGTCAAGGATCAACTGCAAGCCAAGCTGCTCGAGTTTGGTGCTCTCGTCTCGGAGCTTGGCCAAATACAATCTACCCACTCTTCGCTGCCACAAGACAAATTCTCCGATCCTTCTTCATGGCGTCCCGAAATTGCTGCTGCTATCCTTTCTGGCCAAGCCCCGAGAATGCATGGCATCGCCGAAGAAGCGTCCTCTCCTGGCGGCTCTCTGCGGTATGTCCAGACACAGCTTCCCAACCCCAACCCCTACCCAAGCTGACAGTGTTAGAATTGANNTCGCAATAACATCGTCCGTCTTTCCGATCACAGCAATCCCTCTCCTGATATCGGTCCACCTCCGATCGTGCACTTCGACACTGAAGATCCTATAAAGTTCGATCCTCTTTGCGCCGACACCGACCAGCCCGATTATCCTGAAGACAATGAACGAGCCATCTCCGATCACGAATCTCTTCCCACCAACCTATCAGTCAATCTGGAGACGAGACGGAAGCGCAAGGACTCGAAAGTACAACTGCGCCGAAGCTCGCTGCTCTCGCCAGACCTGGATGACGACGAACAGCCACAACTCACGCGAACGAGCGCTAAGAGAAAGCTCAGTATGCGCGATGTGGAGGACGACGCTGAGAAACGTGTCGTGAAGGATGATTTCAAATTCAGCAGAAGATCCTCAATTGCCGCCGACTTCCCAAACACCGAGCCAGCCGCAGCAACGACGAACAATCTGCAAGATGTCGAGACACCAGCTTTGTTGCCGGAGCGCAAAGTCTTGGGCAACAAGAGTGTCAACGTTTCACCACGGAAGCTGTCGAGGAGTACCAAAGGCAAGGGGGACTTGAAGAAGGAAGATGTTCCGCTCAAACCTGCTACAAAAACGACGGACCGCAGGAAGTCGAAGAATCCATCGGCCAAATCAGTCACCATTGCAGAGACTGAACCAGAGACAATTATGCGAACAATAGAGATTGCGCTCCCATCACAGTTGGCCGAGGAAGTCGAAGATCTGGCGCCCAAAACACCTCTACCGGAATTCTTCTCGCCCACGCCATCAGAACCTTCGACAGCAAGAGACGAAGGACGAGATACACCACCGCCATCAGGACTGAAATCGATGAGCTCGGGACCAGCTGCTCTGAATGGCGCTAGTAGGCCTTCGCGACGAGCCAGAGCAGCGGTGAACTATGCGGAACCGAACCTGGTGAGCAAGATGCGTCGACCCACGGCAGCAAAGGCAGATGCCGTAGATGCAAACGGTCGAAGAATCAGCAGCAACATTACGACGTCGGAGAAAAAGACTATGAGGACTGTTATTATCAAAGGAGACGACATGACTGGATGTTTGACACGAGATATGGGCTCTGAAGCACCGAGTCCGCTAGGTCAAAAAGTTGACAGAGAGCATGAACGATCGTTTGAAGGGAACAAGATTCCTTCAGCATCTGGAAGAGCCATATCAGCCTTGATGGCAGGATCTAAAAAGCAAGAGAAGGAAGTAAGCGAAGACGCGGGAGTGTATGAGCTGAAGGATTCGTCGGACGTGGAAGAGAGTGCTGCAGGCAAGAAACGAAACAGCCGGCGGCACTCTTCGATGACTGACGGCAGTGAAAGGTGCAGCTTCGGCGCAGAGCACCAAGACGAAGGCCAGCCAGCAGCGGAGAAGCAGGAGGACGAAGCGCAAGAGACTGTTCGCAAAGCACCCCGATCAGCACGAGTGGACCGCAGCGGAGCACGCAGACGTAGCATGATGGTCTAGATAGCCTTTCTTTGTCTTTCCAAATCACAAGAATCGTAACAGATATCTCCTCCCAACGCACGAGTCAATTCGGATCAAGTCGTGTTCGCATGTGTGGATGAAACGCATCGAAATTGCGGGGGAAAGGCTGCGCATCAACAAAAACATTGGCGCTTGCGGCACAGCAACAACAACATCCCTATTAGTCGCAAGCTGAAACACTCAGTTCCTTTGTGTGTAACACCTGCCTCTGTTCTCTCATCTCCCTACGCGCCAGACATTCATTCCTTCTCCAGCATCGCATCGCGTCTGTATCTCCTCATTGGTATCTGTGTCATTGACAGTAGCGATTACCAATGCGTATGACTAGAGCTCAAGCGGCTGCGCTTGCGGCTGCTGAAGCTGATGTGGATGGTGCAGATCCTAGAGCTGCCAACGACAATAACGATTATGATAACGAGAATGAGAAGGATGGATCTACGACGCCTACTGGAGAACCCGAGGAGCGCGGAGTATTGAGTGAATTGACGATCAACTTGGACACCAACAGAGAGGAGGAAGACACTGCCGTCTCTGGAGAACAAGTGGAAGAGGGGGACGTGGAGGAGGAGGGGGAGCCTGAGGACATCAATGGCAAAGCAAACGAGGTAGTAGAGGAAGAACATCAAGGTATGTTGAAGCCTGTCCCTACCTACTCTCAAGAAGCTCTCGCTGACCTCTCTTCGATAGCAACCACCACATCAACTCTTTCGAGCGGCGACAACGATAAGCCGAAGCACATCTCGATCCACCAAGACGACACGCTTCAACCACCTCAGAAAGACCTTGACGCTGGATCGCCCACTACAGAGCTACCGCTGCTCAACATAACTCCTCAACGCACGCCAGCCAAGAACATTATCAAGAATGAATTCGCCCATATGAGAAGCACGTCAAACAAGGAGAACATGGTGCCCGCCGAGGGTGCTGTTGCCGGGCCAGTGGACAGACTGCAGACCCAGGTCGAGTTTCTGGAAGCTGGCCAAGAGATGCAAACACCGCAACAGGATGACCAGACACAGCCTGAGCAGCAGCCTGAGATCCGCGAGCATGAAGGGAATGGAAGCGCGACGCAAACAGAACCAAAGACACCACAAGCAGAGGACGGACAGGACAATAGCCTCATCAATCACTTCGAGGCCTTGCGCGTGTCTCCGAAGAAGCAAAAGTTCAACGAGCAGGAACTTATGTCTGGTGCAGAACAGCCACTTCCTGAACAGCCAAATCTGCCCAGAGAAAGTACTGATGCGCAGAGAAAATCAATGAAGCAGACGGACAAGGCCAAAGATGATCCTCAGCAGTCGCAAACACAAGACCCGAACAAGGACCAGGAGAAGAAAGTCCCTACTTCTTCAACCGCAAAGAAGCCCTCATCTACATCTGCCACAACTGACACCTCAAAACCTGCACGGAAGCCTTCAGTGAGGCAATCAACCCTTGGTCGTCAGTCTTCAGTCATTCGGAAGTCCATGGCTCCACCCTCACGCCCTGAACCATCGAAAGACGCAGCCATCAAACGCACGACGTCCACCAAGCGCGCCTCCGTTCGCCCCAGCATGGCTCCCCGAGCAGGCTCCTCCCAATCCACCGAACGACCATCTGCTCTCGCACACATCCCTCACTCCAAACCTCGCCCCATGTCCATGTCCTTCCCCACTCCTCCCCCACCCCCAAAGTCATCAAAGGCACCCACTCAATCGACCTTCCAGCTCCCCGGCGAAGCCATCGCCGCGAAACTCAAGGCAGACAAGGAAGCCCGTCTGCAACGACAAGCCGAATCCGGTGCTTCTTCTCAACGCCAATCCTACAAACCTCCCGTAACCCAGAAATCAACAAAGGCACCCACAAAAGCAACCTTTCAGCTCCCCGGTGAAGCCATCGCAGCGAAACTGAAAGCCGAAAAGGAAGAACGACAAAAACGCGCAGAAGAAAATGCTCCCAAGGCCGCTTACATTCCTCCCGCGACGCAAAAGAGCACAAAACCAGTCACCAAAGCGACCTTCCAATTGTCTAGCGACGTCTTTGCTGCAAAAATGAAAGCCCAAAAGGAAGCTCGCCTGCTCAAGCAAAAGGAAGAAGAGGAGAAGAGGGAAAAAGAGAGAGGATTGTTCAAAGCAAGACCGGTTCCCAAATCAATGGCCAAACCCGCAGCAGAAGTGAGGCAGAATGCCGCTAGTCGCGCACGACTACCTTTGCTGAGAATGCAACAAACGGCATCAAAAGAACAACCAGCGTCCGCGAATCCACTGCAGCAGCAAAACCCCGTCTCTCGTCCTTTTATCCTTCCTCCTCCTCCTCTACCACCACCACCTTAGCCCCTCGTCCCGCAACCTCCGTATCCACAAAACGCCAATCCCTTGGCCCTGCTGCAGCATCAAAAGGCAAACAAGTCTTTAGCCGCGCAAAACAAGACCAAGAAAAAGAAGCAACAGAGAAAATAGAAAAAGAGGATGCGGCAAAGAGAGCAAGACACAAAGCTGCGGAAAAGGGAAGACTAGCTAGTAGAGAGTGGGCTGCCAAGAAAAAGGAAAAAGAAGAGAGGAGGAAGACTGTTGTTGCTACTGCTACTGCTGCTGCTTTGGTATAGAAGACTTGGTGGTGGTGAACAGAGCTTTTGCAAGACATACAAACGATTGGAACAAGAGCTTTAAAATAAACCGAGAAAGGGTGTGTATAGCAAGGACGGACGAGCCCGCAACTAATAAATGATAAACGATGAACGCAACAAGCACTTTCTTCTTTCGACCGAGTCAAAAATCGAGAAATCGAAAAGATGAAAGGAAGAAGAGTTACGTATTGATGGAGAAAAAAAAAAGCAGTTGTTGCAAAAAGTCTTTCTATCAGACGACACATGTGTGGAAAACGAGATCGAGTAGATACACATCATCGTCGAGATTCCTCCAGACTCATCTCAGCTGCTAGCGATGGCTTGACTAGCTTTCAGTGCACCAACGACGGAGAAACAGATCAAGGGCGAGATGGCATAGGAGATCTGGATTACACAAAAGTCAGTAATAGCTCATATAGCACAAAAACGATTTAGTAAAGGCAAGGGGGAAGCTTCACTCACAGTCAAGAACTTTGCGATACTCATCTTTTCCTCATCACCAGCACCGCTAACATCAGCAAGTGCAGTCAATTTCATGGCCGGTGGACCAGTAGGCATCAGCATCATGGCAAACCACAAAATAGGGTCGTCGGAAAGAACGCTAGTCTTGCTGGCTAAGACCCAGACCAAAGGGATACTGATCAGTGGCCAGACGACGAAGCGGACGACGGTGATGATGGTAAAAGGTTTCCAAGGCACACTACCGCTTTGCTCTCCTTTCTTGTAGCGCAACATGGCTTGCGAGAGCTTTACACCAACCACAACGACTTGGAGGGATGCGAAGAGGTCTCCGATGTTTTTAATCGAGGAGGTCAGCCAAGCATTGAGGTAACCGCCTTCGTTGGGCGAGCTGAAGAAGAGGGTGTGCAGAGCGGGGACCAAGCCGACGATTGCACCAATGACAGCGCCAATGAGAGGTGGGTTGCAGAATTGGTAGAGGAAGTCGAGTGTGGCTTGTGTGCGGGGAGAGAGCGAGTTGTAGTAGTTACTCAAGCGCTTGTGAGTATGATAGATGGCCTTGACTCCAGGACGGACGGCGCGGTTGGGCAGGAGAGAGGTCTGCTCGTTCTCTTCTTGGTGTTCGTGGATTGAACCTCTTTCGGCCTCTTCTGTGTCATCGTCTTCTTTCTCCGGCTCTTCATCTGGTGAATCTTCGTTTTGTCCATTGAGGAGACGAGGTCCGAGAGCGAAGGTCAAGGAGTTCGAGACCATAGCATTGACGAGAAAGTATGACTTGGCACGGTCGATGGTGCTGCTGGATGCATCGAGGGAGTCGAGGATGCCGGTTGATTGCAGAGACTGAACGAGAAGAAGAGGGAGCGAGGTCGTGTTGTTGAAAGCGAGAGCGGGAGTGACCCATTGAGGTAAATCCAAGAATTTGGTNNGCTGCACAAGACTGTGTTAGCAAGAGGACTATAACATGCGGAGGCTCAACCTGTCGTTGAACCTCCGCGGAACTCTGTCTACAACAAAGTTCAACATGCTCGAGACTTACACTGCGAGACCAAACACCATGCTGAGCACATTGTAGATGATGGCCCAGATGAAGACGGCTAGATACTTTGTTCCCTGATACGCTCATGTAAGCTCTCCTTCTCTTCATCCCGTCTCAGAGCTGCTACTTACAGACTCAAGACTCAACTGCTGTCCGACATTGACAATCAACAAAGCAGGCAGGAACAACCTGACGCAAGCCTTGGAGATATCCTTTGCCGACTTTTCATTCAGCAAGTTGAATTGAGCTGCAATGACACCGTAAANAATGGTCAGCAACACGGCAAGCGAGGCCTGTAGCGCTCCCGTGAAGGGGATGACAAAGTTCTCCTTGACTCCAGACATGATGCTGATGGGTTTGTGATGGAATGGCAAGAGAGAGGGAGCAGACGTCTTGTCAAGGACACGCGAGCACAGTCAGGGTACCAAAAAACAAAACACTTGCATCACTGATAGTGAGATTGACCCAGTGATAGCCAGGAACGAGTACGTCACTGTCTGTTATCGCGGCAGAGCCTCATCTTTACCCCACAGTGTATCCGGCTAAAAACAATGACTTGACAGCACCAGCAGCTCAAACTCGACTTCAACACTCAAGTTGAACATCAACATGCATTGATCTGTTGGGAACGGTCTCGACTTGGCCAAAGCGGAGACAGGAAGTCGCTTCTTGAGGGTCGAGGAAAGTACCGCGATCGGCCATCCATACAATATACGCATAATATGCCTATGTCAAATGGTCAGTAAGAGTCTGCTGTCGAAGCGAAGAGCCTCGGAGATTACGTGTCGAGCCATGTCCTTGCCAGTCTTCCGCGTCGAGCCACTCTCAGAGGCGGATTTGGTGACCGTGGGCAAACAAATCAGGGCCCTCGCTAAAGCCCCAGACACTCAGAGAGCTCGTGGCCCAAGCTTGACCGTATCACCAATTCTCAGCATCTCAGAACTCGAGCAGGCCGTCTTGGGACTCACAGAGATTTTCGAGGTCGATTTTGTGTGTCTTGGCTGTGACGAGTAGGGAATCCATGCTACATTCAGGTGTCGGCCACTTGCTGGTGTAGGAATGTAATTGAAGCTTTAGCGAGAAACTGCCCAACTCGATGGTGCCTCGGCCACATTTAATAAATGAAAACGAGCATCGCATGGCCAAAGAGAGGACCACGCCGTACCACCTGCGATTTATTATATGAACTGATCTGCAACTAGCAGTTCTCGACTTATACAACTAAGAGACATTCATATCAAGCCTGAGCCGTCAAAGGGGAAGCTTGACCAAGTATAAGGAGCCTCGTCCTGCAAGTCTACCATGCCTTTCTCAAGCAGGCTTACAGATAGCCTCTGTCCAGTCGTTCATCACAACTTCCAGTAAGTAATTCCTCACGCCATTCTCACGCCATTATCTTGCCTGAATGCTAATCTATCATACCAGCATTCTCTTACCACAATGCGTTTCCAGCAGGTAATCGGCTCTCTTGCAGCTCTGGCTTCTTTTGCTACTGCTGTTGATCTTACTGGCTACGAATATGTCGTTGTCGGATCTGGTGCTGGTGGANNGGGTATGTAAAGCACTTGAACCTACGCATGTTATATCTAACCATCTCAAAGCCCCCTTGCCGCCCGTCTTGCTCTCGCTGGCCACAAGACACTGCTCATTGAAGCTGGAGACGACCAGGGAGCCAATGTCAACTACACTGTTCCTTCCTACAATGCCAAGGTCTCAGAGGACCCCAATCTGGCATGGAACTTCTTTGTCAAGCACTACGCTGACGAGGAGCGTCAAGCTCGCGATTTCAAGACCTCTTACCAAACACCTGATGGCGGTCTCTACACTGGTCTTGACCCTCCAGCAGGGTCCGAGATGAAGGGTACTCTGTATCCTCGTACCGGTACTCTCGGAGGCTGCACGGCACACAATGCCTTGATTGCTGTCTATCCTCATCGTTCGGGTACGTAGCTTGTCTAGCCAAGGTTGGGATTCTCACTGACACATTCCATAGACTTTGATAACATTGCTGCCATCACTGGCGATGCGTCATGGTCTGCCGACAACATGCGCAAGTACTTTGTCAAGCTCGAAGACAACCACTACTTGCTCCCTGGCCAGAAGGGCCACGGCTACGAGGGCTGGCTCGGAACCTCTTACGCCCCCATCGACATCGTCCTCACCGACCCTAAGCTTCTCAGTCTCGTGACCGGCGCCACCTTTGCACTCGGTAATCAGACCAATGCTCTTCTTAACCTCGCCTCCCTTGTCGCTGGCGATGCCAACTCGGCCTCTGCCAAACGTGATAGCCAGCCCTCCATCTTCCAGATCCCCTTGTCGACTGCGGATGGCAAGCGCGGTGGCTCCAGAGAGTTTGTTGTCGCTGTCCGTGATGCCAAGACCGCCGATGGCTCGAAGGCTTTCCCTCTTGGTGAGTTTGCCTTGTAGTACTTTTTTTCAAGGAGAACATTCAAATTAACGTGCAGCCTAGACGTCAGAACCAACTGCCATGTTACCAAGATCACCTTCGACAAGTCGACACCTCCTCGCGCTACTGGTGTCGAGTTCCTTGACGGTGCTTATCTCTACAAGGCGAGTCCTAAGAACTCAGGCAATGCTGGTATCGCTGGATCTGCAACTGCTTCCCGCGAGGTCATCATTTCCGGTGGAACATACAACTCTCCCCAGCTCCTGAAGCTCTCAGGTGTTGGACCGGCCGACGAGCTCAAGCAGTTTGACATTCCCGTCATCGTCGACCTTCCCGGTGTTGGCACCAACCTCCAAGACCACTATGAGATCAATGTTCAGGGCAAAGCTCCTTCTGACTTCTCGGCACTCAATGGCTGCACCTTCGACGGCAGCGCCCAGGACAAGTGTCTGGATCGCTACAACAAGCCCATTCTCGGAAACCGTGGCATCTACTCTTCGCCCGGCCTCGGCGCCGCCATGTTCTACAAGTCCAGCGTCGCCGAGCACAACGAGTTTGACGTCTTCGTTTTCGGCGGGCCCGTCAACTTCCGTGGTTACTTCCCTGGTTACAGTGTCAATGCCACCGCCGAGCACGACTGGTTCACCTGGGCAATCCTCAAGGCCCATCCTCGCAACAATGCAGGAACCATCAAGCTCCGCTCTGCAGACCCCCTCGATACCCCCGAGATCGTCTACAACTACTTCGACACTGGCGTCGGTGACTACGAAAAGGATCTCACTGCCCTCAACGAGGCCGTCCATCTCGCTCGTGACTCGTTCAAGCGCCAACTCGTCAAGATCGATGAGGTTCTGCCTGGCAAGGATGTCACTACCAGGGAAGGCATCTCTCAGTACGCAAAGGACACTGCATGGGGTCACCACGCCTCGTCGTCGTGCCCCATTGGCGCCGATGGCGACAAGATGGCTGTTCTTGATTCGAGCTTCAGGGTCCGCGGTACTGCTGGTCTGCGTGTCGTCGACGCTTCCGTCTTCCCCAAGATTCCCGGCACTTTCACTGCCGTCTCTACATACATGATTGCCGAAAAGGCGGCCGATGTCATCTTGCAGCAGCAGCTCAAGCAGTAATGGGATGAAACATGTTTGATGTCTGATCTTGAAAGTGCTTAGGTGGGGATGTTTCCGTTTAGCTACATGGAATATTTACCAGTTTTTGTGCACCTTGAATGAAAACAACTTTCTGCATCACGCTCTGTACCACACCAACATGAGCAGCCATCCCACCAGCACCCCATTGAGCCACCCTCACTCCCTTCGAAGCTCTTAAATCTGCCCATCAGCAAACTTCGGCCCACACCATTACCTACAAGTACTAGAAAAGCAGCTCTCACACCCCCAGATCTCTGCGTACGCGTTACAGCATCTCCAACAGACCTCGTCATCTCCACCTCTGACCCCTCAGATCTCAAAAACTCAGTCGTAAACAATGGAAGCCTTGATAACCGTCCCAAAATCCACAGTCTTGGTCGCAAAAGTCGTCGCCACTCCTCTACGCATTATAGTCATATAAGTGACACGCCACGGAGCTCCCCCAGCAATCACCCGTATAGTCTGGCCTTTGGTGATTTTGCCTATGGGCGAGTACTCGCCATCAGGACCTTCGCTTTGGCGGGCGATGAGGTGGGCAGAAGCTGTGATTGTTGCTGCAACAGCACTTGCTCGAAGAAGATCTCGCCCTGCTATTCCTTTCTTGTTGTCTTTTCGAAAATCTTGTTCATTTCTCGTTCGGGGACTGCTTGGACGATATCGTGGCCGGAGATTTTGGCGGGTTTGGCGGCGGGAGTGGTGGTGGTGGGCATGTCGATGTCGGTGGCTTTTGTGGTTGTGACTGTGCAACTTGCACTTCCACAATCTGAGGATGATGGGAGTGGAGGTGGAGGAGCAGTTTCAGAAGACTTGGTAGCGGAAACCCAGTTTATCGTTGTTGTTAGCGACATACTCGTTGTCGTTTTCGTCACCGTACTGCAACCCACTTCCGTCGAAGTCACTGTAGTCGTTCCTGCTTCCTTGACGGTTTTGGTGACCATTTGTAAAGTGTGTTGAGTGGTTGTTTTGTGGTCGGTAACGAATGCCGTTTGCATCTCTGTGGTCTGGATTGTCATGGTTGCGAGGTGGGTTTCTGTTTCCGTGGTTGCACCGGCACAAGGGTCGGATGATCCACAAGAAGCGGACTGGTGGTGGAGCTTGCGCATGCATCTGATTGACTGCATGAAGTGTTGGGTGCATCGGTCTTCTTTTTCGCAGCTTTGAGATTGCTCACAGCAACGGCTTGCTCAGGAACTCTTGAGTTGAGGGTTGAAGTCGAGTGGTCGACTCTTGTGGGATTCTTGGCTTTTGTGGAGATGGCATGGCCATGGATGGAAGTAGCGAAGGAAACAAGATATAAGAGCAAGTGGTGGACAAGCATGATATCAGTGAAATGAGTGTCCTAATGACACCAAGATTCACGGCTAGTGGAAAAGGACGAGAGACGATGGAGACAGGAGCAGCATCGAGTAGTTACAGCATTTTCAAACAGATCTTAAGTTCTCGCTTTTATGGTGGTGTGATCAGGAAGGAGTGATTGAAATTTGGATCAAGGTTGAGGGGAACAAGCTTGGGTGAGTCAATATCAACTGTCCACATAAACTTAGACTTCACGCAGAACGATATGTTGGATGAGCTCAGCATTATTCGACCTCTAGGAAACATAACTTGCTGGGACCTAGTAGTTGTAAACAACTTGGACCTTGGAAAGGCGGTTCAAGCGCGAAATCAGGTATCGTTCACGCCTCATGCAGTTCTGACCAACTTGCCAATCACAGCAACAACGCTGCCTCGACGACTTTCTGAGGTATTGCTCTGCAGGATGCTGCAGACGTTTGTTATTTCCTGAGCAGCGTAAGAGAGAGAGTTCATTGATAATCCTGGGTTGTTGATCCTGCCGTGTACATAGCAATCTCCATCCTGTCCGTGTTGATGATGGACACACTCGTCGAAGCGGCGATCTCCAGACGGACTTCGAAACTCTGGAGGAAGTTTGGTCCAATCTCCATTGTGAACCAGAACATCTGCCAGCCATCCATGTATGTGTCTTTGGACAGCTTGATCGTAGCTGCATGTAGGAGCTTGCTTCAGAGATTGCTTCTTGCGGTATATGAACACGTTGACGAAGACGCTGGTTAGGGCTTCGGTTGTGCAGCGTGTTCTACAAATCTCAAACACCTGATCAATGAGCTCAAGACCGCCACAGGCCAAGAAAAAGAGGAAGCTGTCGGTGAGCGGATCAGTGATGTCGCAGGTGAACATGGTCGGGTCATCGAAGAAGTTGATAGCTCTGATCAGGAAATCTAGCCACTCCTCGTCGAGGATACGATGTCTTTTTTCGGGTTGACGATTCATGGTGGCCGTGATTCCTTCCTCCGAGTCGCGATGATATATCCAGTGAGCGAGGAATCTGACAAGACGCTCAATGACATCGAAGTCGTGAATCTGGATGCTGGCTCCTCCGAGACTGTGGCACATGCTTGTGTCTTGCACGTTGATCTTTTCGAATTGACTGGTNNAAGGAAAATGAGAGATGACGGTGCCGTTTGACTGTCGNNAAATGGTTATGCGACCACTGTGAGTCAAAGTTAGCGACTGTCAAACGGTGTGACAGATGATTGCTGACTCATAAGGAAATGGATTCTCATTGTTTGTCTTCGGTCTTTTGTTGTCAGGGCCATCTTTGTGTGGGTCGGAAGAACGTGAGATTGCGCTGTGAGTTGTTTGCGACATATTCGTAAGGAGTTTGATGTTTGCGGCACGAAGAGACAAGAGCGATGAGCAAGCAGGAGTAAGAATGGATACTGTGAAAGGTGAAGTAATGGAGAGGATCGATGTGAAAGCAGGGTCGTTTCACATGAAAGATGGTTGACCCTCTCAGTCGCTATGATCCATCACTCTCTGTTTCGAACACGAATTAGCCCGACGTACAAGCCATGCAGAAATACGATAGCTTATCGCAACGGATCAACAGGACGGCGGACGTTGTGCGTTATCAACTCTCTCAGGACCTCACGTCGATCTAATCTTGTTTGTGCATTGAAAGAGCCTGACAGCGAAGAAGACTTTGTAAGTATACATCCTCACAGACTGCCACCGTCTTTCAGCTATACTCTTGAGAAGCTGTATCTCCGTCAACGGCTGTCGAGCTGTTCTGCTCTCCCATCACATAGCCAAAAGTGTGCCTGTCAATGCAGCGGCCACAACTGCTGCAAAACATCCCTTGAAAGTGGTCGAAGCTGCTCCTTGCTTCGCAAGAACCCAGCAGTGATCTTGACCGGCAGACTCAGCTCTACTCACAATCGAGAAACTCTTGACACCACCAGGGACGACGTATGTCTCTCCATCAGCATTTTGGCAGCTGAATTCGTACCACGATAGACCATCTGTCTCTCGGCAGTCCTCTCCGGGGAAGACTTCCACCGTTCTGGCGGCATTTTTGCCTGTTCCCATACCGCTGGCGTCCCCGTTCATACTCTCGTTGAGCTGCTGATAAAACAAGGATGTGTAGTTTGTTTGCGGACTGAAGTCTTGCGCGTTGGTGACGGCGTACTGTCCACTGCTTGTATTGCCACCAAATATGTCGGCAAGATTGAAGCAAGCAGCACTTGAGGGCGCTTCATTGGTAGAAATTGAGAGATTGCCCTTTCCATCATTGGCTGAGAAGCCAAGGGTCAGGTTTTGTGTTCCGTGCTGGTGTCAGTGTCTAATCTTCGCAAACCACAAGAAGGCACTCANCGAGGTTTGAGCTTGCGATTGCGATGCAAGAAGTAAAGGAAGAAGGGTCAGGACGCTACGATCGAAATACATATTGGGAGTGAAACAGTTTGGCGAGGGTCTTTGGAAATGATGGAAGATATTGTGTGCTGGATTGAGAGAAAGAGCAAGAGAGAGCAGACTCTAGATATTATAACAAATGACATGCAGCAACAATTTAGTGATAGAAAGCTGGTTTTCTGTACAGTTGCGTAGGCCAAGTCAGTATGCTTGGTCTTCGGTCGATCTCAAAGCTCGAGACAGCTTTCAAACCGAAGGATCAAGTGGTAGATTGCTCGTGAAAGGATCGTCGCATGCGGTGTTAGCCATCACTGATTGAAAAACACGCATTGTCTTTTGTTCCTAGCAACGACAAGTCGCCATATGCATACAGACGAGATGCCTTTGTCTACTTCTCTATGGTTGACATTGCTTTTGAGTTCGCACGCACCCGTGTATACTCTGGGTTGATCAAGTAGAGGTGTTGGACGCGCGCGAGAGCATGATGCCCGATGATACGCAGCTCAAGGGGCAATGAGGTCGAGTCCGGAGATGCACTTGCCAATCCAGCATTGGAACAAGTCGGTGCTGTCGTAAAGAAACCTTCAACGTAGAGTATCGTCGCAGAAGTTGATCATGTCAACAAGGAACTTCAGCCAAGACTGTGAAAGTCCAACATATCAGAGCAAAACTTGATCTTACATGATAGTCGCCAAAGATCGAGTGCACGTTTGTATGTCCTCAGCTTCATATTTCGACTCGATCTCGAGGCAGAACCGACAAACTTCAAAGCCATGATACACAGTAGGTTTCTGAGCAAAGTAACATCACTGCGAGCTCTGGTATTGTGTAGTCACAAAGCTTTCGCGGTATCGAACCGTTGCACAGAGGAGAGCGAATATATGGTGAACTTCGGTAGATCTCTATGAACCTGCAACTGCAAACAACTTCCCTTCACATCCCCATCATTCTGGTCATTCTGGACCTCAGTCAACTTGTCGTTAGAGCAAGACAGTTGTCGAGCAATTCTGCTCTGCCATCACATAGTCAAGAACACGCCAGCCAATGCAGCAGCCATCATCGCTACAAAACAGCCCTGGAAGCTTGTGCAAGCCGCAGAGCTATGACCATCCTCAGCCAAAGTCCAGCAGTGACCTTCATCCTCGTTGTTAGAATACCACCTGTCCACGACAGAGAAACTCTTGATCCCGGCAGGCATGTTGTACGCCGATCCCTCACTCTGGCAGCTGAGTCCATACCACGGAGAGAAGTCAGTCGAGCGACAATTCTCGTATGGCCACATCTTGACAACTCTGGCAGCATCTTTACCGACCGCAAGACCGGTCTCGTTGAGTTGCTTGTAGAAGAAAGTCGTGTAGTTGTTCTGGGGGCTGAACTGCTCTGCATTCTGGGTGACGTAAGGCTGAGAGTGGCTCGAATTGCCGAAGACGTCGGTAAGGTTGAAGCAGGTTCCTGTGGAAGGTATAGGCCTGTCCCGCATGGAAAACGAGATGTTGGTGCCAACGTTTTGGTGGAAAGAAGTGAAAGTAAGAGTCAAGTTATGGTCCCTGGGTCTGGTGTCAGANNACACGACTTCGCAGTATAGAATCTGGAAGCAAGCAACTCACTGAGTCTGGGCATACGCCTGAGCCACAAGAAGCAAGGACGCGAGGGCCAGGATACTGTGTCTGGACGACATGGTAAAAAAACGATGATATAGTAGACTCTTGAAGATACAACTCAGAGGGTGATGAACATGGTGAGTAAGTTGCGCAGGTATCGAGCATTATAAAGCATCGACACCCAGATCCAAACAGGCATTTATCCTAAAACCTCTCAAGGCCAGGTCGAAAAAATTGAACGATTGTTTGACATTAGCGCTCGGTACAGCTTCTGTAAATTGGAGGTTAGTGCGTCTGTTGCACGTTATACGTCGAAATCAGTTGGTCGAGACAGAATAGAAGTATGGATCGTCGCGTTGGTGATAGTGTGCGGCGTCAAAGGCGGCTACCAAGAAGGTGCCGCCGCAGTCCTTGATCCTGCGCCGATTCAACTTGCGAGCTGCAGCGCTGGCCTGAGGTGCGCCTGAAGTTGCGCTGTCGATAGCGCGCGCGTGTAAGCGCCTTGCTACTCTATCCCGAGTCCTGGTGCGGCTAGTGAACCGAACCATCGGTAGTTCGTCCCATGCATCTGAATCTCTAGCCAAGATTCATGACATTCGCAGCACAGCCTGCCTCAAGTCAAGCATCAATTTGGTCGGCTTGTTGAGACTGCATAGCTCTTCTGGAGTGCACGGGGGACCTCTTGCTTGTTCACTTAGCTCTCCGTTCGGGCATTGCTGTCAGAGCGCGCGACGTCTTGTAGTGCTCAGAGACTTGTCCTCCGAATGATTGGAGAGGAATTTGAGAAGGGAGAGGGCGTGGTAGCGCCGAAATATCGGCGAAACCCCGGCAACTTGTTTTCATCTATACCAGTCAATCAATTCGGGTCATCAAGCTTCAACAATCAAAGACCCAACCATCCATGCAATGCTGCCAAGTCTAACTGTGGCTTATAACAAGACTATCGCGGCTCGGGGACCAATCTCGAGTGTATGAGAGATCTAGAGAGGATGATGTTCTACCCTATCAGGCACCTTGCATACGAGATGTTGCCCCTGCGGTTGATGTGCTTGTTCAGACGTTTGTGATGTCGCTCCCGACACTGTATCTGTCAGAGTGTGATCAGATACTGCGTACTTCTGCTCAAACCATCATGCTTTGATGCAGATCGTCGACATTTCATCCGGAATAGACCTACATCGAACTTCAACGCGCTTATTTCGGTCGTGCTCAATCCACGACGGTACCAGTCTTTCACTTGAGGCTTGGCCTCTGAGCCTCAATTACGTGTATTGTTTTCATCTGTTGTTGCCAATCCATAACAACAAACGGCGTGGGTTCATTCACATCAGACCACATCCATACACGGAAAGTTGTTAGTCGTGGATGAAAATAACTATCGCGCTCCGATATCCAACAAATTCTGCGGCATGGAGGGTTGGACTACCAACATCTCAGACTGACATCGTAGAACGATGAACAAGACAGCCAACGCAGGGGCAAAGCAAAGCTTCGTGTATATAAGATCTCTGTCAACATGATCATTTCATTCTCATCAATCAACACAGAAAACACTTCAATCGCAACAACCCTCCTCCTATCAAACTCTCCTCCTCTCTTCCAAAGATTCCAAATTCCATATCTTCAGACACAATGGCTGGCGCTCTCTTCATGGACGCTATCGGATTATTCGGTACCGGGCTGGGAATCATTCAGTTTGGTCTTGACAACTTTGCTGCTAAGCCGAAAGATCCCCAAGGTACCATTGTCGGTATCAAAGCCGGTGCTGGTGAAGGCGCTTCCAACACTTTGGTGAGCACTCGCTCATATCTAACTGTTTTAATTGAATTTTCAGAAGCTGATATGATCAAACAGGGCGGCAAAATCTCAAAAGTCTACGCTTACGACCATCAGAACGTGCAGATTGGCACAGCTGGAAAACAGACCATGGCCGGTAATGGTGACTACCTGACCTTCACCGTTGATCAAGATGTTCCAGGCGCTCAGGGCCAATTCATCGGCATCCAGAATGGTAACGACGCTACCTGTGTTGCATGGATCACCGTCCAAATGCATGACAACTCTCTGAATGGTGTTTGGACTGGTGACATTGGAAGAGCGTATGTCGATGTTCTTGTTCTCGTGTTGAGCGCTTTCAAACTGACGGTCTTGGATNNTAGCTGCGGTCAGACCTGGTTCGAAAGTCAGGAAGTCGCTGGCAAATTGGAGGATGGAAGTCTCTACCACCCCTCCTGCACCTGGCTTGATGGAAACCACGACAACGGTATTCCCAGTGCCTCTCTGAAGTTTGCGACGTACGCCTACGGCAACGAGCTCAGCCATCTAACCCTCAATGATGCATGTGCTTCGACCATGTTTGCGGCTGACGAAACCGAAATCACCGGTAAGACCATCGAAACTGGATCGTGAAACTTGGTTAACGTGCCGTCTGCAGATGCACCCTTCAACCCTGGCAAGGCTAAGCGAGATAACGCCTCTCCTCGTCCCTGCCTTCCCTGGATGGAGCAGAAACTCATTGTTTCCAACATCGCAACTCACAGCGCAACCAATCTCTGCAACTCCAACACCAGCTGGGGACCAGATTTTGCCTCTCCGGTGGAGGGTAAGCTCTGCGACATGTCGACCAAAACTCTTTACACGCTCTGCTCGATGGAAGACGTCGATGGCTGTGTCGATATTGCTACCAACCCGGTCAACGGCACTACCCAACAGCGCACCGTAGCTACACGCAAGCTCTCGGTTGCAAAGCGTACTGTTAACAGTCCTATCAGATCTTATGAGGAGACTGATGTATGGGGTGATGATCAGTGATTGTTCGGAATGGAATTTTCAGACATCAGGGGGCTCACAAACGGGTGGATGAAGGTAGCAGGATAGGGAGCACATAAGAAGTTGTAGCGAAAGATGTGATAGGCTTGGTCGTATCAATCAATTATGTCATCTCTGATCGCCCTTCTCTACTTTACACGCTGTGCTGATAATGATGTGTGATCTTATGGGTATACACCTGACGCCAATCAACAACAGAGATACTGAGTAGTACCCAGATACCCAATCAGGCTTGAACCTTGTGAGCCCTCTCGACTCTTTCTATTGTGACGGTGCAGAGAAATATAACAAGCTATCGAGATGTAGAGTCTTTTTAGCAGTAGAGGTTTGTCTCCCAAGAGTTACTCAGAAAAACATCTCTCTGTGGACACTATAGCGCATTCCGATAGCTACATGATGGGCAGCTGCTAGCTCGGAAAACGGCATTCTATGAATCGGGACTTGTGGTTTTTGATTCATCTCTTTGTTTCGAGAAAATCGTCAGTCTTTGAGGTCCAGAAGTCACTGTTTTACAATCGCTCGTGTCCAACACCATGAAAGGTACATAAGATCAAAGAAGAACATTGATCCTTGACATTGGAAAACCATATCCTTGCTTAGAAGAGTTCTCGTGACTGCTCATACACTCAAGGCGGAAGAGGAAGTCTTACCAGCACCTGGAGTAGCAAACAAGAAGGAGCTGTCATGTGAACGTAGATGGCGTTCAGGGGCTGGAAAGTGATCACATGCAAGGATCATCCAAACTATATAGGTACCTAGAACTCAGTCTCTACCAATTCCAGAGGAGGGAATCGGGACTGGCGGCCGCAGTCCTCTCCTGATGGGAGTTTAGTGGAGAGGGAGAGAATCGCCTCCATGGAGCTCTTTTTGCCCGAAGGTCTTGAGTTCGACCCCTAAGAATGACAACCTCTTTTTGCAAAATTTCAGAGGTAGACAGGCTCATACTAACACTTCGTATCCTCTTCAATGAGGCGTATATGGGTCCTCATATGCATGATAACTTTCAGGAGCAGGGCAATATCAGTCGAGAAGCAACATCGTTCGTTTCTCGGTGACCCACCCTTCTTGTGTGCAACAACGTGTGCTCTTTTCCACCAACCTCCATAGCAGTATTCATCGATATATATCCAGCCATGAAAATGCACAACACTTTCCACAAGGGTACGTTTTGCGCAGAGAGAACTCGAAGGGGTTGTACGCCAGATCGTGAGGAAGTAAAAGAGAAGCAGACATGGATGCTTGGCAAGCACATCGCTTCTCTGCTGCTGCTCTTGCAGTCTCAATGGACGTCGCCCTGTTTTACACAGCCATCAGAATCCACAGTCATATCCAAACCACGGAACAAATCCAAAGAGAGGTTAGAGGATGCTGACTCTCATTGAAGATAATCTGATACCAGCTGTCTTCACAGAGAGCTATGGCAACTATGCTAGGTATATCTGCATTATTCCATCGAAGCAATAATTGATACACAATGATGATGGAGGAATTCGTCAGAGTGCGGTTTGCATCAGAGCATGTAAGATGGGAGTACAAAGAAAGGTTTTATTGGGGTGAGATATGTTGTATTCTGCTGTTTGTTTGACAGGATGATCAACGCTGATACCGCTCTTTCTTCTTGTAAGTCCTGGCATGTCTGTTGCCCCGTCTTTCGCTCGCTGCCTTTGTCCACCTCCTCTTCGTCAAATCCCTCGAATCCTGGCTTCTCCTTCCAGCTACGTAGTTGTCATTGGGCAAACAGTGGGGTGTAGAGAACCTTAAGACTTTTGCACTATGCACATAGGAGCTTCGATCATTTCGTGATTCCTCAAAGCACCTTGGGCTCCCATGAAGTCTCGCTCTTCCCGTACAAGTGATAGCGATAGTATTCATCGCACTTATCTCTGGGAATAGCAAACTTGCTTTCCGTGTCCATGGTAGGAGCAGAAGTGGTCGAAATCATCGGCGAGGATATCGCCTGGAATGGTGTCTCTGACTGACTCTTCGAGGTGACGGTCAAGCCACAGGGCGAAGCGAACCTGGTTACGGGCCTTAAACAGTGTTCCTCTGTGGTGAACAAAGACGTTTGCACAAACGCGGATGAGAGGACCATAACCGCGGCGGTCGTTGTTCATGCAGGTAGTGAAAGGCAGGTTGAGGCTCTTTTCCTTGTTCTCTCTCAGCCACAAGATGTACCAATCGATGAGTGAGTCGCAGATGTCGGAGTTGTAGGTGTTCATGTCGGCAAAATGGTTGAAGACGAGGTGGAAGTGCTGCAAGACCTCCTTGACTGCTTCCGCACTCTGTCCAGCCTTAGGCTTGAGTGAGGCTGTCAAAGATGCTGTGGCATCGTAGGTGTGGACCCAGTGGGCCAAGAACAGAACGACACGCTCATCGGCCCAGATGTTATAGGTGATAGTCGTCTGACCAGCATCTCTCGTAACACGGCTATCATTCTCGTTCAAGGCTGCTAGCAAGCCTTTGCGCGTGATAGGTCCAAGGCTGTCGCGGGGACATCTGCCAACAGCCAGACCTCTCGACAAAAGAGAGATCGAGATAGTGCTAGAATGTGCATTTAGTCTCCATGCGTGATTCTAAAGTTCCATAGTCGCTTACCCGTGGAGTGGCTCCTCAACAGCACAGGCTTGGGCACGCATGTCGGCATGGGAAGAAGTAGAAGTCATGGTGCGAGACATTTTTGAAAGTTGCGAAATTGGATCGTGATGGATGTGTTTGGTATTGTGAGAGAGATTGTCGGTAGAGGAGCAGAGATCTTCTCGCGCAAAGGGGTTGTTTAAGGGCGGTGGTATGAAGTAGTGATCACTGCCAGGAGACCTTCTGGTGTCTGCGACTGTCGTTGGTATCTCGCCTGGCTGGCGAAGAGAAAGAATGCAAGTTGAGACTAGTGGAGCAGGTTGAAGTAACAGTCCGGTGTGACAGTGGAAACTGTCCTTCAAGAAGTGAAATGTAAGATATGTAGCAAGAAGTTCCGGCTTCAAAACATCAGGGAGATCCCAGTCGTTAATCCATTCATATGATCAGTGAGTCAAGTGATCAGATAGTAGTGAAGTTTTGGTAGTGCCCACTTTCGACTGGCGTTAAAGCAGTTCCTGATCAATCTGGAAGTGTTGGTAGGAGCAATTGGCGGAAGTGATGGAAGAAGTCAAAAATTTGAGGTGCGTCACTGTGTCGAGGAAGATACTCACCCGTGCCTACCTACCACATCTCTCCATGTGCTAAAGACTTGCATAGATTAGCTACGAAAATACACAATAGTTTTGGAACGAACTGTAGTCCAAGGAGAGACAACACTTGTAGGCAACTTCCGTGGTCACACGTCGGTTTTAACCAACGATTGTGCATTCTGATAGCAAATTTAGTACCAGCCATCGACAAAGGAGAGGGATTGTGGCTATCTTGTACACATGGACCTCATAATCTCTTTGGTCTACCAGAACTCACCAGGTCCCATCGGGACAACATACTGGTCACAGTGCTTCTCTGTTTCCGCCTCCCGGAACTTCTCAATGGAGTCACTAACACCTCTCTCATCGACCGACCAGTTTCCTTGTACCACATGAGCGTAGAAGTTTTGCAGTATACCAAGCAGCGAAGTACCATGATCTGGTACGAATGGGTTTTCGCCGAGTTGATAGAGCTCGTCGTGTTTGCCGTCGATCGCAAGACCATTGCTTGTTTGCGCCCAGGTATCTTCGCCACCGATGATGAAAGGTAGCAATAGACGTGTGGCATCGGTAAAGGGGGTCAAGTCGCTCTGTGTCCAGCCTTCGAGATAGAGTCCTGTAGGTATCTCTGAGGCTTGACTGCACGGATGGGAAAAGTATTCAGATGCTCGGCAAGTACTCTCGCCCCTGAAGAGAAGAATCGGCATTTTTCTCTGGGTATCTCCATCGGTCTCTGTTTGTCTCATGATACTGAAAGGCTGATCAATGAATTCTTCTGGGGTAGGCAGCCGGATTCCAGGTGCAATGTAGGCGAATCCCGGTCTGCGGGCCCGCGACAACAGCTGTCTNNTGGCGAAGCGCTCGAGGATCCCGGCAGCCTCAAGCATGTTTTCATCGGCTAATCCATACTGAGCTTCCACAGAATCGTCCGAGATTGCTGGTATTTTCTGTTCGATGGCTTCGACCAGGACTTCCCATGTCTGGAGGCATTGATCCAGCACCGGTTTAGTGTACGGCTGTACAATCCAAGGCCCAAACATAACTTCATCGTCTCTTGCAACTCCAGTAATCGGATCTGCCACAAGCGAGTCCGGCCGATCCTGCGTCGATAGCCATTGCTGTCCAGCTTCTTCTCCAAGGTCTACCAGTTTGAAATCGCCAGGTTTCTCAATATCGTTGTGCATACAAACCACCTTCTCGGATTCAATCATGTCGATGTACACGCTCAATACTGTCTCAAGCCTTTGCCATGGAAGGGTCTTGTGCACAGGGTTGAAGTCTGTATTGTTGAAGTTCACGAGGCATGTATGTGTTTGTTGATTGTAGCTGAAAAACACCAGTCAGCTCATGGCGCTCAAGATCTGACGTGTAACATACATCAATCCTTGCGCATGTGAACCCAATCGATCATTCGGGGCATACAATGTCATATAATGGCCAGGAAAGTCTCCGATCTGGTCGCCAAGATCATAAGCCTCGTAACCTTGAGGCCCAATCAATCCTTTAAGAAAGTAGAAGAATTTGTATTCCCTCGAGACGCTATCGTAGATCGACTCTGTTTCNNCAGGTAACTCCGTGTTGTATGCTCGTTTGAGAAATGCCACCATCGATGGGTGAAGTCGGGCGGTATCGGCTTCCCAGTCCTCTTCGTTTGCTTCCCAGCAAGTCGTGAGTGGCANGCGACCACTCGCTGTCCAGCTGTGTTTTAGGATGGCGTTGTGTAGAGCAGCACATCGCTCATAATCCATGTCACCTTCATCACGAGCAGGATGGTCATCACTAACCAATCCGTCCCGGACCTCGTCAAATGCTGGAAACTTCATGGATGGTACTGATATCGCCCACCTGATCAGTTACCTAGGTTGTAGAGCTCCGTTCGTGGCAGTTCGAAGAAGGAGAAAAGGTAAGGCACGCACGCATTCAATATATCGAAATGACGCCAAGCAATCGCACCCCTGAAACACAGGTCTGGGGATCCATGACTCGATCGTTTCATTATCAAGGTTGATACTCAAACAATTGATACTCACAGAAACTCCTTCTTCACTATGGAAAACATCTTTGATAAGAACTGGAGATTTGAGGAAATGGTCAGAGCAAACGACACTATGTAATGCATCTTGATAAGATACTATCTGATGTTATCTTTCCGATATGGCAGGCTGTATGGAGTGCTGGGAAGCTAGCAGGAAGAAGAATGGATGATGATAATGCTTGGGGCATGGAAAGACAAAGGAAAGGTGTTTGGTGTACAATGGGAATAAACCAGATTCCAATTCGCAACTTTGTTGATCGTTGTGTGGAATAATACTGCAAGTCTGGTCAGCAAGCAGATGTGGTATGAGATGATTGAGGAACATACTCGGAATCTTTGGAGGTCAAGGTAAGAGTCTTTCTTGAGTCGGTGTTTACTTTGGCAACTTTATTGTTCTGTAGCAAGGTTTGTTGTTCTTGTAATGGGCATGGTATCTTCTGCAGGAGTCATCATCGGATAGCTGCAAAGGGTCCTTCGGTTCTCTTGCAGGATGAGCGAAGTACTCTTGAGCAAGTTCTCGAACTTCTTCGCAGGTGTGTTTGTCGTATCTCAACTTCTCCTTATCATTGGCCATAGCGGCTTCAGCATCATGATGTAAGATCAAAGCACTTTTCAGATCTCTCAAGAGGCCATGAGGCCACAGATTCGGACGACAAGATCGAAGCCATCCAGCGTTGAGACTGCCCCCTGGTTGTCCATTCTGGAGGTGGGCCATCAGAGCATCGACCACCGCATCCTGGTAATGGATGTCCCCAATGTCTTTGGCATCACAATACGCCCAACCGATGCAGCGACCGCCCAGAGGTCCGCCCCGAAGTACGGCACGCAAATCCCAATGAGTCAACCAGCTGGCCCATTGCTTGACAATATCTTGGCTAAGAAACACGGACGTGTCGTAAGTGTAAAACTTCCAAGACTGAGTATCACGTCCAGAGACCTCGACAAGATCTTTGGTCTTGTCTGAAGCGAACGTCTGGAAGTTGACTGAGGGGACCTGAGTAACAAAGGTCCCATTGTGCTTGAGGACTACNNGATGTTCAAACTGGAAGTGTCAGCACATGTATGACGATTCTATAGATCTGTACGTCTCTCACTCGTAGACAAGCTGTTCGTTGTTCTGCTGCGCGGTCTTCTGGCGCTTGTTCGACAAAGCATTGTCATCAGAGGACCTCTTGGTTACTGATGTGGTGGAGCGCACCAGGGCCTCGGACGATGACGTATTCGGCTCTACCATGATGGAGTCAGTGATGGAGGAATGGTCTCTTGAGTGATTCTGGTGTTGAATTATAAGCTGGATTGGGAAGGGATGAGCGTCGATGAGCGTCGATGAGCGTGGGAGTGGGTAAGGAGTGGAAGTTGACAAACAAGGAGAGTGGGTGTTATTAGGGAAGGAAAGAGAGATGTTCGAGGGAAGGTCTTGAAGTAGAGGTGGACGGTCAAAGGTGAAAGTCGAGGCTCCGCTTGGAATAGAGCGAGTTGTAGCTCAGCAACAGTGAGCAGTCAGCACCTCAGTGATACTTGGCCTCAAGAATCGTTATGAAGTCCTAAGACACAACTATGGCAATGTCGTGGATTGAGCAAGAAATCGACTGAACGACTGATCCGATGAGTGAAATGAATAGCAGCACTTTCCCTATCGTACACTTAGTAGAAGCTGTGTCTGTGAGTAAAGCTTCAATTGCCAACAATATTTTCTCCAGTGCTTCAGTACTGCGATGTTTATCTCCGGCTATGTTGGAGGCAGCGCGGACGAACGAGCAGTGGAGAGAGTGGGGAAATTGGCCGAGATAGAACGAGAAGTAGAAGTGACAAAACGAGGGCTTGGAAGAACTTTTTGGAGAACAAGAATACAGAAGCCCTTTCCTTGTCAGAGGTGCAGGTGCCCACTAGGTGAGTGGATGCAGCACCGTGAACTCCAGTCCCAGAATTCCATAGCGTCAAACTCTCATACCACCTTAGGAAACCTCTCGTCAGTCAGCCGTACCAAAAGCTGCTCAACTCTAACGCTCCTGAATATAGCAAAGGTATGCCATCTTGGGGTACCAAGTATGAACATGATAGTGACAAGGGTTCTTCTTCCATGGAGCCTTGGGCAAACCAAAAGCGCCAGTCTTGTACACAGCATTGTAATCTCCAACATCGGCCCAGAATCTGACGTGATCCATTCTGTCGAACTTGTGTGCACGAGCGAAACCACAGAACTGGTTGTCTGACCAGGTGTAGATGGCAAGGTGAGCAATGAGAATCTTGAGAGGGTAGTAAGAGGCGCAACTGGAGTTGAGATCAAGCAGATCATGAAGGATGGGGGTGCGCTTCTGACCGATGATCTTGCAGATCAGAGTGTCGACGAGGGCATCGCAGAAGGTCCAGCAGCTGTAGGAGTAACCGAAAAGGTAGGCTTTGGCCAGAAGCTTCTCTTCATCATCTGGTGTCTGGAGCTGGACGAACGAAGCGTCGCGAAGCTTGAAGTTGAGAGTCTCGCAGCCTCCGGTGAGGTCGCAAGCATCGGCCACATTGCTGTGGATGTTGCTAGAGTAGAGGAATCTGACAAACAGCTGGATGACATCGCGATCTTGTCCAGGTACAGGAATGCTGGAACGTCCACGGGCGATGTGTCTGGCAAAGACGACTGAAGCAGGGCGAACCAGTTCGGTATGGACATGGAAGACGTTGTTGATTGACTCTTCTTCACGCTCTATCTCCACCTCAATCGAGGCTGGATCCAGAGGGAAGCACCTGTTGACAGGGGTTGAGGGTGCGTTCAGGTCGAAGGTGACAGTGTTGCCGCAAAGCCTGTGTGATTCTATGAGCGTCCGTAGTGATCAGTAGAACATTCGGCGACGTANCTGGGGTCCATCCCAGGAGACATCCTCGTGAATGCTCTGAAGCGAAGAGCGAGGGTCATGAAGGTTGTGCTTCTTGGTTGTCAAGGGACGACCACGTCTGATTGAGCTGGTCAAGGTGGAGAAGTGAGATTTTGAAGGAGAGCTCTTCAGGTCATGAACCTCTTTCTCGTTCAAGTCCAGCTTGTGGTATCTGGCACGCAGGGTGCGTAACACGGTGCTGAGGACCATGTTGTTGTTGTTGGTGGGATGGACTGTCACGGACTCGAACGGTGGTTGTGCGCGTTGGAAAGCGGACCAGTGTGGCGGTTCGAGCAAGAAAGCCGCACCCTCAACGAAAGGAAACGACAATAGAGCCACAAAACGACAGACCACGAACAAGGTTGTGCTTTCAGAAACAGCCGAAGATGCAATATGGAATAGAAATGGATATCAATTTTGTGGAAGATTGAAAAGCTGTACAGATTGATGGGTGGTTATACAAAACGAAGCAAACCTACACGGTCTATTCCTCCTTCTTCTCTGCCTCGGGCTTGTCTTCCTTGGGTTCCATATCCAGACGTCTGCTCTCGACGGTGACGTACAAGCTCTTTGCTGCACCCTCGAGAGTGTTTGTGAGGGTGGCAGGCAGGGATTGCAGCATGTACACGAGTTGGGCTCTGAGTCCATCCAGACCACCAGAGATGCCACCGACCCATTTGGTGCCGTCCAGATCGAAGACCTTGCCCTCGACGCGGGCACCGAGAAGCATGAGTTTTTGGAGACCGCTCTGGATGGTGGGCTCATAGAGACCAGGGTTTGCTTTTCTCTTAGGAGCAGGGAAAGCCTCCGAGGGTGAAAGGATGGTCATGGCAGCCTTCAAGTGCTGGGGCGAGACCAGAGGGAATGTAAGAACGACCAGAGGACCGGACAACAAGGGTTCGAGACCAGTCTGAGCCTTTGCGCTTCTAGCAGTCTTCCATGCTGCCCTTGACAAGCTGTGTGTGTATTGCGGGCTAGCAGGCTTTGTGTTGAGGGTAGTGGAGGTGTTGGTGGCCGGGTCTTGGGGGTGGTGCGTTCTGGCAGTGTCGGAGAAGGATTCCGGGTTGAAAGACTCGGCGACTTTGACAGCAGAAGCGAAGATACCAGTCTGGACGATCTGCAGCTCGGTGTATTTGCCAATGACAGACGGCGAAGCCTCGGTACCCAGCTCAGCGTCGACCTTCTCCAGAGCAAAGTTGAGCTGCCTCCTGATTCCTGCAAACTCTGAAGCCTTGAGGTTGTTGTGTTGGAAGACCAGCATCAAAGGTGATGAGCGAATCAGGGATGTGTAGAGACGGTGAAGTTGTGTCTTGCGAAACTCGGCAGGCTTGTATGGCGGAGGTTGGGTGGGAGGATGGCGCGAGATGGGAGAGGAGGCGTGAATTGTCGACTCAATTGAAGGGGCCGGAGTGGTGGCAGCAGCCAGAGAGGCGTATCGACATTGACATGAAGGGTATGCGGCGTTGGATGTGCTCAGGCGCAAGCGCTTGCTGGCTTGGAGTCGTAACCTTGGCGGCATTGTAGTGGTTGCTGGAGAGTATCAGCAGGAAGGTACACCGAAACAAACACTCCAGACTTGAACTTACGTGTGATGTGCAGAAGGAGCGACTGGTGGAGACTCTGCTCTTGCCGTCCAGCGCGACTTCCGCATCTTCAGGAAATCTCGTGCACGGACACTTTTGGGAGTTGTTGCTCTTTCTCCAGTCGGCAAGACCCGAGCATCGAGGCCGCGTTCCAGTCATACTGTTCGGTGCTTCAATAGCTCTTTCCCTGTTCAATTCTCTCGTCTCAATCGCTTCTACTTTGTGTTGTATGCGATCGCCTGTATCTTGTATCTTACAAAAATTACAAATCTCGCAACAATGAGCGAAGCCAAAGCAGCAATCTCGATATCACCGCTCCTCCTCCGGCTGGCTGACCCCACCACGACCTTGTTCAGCGTCACTGCCCAGGAAGTTGCTCTTGCGGTATCGCACATTTTCGCAAACGCCATTTCGCCTGTCCAGACAGGCTGTCTTCTCTATGCACTTCACACGACCCAGTTGGACCGTCGTCCGGACATCCTTGCAGCATGCGCCAGTTCTATGAGATATGCCGCTGCTCAAGTCGACCATGACGCTCTCACGAAAGCTGTGTCACAACGAGCTCGCAAGGAAGGTCAATACCATGGAGGTCTGGTATGGTATGCCCAAGCATTTCTGTCTTCTCGCTCAGACACTAACACCTTCCTANNGTGTGACATAGTCGGCACTGGCGGTGACAGCCACAACACATACAATGTCAGCACAACCTCGAGTATCCTCGCCTCGGCCCTACTCATGATGGCCAAACACGGCAACAACGCTTCGACCTCAAAGTCAGGTTCCGCCGACCTCCTGCTCGCCGCATCTCCCGCTCCTGTCATCGCTGCGACCACTGAGAAGACACTTCCCGAAATCTACTCCCGAACAAATTACGCCTTCCTGTATGCCCGCGAATGGCATCCTGGCATGAAGCACGCCGCTGCTGTTCGTAAAGAGCTGCCTTTCCGTACAATCTTCAACCTGCTTGGTCCTCTCGCCAATCCCGTACAAAACAGCAACTTGATCGAGGCTCGTATCCTTGGTGTCGCAAAGCGCGATATGGGTCCCGTGTTCGCCGAGTCTATGCGCTTGACTGGCGCAAAGAAGGCCTTGATCGTTTGTGGTGCCGAAGACCTGGACGAATTGAGCTGTGCTGGACCTTCATACTGCTGGATGCTCAAGCCTCATTCTCATGCTACGGATGCTCAAGTCGACATCGTGCCCTTCACCGTATCACCTGAGGACTTTGGTCTGAAGTCTGTACCACTCAGTCTTGTTGCCGGTGGCAAGTCACCTGCCGAGAACGCCGTCATTCTCCAGAGCATTCTTGATGGAACGATCGATCCCGAAGACCCCGTTCTCACTTTTGTTCTGATCAACACTGCTGCCCTTTTGGTAACCTCTGGTATTTGCGAGGCCGACAGCAGTGATATGGATCCTGGCGACGACGGCAATGTCATCACCGAGCGCGGCCCAGGTGGCTTGCGCTGGAAGGAGGGTGTCAGACGTGCTCGATGGTGCATCAGCAGCGGTACCGCCAAAGAGCAATGGAAGGCTTTCGTCAAGGTGACTGGCGAAATTGGCGGTGAGGCATGAAAGGAGTCAAAATGACAAGGAAAATAATTTGCTCAAAAACACAAGACCCTAGGCCTCAAGCACTACTCCTATCTTATGAGAGGGTGTGAGCGAACCTCCAATCATGACCTTTGCTCAAGCAGGACTCCTGATATAAAGTCAATCTAGCCCATTCTCAAATAATAGCTTAGCCTCAAAAAGAAACATAGACACTAAAAGAAACCATCTAATGAAACCACTTTTTCAAGCTTCCGACAGACAAGTAGATAGATCAGCAAGTATGTCATCTCCTAATGTAGACCACCCCCCTTCAGAAATATCGCCGATGAAAAAGGTTGTAACCTCAAACAAGTGCAAGAGAATGAGAGTAAGAAAAAAAGTGAAAAAGAAAAAACAGAAAAAAGAAATTCATGCAGAGAGTATGACCCTGACTTCCAGATCACCCTTCCAAAGCAGTAACGACAACGACGTTAGCACTTGCCTAGCTCAGCACATGCTCGGAAACGCTCACATGGCAAGTTCAATTAATGGACTTGGGGGAAAACAAAAACAAGCTCAAAAAGAAAGCAAGGAATCGAAAAGTCGACGTTGTTCGTGACCTTATACTGACTGGCTGACCTGCAATTCGAAACAACACAATCTGTGGCAGTTTTTCTCAAGAAGAACTTCAAAGTCAGGAATCACAATAGTACCTAGAAAGATGACAGAGGAATATTTCCAGAGTCAGAGTGGTCCTTGAAGATTAGCAACATGGTTCACATCATAATACTACACTCGAACAATTGAACGTTGGTGAAATGGAAGAGGAAAGGGCGAAGTCAGCATCGAAACTATTTCAACGTTTCGTTCATGAGCACTTCTGGCTCGCTAGCTAAGGATTATACAGACCTGGGGGGGATTCGAGAGGCATGGATATCCTGTTTATTTTCCAGCACCGGTATCCCTCTTCTTCATGGGCGGCAGAGCAGGAACCTTGAACCCGCCATTCGAGGCTCCAGCTCCCGGTGCCGATGTCGAAGTGCCGCCGATTTGTGTAAAAGTGCCTCCCTTGAACCATCTGTCCTCATCTGCTTTTCTCTTCCTGTTCATCTCGTCTCTGACCTTTGGGTCTACCAACTCCAGTCCTTGGACGGGTGTGAATGCGATACTAGATGTACCAGATCCCATGCCTACACCTGAAGTCCTGAGACCAGAGTTCCGCAACACTGATGCTGTTCCAGAGCCAAAGCCACCGTGGAAGGTAGATGCAAGACCTGAAGGAGCTGGCGTAGCACCACCCCAACCTGGGTTCTTTTTTGACAGTTTCGCGCGCGTGCGCTGATCAATTTGCTGTGTGCGTATTGAGCCAGTTTGAGCGGCACCAATCATACCAAGACCCTTGGTGCCATCGCCAGTCCCATAGCCGACCTCTGCTTCTTCCTTACCGAATTCCATACGGTTCTGAGCCTTGCGGAGGTCGGTCATGGCGGTTGCTTCTTTTGCTTTTCTGGCTCTACGTCCACCACGCTTGCGACTTGGCTTGTCGTCGGGTGCTGGCAGGGCGCGGGCACCGCGATTTGGTGCTGGTGCTACTAGTTTGTCCAAGCGATTGATACATTCGTCCTTGAACCTTTCGCCATCTGCTCCATTGGGCGAACCGTGAATACTGTCTACGCGAGCAGCCATGACGAGCTTTGCGGATACAATACGCATGGCTTGTTTCTTGAGATCGCTGGGAACTTCACGGACAAGAGGAGAATTGTAGAGGAAGCCCTGGTGACGGACACCCACATTGGTGGCAAAACCGGTCTGGGTCTGCTTCTTGGATCCCCAAGGAGCAATGTTGCAAGAAGGAGTACTAGCCAGACCTTTGATTCCACCAGCAAAGTTGACGAGTTGAGCAGCTGTAAGCGAGCCAATCAGAACTGTGAGGTTTGGTGCGAAGACGCTCATGCGAGATTGCACGTAATCGGTCATGATCCGTTTGGCCTTGTCGAGTTGTAAAGTCATGTCGCAAGCGTGTCGGATGCTCAGTAATTCAGTATCGGAAAGTGCAACACCTCTTGTAGTGGTCGCTTCGACAGTGACAGTCATCAAGGTGGCTCCTTGCAAGACCTGACGGAGCGATTGACCGACGGCATTGTCTGTCGAGTTTGACAAGTCCTTGACGCTCTCCATGGGACCGTTTCCAATAATTGCGACAGTCTTTGCATAATCGAGGGGGTTCTGGACCAGTCGTTCGAGCTCGGGGAAGCGTGTCGAGTAATGATCGCGGATGAACTTGTGGACCAGGATAATCTCGCCGTCGATAGAGGTAGAGTAGGTGTTGGCCTCGGTCATGAGCTTGTACTCGGGGTTGTCTTCGATGTTGCCAATGTTCTTTGTTTGTTTGTCGGACGGTAGATTCAGGTAGTGGTCGATTTNTCTGCGAGCATGAGGCAGTGGTCAGGGCTGTGTTCAAGAGATGTAAATAATGACCACGTCTGGACTTGAGACATTTTTGCTTACCTCGAGGATTGGTTGTAGCTTCTTCATCAGGATGGCGACACTGCGCACATCCCCTACAGCAGCCAGGTCCATCTTCTCGACTCTGGCTTTTGCTTCTTCCTCGGTCTCGGCCTCTCTGACATTGGGCCTGGGCGCTGAGTCTCCATCTTCGCCATCGTCCTCCTCTTCTTCGTCACCATCCAGTTCCATAGCGCCATTTGTATTGCCGTGGTCTATCGGGCGCAAGATGGAGTCTGCGGCAATGTCGCCTTCGTATGACTCCTGGTTCTCTTCTTCGCCATCGGACTCGAAGTCGTTCAGAAGCTCGTCGGCGATGGTCGCCATCGGGAAAGCGTGTTGTGTTGTCCGGGCTGATGGGTTGTGGTTGTCGCACACTCGAGTTGTTAATGTTGCAGTATTACCGTTGTAAGCGCCTTCCTGAAATGCGCAGTTGCCGTGTTTGTGTGAGTTGAGGGTGGATAGTGACAGAAGAAGAAAGTGCAGCCCTGGGTGATTCACATGCAAAGTGACGGCTGCTCGGCAAATCCCATGCTCAAGCTTGCTGCCTTGTTCGACCAGCAACCAACTTTCGGCTTCTGTCTACACCATTGCAGGCCGACCTGTCGTGCCTCTACGCCTGTCATCCTCAATCCTCCCATCCACAACCGTTTAATCTCGCTCCGTCCGCCACAATGGAGTCGTCGCGTGGNCCCCCGAGGGTTAAGAACAAGGCCGCTGCGCCCATCCAGATCAGCGCCGAACAACTTTTGCGCGAGGCCGTCGACCGCCAGGAACCCGGTCTCCAGGCCCCTACCCAGCGCTTTGCCGACTTGGAAGAGCTACACGAGTACCAAGGCCGCAAGCGCAAGGAGTTTGAAGACTATGTCCGCCGGAACCGCCTCAACATGGGCAACTG